CATCATCTCTCCCTCGCACTCGCCCTCGCCCATCCCTCAGCCCGCCGCCAGCGGTGGCAAGCCTCCGGCCAACCTTCCCGGCCAGAACAATGCCCCCAACTTTGGCAGCTTTGGCGCCGAGAACGGTGAAGTCAGTCTCGATACNGAAAAAGTCCACGTAGCACCGCAGCTGACCCACGTCGTACAGAACAACGCAGCTCCTCTGACTCCCTCCAGTCAGCCCGCCCACATGCGCCGTCCTTCATCGCAGTCACAACACAGCGACGCCGGTATGCGCGGTAACTTTGTGCCCGGCAACGGCCGCGGCCGCGGTTTCACNCCCGGCGGCTACAACCCCCAGTCGCCTGCTCAAAGCCACCGCCCCATGCCTTTCCAGCAACGCGGCCCCGCCAACATGCCTTCCCAGGCCGGTATGAACCAGTACCCTATGGCCCCTTCCCCAGGTGGCTCTTACCGTGGCAGAAACGGCAGCCCCGCCATGGCACACGCACAGCCTTTCATGCCCCAGAACATGCAACACCAGCAGATGTACCCCGGCCAGCCGCATCTCAACCCTCAGCAACAGGCTCTGTACAGCATGCAGACCCCATACGACCCCTATTCCGGTTTCTACCCTCCCTACTACGGTCAGGGCGCACAATACCAACAGGGCGCTCCTCCCAGCCCTCGTCCCAACCAGCCATACCCCGCTAGTTACGGTGGCCCGCCTGCTCACATGAACTCTCCCTACCACAACCCTATGTCACGTAGCGGCTCCCAAATCTCCGAGCGACCTGGTTCAAGCGTCGGTCAACCTACCGCCTCAGCCCCCGGCGCTGCTCAAGCACCTCCCGCTCCTGGCACACCTACTCCCGTTTCCTCCAACTTCCAGATCCCTACCAAGACTAAGAGCAAGGCCATTGTCATCAAGAACGACAAGGGTGAGGAGTTGAATTTCGAAAAGAAGCCATCACCTGCACCTCAGTCGCCTGCCATTGTCTCTTCCGTCCCCACACCTCCTCCTCGCACTCCCAGCGTTCAACACAACCGCACCGAGAGCAAGAGCACAAAGACCGACGCTGAAACCAAATCTGCATTCCAAGAGCAGGTCAAGCGTAATATCGAGGCTCAGCGCGCAAAGGAAGAGGCTGAGAAGAAGGCCGCCCAGGACAAGGAAGATGCCGATAAGAAGGCTATCCAGGACAAGGACGATGCCAAGAAGAAGGCTATCCAGGACAAGGACGATGCCGAGAAGAAGGCTGCTCAAGAGAAGGAAGAGGCCGAGGCTAAAGCCAAGAAGGAGCAGGAAGAGGCTGATGCCAAGGCAGCAAAGGACAAGGAAGAGGCAGACAAGAAGGCCGCCGAGGAGGCAAGCGCTAAGGAAGCTGCCGACAAGGCCAAGTCCGACGAGGACGAAGCTGCCCGTCTCAAGCGCGAGGAAGACGAGCGCATCGAGCGCGAGATCGCCGAGATGGAGGAGGCCGAGCGTCTCGAGGAAGAGCGCGAGAAGGCCTTCCAAGAGAAGAGAAACAAGGAGAAGGAGGCCCAGGCCGCTAAGGACAAGGAGGCCGCTGACAAGGCTGACGAAGAGATGAAGCGTCTGGAGCGTGAGGCCGAGGAGCTCGAGCTCAAGAAGGAGAAGGAGCGTGAGGGCGAAGCATCGGCTGAGAAGACCGACGAGCAGAAGGCCGAGGACGCAAAGCTCTTCGCTTCCCTGAAGAAGCCCACGCTCGGCCCTGGTGCTACCGAGGAGGCTGCAGCTCCCGCCGAGCCTGCACCTGCAAAGTCCAAGCCTGCCAACCTCAAGCTCGATACGACCAAGAACGTCGAGCCCGCACAACCCACTGCTGGTATGCAGTCGCTCAAGTCAGCCCGTTTCCTCGAGATCAAGAACGACCAATTTAGCTACCCCGAGGGCGTCCAGTCCCCCAACCCCGCTCTCAACCAAACCGGCAAGCGTGTTGGCAAGGAGTACGATCTGGACTTCTTGATTCAATTCCAGAGCGTCTTCAAGGAGAAGCCCACTGTTGACTGGGATCTGAGAGTCAAGGAGACCCTTGGTGAGGGTGACAGCTCTGGTCGCCAGAACAGCCGTGGCGGTGCAAGCATGGGCGGCCGCCAGCCCTCTAACAGAGGTCCCAGCCAGTTCAGTGCTATGGGTAACTTCGCCAGTGGCAACACTCGTACTCTTCCCGCCGGCACTACTTCTGCCGACCGCTTTAATGCCTCCTCTGGAAGAGGTGGTCCTATGGGCATGGGACGTGGCGGTGCCTTCCCTGGCCAGGGTTCTCTCAGCCGTACCAACTCTCTTCAGACCATGGCTGGCATGGGCGGCCCTGGTTCGCCTAGAACTAATACTTCTCGCAGAGGAGGTGGTAGCAAGCGCGGTAACCCCTCGCGTCACCACGACAGAGAGGATGCCAACGCAGCCAAGAACATGCCTCTTACCGCTGGTATGGACCTCAAGCCCCTCGAGAAGTCGCAAAGTGGATGGACTGCCCGCAGCATCGGCGCACCTGTCGCAGCTGCTGCACCTGTTGACGGCCAAATGCCTCCAGACATGGTCCAGCGTAAGGTCAAGGCTGCTTTGAACAAGATGACCCCCGAGAACTTCGAGAAGATTTCGGACCAGATCATCGAAATTGCTAACCAGTCGAAGAAGGAGTCTGACGGTCGTACTCTGCGCCAAGTTATCCAGCTCACGTTCGAGAAGGCTTGTGACGAAGCTCACTGGGCTGGTACTTACGCCAAGTTCTGTTCAAAGATGTTGACTAGCATGAGCAACGAGATTGTTGATGAGACGATCCGTGACAAGAGCGGTCAACCCGTTGTCGGTGGTGGTCTCTTCAGAAAGTACTTGCTTAACCGCTGTCAAGAAGAGTTCGAGCGTGGTTGGGAGGCCAACCTTCCTCCCATGCCCGAAGGCAAGGAGGCCACTCTTCTGTCCGACGAGTACTACATCGCCGCCGCTGCCAAGAGAAAGGGTCTTGGTCTTATTCAATTCATTGGTGAGCTTTACAAGCTCGGCATGCTTACAGTCAAGATCATGCACCAGTGTGTGTTGAGATTGTTGAACTTTGAGGGCCAGCCCGACGAGTCAGCCGTCGAGAACTTGTCCAAGCTCCTCAAGGCTGTTGGTGCCACAATGGACAGCACCGAGCAAGGACACCAGCTTGTCAACGTTTACTACGAGCGTGTTGGAAGCATCCTTGAGCAACACAAGGACATGCCCAGCAGATCGAGATTCATGCTTATGGTAAGTTGTTTCCGAGAGTAGGCAGACAAACTTGAACTAACATATCCGCAGGATATCATTGATCTCAGGAAGAGCAACTGGAGATCAAAGGATGCCGACAAGGGACCCAAGACTATCGAGGAGATTCACGCCGAGGCTGAGGCCGCACAAGCCGCACAGGAACTCGAGAGACAGCGCAACAACAGCAACCGTGGTGGTCACGGTCGTGCCCCTATGGGTCGTGGTGACGCCCGCTCGTTCTCTGGACATGGCGGCATGCCTCCTCCGGATTACCCCCGCAACCAGGTTGGTATGGATGATCTTCGTCGTCTGCAAGCCCGTGGTTCTCAACGCCAGGCCAGCGCTGGCCTTGGTCCTCAGCTCGGCCCCAGCTCGCTGTTTAGCAGCTCGCGCAGCGGTAGCGGTCGCAAGGGTCTTGGTCCCCCTAGAGATGGTGAAGGTTCCGGACCTACTTCAAGATCAGGCACTCCTTCCCAACAGAAGAAGGAGGAGACAACACATGTCAACGCCTTCAGGTAAGCAATGTCCTTGTCGTCGAAATGTTCGTTCATGACTAACAACGTCCGCAGTGCACTGGCCGCCCTTGAGAACCAGGAGAACGAGGGTGCCGACGATGTGGCATCACCNCCTTCGAACGCTGGGTCGCCGCCCGTCTCGAAAGCTACCCCTTCCATTGGTGAGGCCGCTTCAACAGACGCATGAGCGAAAGTCTGATTAATGTCGTCGCATCGGGGTTTCCATCTTCTTCTAATGTCCAAAAATTCCTTTTTTCGTCCTTTTCTTCAAAAGATTCCCTTTTGCATATGCGTCATGTCGTCAATGAGAAAATTCAGAAGAAGAGCTGCCTGCCATGCCCTACGACAGATCTCGGGTTCCTTTGTGGATCCTGAACACGCTGCGGAAGAAACAGGAAGAATTGACACGGAGCCTTTCTTCGCCAGAAGACATGCGGGAAGGTTGGCTGGGGTGGCTTGTTGTGTTTGTACGAATTTCCGGTGTGCTCCATTTGAGAAAGATACCCAAAGAGCTTCTTCTGTTTCCTCCATGCCAACCTGTCGAAACTCGCCTGCCCTGATCGACGCTTTCGCCTGTCTGTCGCCTATCTGCCTGTTTCCTCTTTTGAACTGCGACAAAGAACAAGATTGGAGAGGACGGAGAGAGAAGACGAGAAAGTTGTGTCTCTGTACAAAATGGACGGTGTTTAATGGTGTTGTCGTTTTTCCTCCTTTTCTGCTTCCGGGCTCTTACCATGTTTGGGGACATTTCGATTGGTGTTGTTTTTAGGCTTGTGCAATCGATACTTTCAGTGTCTTATATGTTGTTTTCAATTTCGTGATCATGCTTGTGACCGTATCTGTTCTGAAAAGAGGTGAGGTGTGACATGTGTCTTTTCTTGTTCGATTGCACCTTTCGTCGGCAACCGGTCATCAAACATGCACACCGCCACAGTAACACCTGTAGAAAATGTCTTTCGAGATATTATCACTACGACTGGTGCATATGTCCAGTCTGTTGCACAGACAACCAGACGCATTCACTGTTTGTTGACCTCCGAGACGATTAGTCACTCGAAAACGATGCCTCCTGAGATTCCAAATAGCCGCAAGTCTTTCTGGCGTCTCAATAAAATAAATGAATTCCGCACAATCATACAGACTAAAGATTTCTCTGACCAACGATCGGATGATTATCTATAGCAACTCTAGGCTAAATAACCGCCACTTCTCCTATAGTACCACATCTCAATCTCAGTGTTATAAATTACTCAAGCTGTAGCAGATAACCACCAGGATCGGTCCATCATCTTCAACTGCCACTGCTCAAAATCATCCCATTGCATCAGAATCTCTAGCCATGGATTGGTTGAAACAGTTTCTTCTTGTTCTGATTGCGTGACCGGGTGGTTTGGAGAGGTAGGAATGGTACTTTGGGCAAAGGTGCGGCGGAAATAGTTCCAAGATGCCATGGCGGAGTACTGGTGGGANNTGGTTGCGTGAGGGTTGGAGGTAGAGTTTTTGATGCTGGCGTTGGGGGTGAAGTACTCGTAGTCTCTTCATCCATTGAGGTGTTTGTAGGCCCCGGCTCNCGAGGTATTATGCAAAGATGTAGATACTGATGCTGATGTATCGACTTGGACATCTGCATCAGAGCGATACCGCGACCTTTGGTGGATAGCTAGATTGCTCTTTCCCAGATTCTCATGCTCACAGTTTCGGTTTGCGGTGTATTTTCTACCCCATTGTGTGTTTGTGAAGGCCAGAGGGATTTGTTTTCGTCGTGCTTCTGTTGATTTGGTGGAGGAGGCATCGTGGTTGGACGTTTGCGAGGGGTTGTGTTGGTGTTTGCGTGGTGGTACATTGTCTAGGAAGGTTGGGAACACAGTAAATTCGAGGAGAGAGGACAGCTGGGGGATCAAAGAATATCGGTAGTGAATAATGGGATCTTTGTTCTGGATCAGAGATGTATTTTTGGTGAGAGCTAGATAGGTTTTCATTGTTGTTTGCGACATGTGTCGTGGACTGTCACGAGATGTCTGAGACATGACATAGGAAAGTCTTCTCGAGGCCAACGATCTACAGACTGTTATAGAACTTGGTGCAAAGTTGAATGTCGTGTGCAATTGTATAATGGCATTGTGGGACTGTAGGAGGATGTGACGGTGCAGAGTAAAGGCTTTGCAGAAAGCTCAACGCCGTGACTCCCTGTCAATCCAAGCTTGAGTGTCTTCGAGAGTCAGTGGGATCTTGCTCCTGGTCCACTTCTGTACCTCCTCAGCGATAAACCCTTCCATGGAGATCAAGGCGACCACCAAAAAGCCCAGCTCTTCTCTGTCGACGTCGAAAACTTCCCACCACTCTTCACCAGGCAGCTTGACACCTATCTCCTTGGCGGCAAGGTAGATAGCTGCCGTAGCAAGGGCTGGAGGTTGATGTGTCAGGTAAAGGTATTGTGGACTGAACAGAGCCGAGTTGAGATGTGCAAATGCCTTCTTCGCCAGAGCCTGTCCGTTCTCAGACGTTGTAAATACATCCAGCGCTTGCAGGTAATTGATGTAGATCGCGTACGGGAGGGATACATGAGTCTGATAGCCTAGAATACGAAGCATTTGCGCTTCCGTGTGGATCAGCGCCAGTCGCCCGTCTTGGTAGGAGCCTTCTGAGAGAAAGCACGCTTCAGGGGTGACTTGGCTTGCTGAGTCGAGATCGAGTGATGGTCGAACTTTGTTCAGATATGCTAGCACGCTCAAAAGCCGTCTAGGGCTTACTGTATGCGCCGAAGGCTTGGTCACCAGATATAATGAGGCTGCAATCACATCCTAAATATGGCAGTCAGCAAGTAGTAAGTCAACGTGGCTCTGGACGGCGGCCAGGATGTGATTCCAGATTCATCGCATGGGCTCTTTGATCGATGGCATGGAAGGTCGGTTGCAACATGTCAAGTGTTCAACAAAACCCTAAACAACTGGTTTCAGGTGGCGCCTGCACTCAGAAGGACACGGGCGCGAGCATAGACTGCTGTATGTACAGTGATGATAGCCATGTGAGCCACATCCCGGACCGCCATCCTTTATCTTGCATACCTTGGCAGCATATTCAGCCAAGCTTCCGCCTTCAGGGCCTAGCCAGAATCTGGTAAATATGATGATGGCTTCTGCAATAAGCTCTTGAGGAAGATGTAACAGAATGCCAGCGGCTTGAATCAGCCTTGAGCCTTCGAATCTTATCGAGATCTCCAGATCAGCAGGAATTCTGTCGAGCTGAGAGGCTGTTGTCTGCAATTGGTCGGGCGTCGCAAGCGGATCTGTGATATGCGACAATCCTATTACTGGAGCCATGATGAAGCGAATCACCTGTTGTTGACGTCGGTGTGTTCTTGGTTCTCGGTATCCGGCACAAACACGAAGTCGTCTCGAGTATGCTAGACAGGTCCGCAAATGCACAGTCGTTGATGAGTTTACAACTGTAATACAGCGACGCGCTGAAATTCGTTTGACGAGATGAGGTTCGAGGTCGAAGTGGATCTGCCGGTGATGGTTGCAGATTCCGCCCTGATGTTGCTTGGCATCGGACCCACCCAGATTTTAAGGTGAAACAAGTGCAATGCCTCCCTATCGCACGAACCTGCCCCAGAACGTCTTCTCCTTGTCAACCGCGTTTCGAAAATATGGCGTTATGTGAATGTTGCTCGGTTAAATCCTTGACTTGCGTCAGGAACGATTGTTGGCGCTGTTGTCCGACACGCGAGATGAGCTAGGAGTTGCGGCGCTCGCACGAGAGCCGCACCTTGTCATCTATCTACAACAACCCTACAGAAGCGAGCTGGACTATACCAGTATCGATGTTTACACTCTTCGGGATCGGTTCAGAGTTATCAGCATCGCGTGCGGTTCAAGTCGTTGCATGAAACAGTGGACACCACCATAATCTTGCCCTATCCCTGGTCTCCTGGCTCTACCTCTTGCGAGGGGCACCGCGGGTATATGTAGGTTTCTGCTTGCTCTTTACCATTCTTTACTCAGATTCAGTCGCAGTTTTTGCAAGTGTCCATTCTTCTTCTCACGGTCTGTGACCACCAACATTCATTCATTCATTCTTTCGACATCTAGCACTGAGTGCTTTTGCTTTCAACCGGTTCATTCTCTAACCACTGAATTTTCGACATCCAACCCTGTTCAAACAATCAACATGAAGTACTCTACTACCGCTCTCGCCATTGCCGGCATGGCCGCCACCGTTCGCGGCCACGGTTTCCTCACTTCTCCCAAGGCCCGTATGCCCGGTGATGCCTTCGAGGCTGCCTGTGGTCAGCAAGTCTACTACAACCAGGCTAGTGACAACTACGGCAACATCCAGGGTGAACTTCAGGTTGCCAAAACCCAAACCGACTACAACGCTGAGAAGTGTCAAATCTGGCTCTGCAAGGGTTTCAAGTACGAGGACAACAAAGATCTTGTTCAGACTTACACTCCTGGTCAGAAGGTCCCTATCAAGTTCGACGTTCGCGCTCCTCACGAGGGCACTGCCAACGTCTCCATCGTTGATACCGCAACCAACACTGTTATCGGCACTCCTCTGATCTCATGGGACGTCTACGCTTCCAGCGCCTCGACCATTCCCGCCGACCAGACCTCTTTCGACATTACCATCCCCGAGGATCTTGGTAGCAAGTGCTCTACCGCCGGTGCTTGTGTACTCCAACATTTCTGGGATGCCAGATCGGTCGATCAGACCTACGAATCTTGCATCGACTTCACCGTCAGCGGATCTGGCTCTGGTGCTGCACCTGCTAGCTCCAAGGCTGCCTCATCGAGCGCAGTTCCTGCTAGCTCCAAGGCTGCCTCGTCGAGCGCAGTTCCTGTTTCTTCCCAGAAGGCTGTTAGCTCTTCTTCGAGTGCTCCTGCAAAGGCCCCTATCACCTCTACCAAGCCCGTCTCGTCTGCTACTAAGTCTACTACCATGGCCACTGTTGTTAAGTCCAGCTCTGCTGCTCCTGTTTCATCCAGCTCAGCTAGCGGCTCTGTCGCTGCCTATGGTCAGTGCGGTGGAAAGGGCTTCACTGGCGCTACTCAGTGTGTCTCTGGCTGGACCTGCAAGGTCATGAACGACTACTACTCCCAGTGTGTCGCTGGCGACAACAAGGTAACTAGCGCCTCATCCCCTGCTGCTTCAAGTACATCCTGCACCACCAAAATCACCGTCACCAGGAGCTCCTCCGCCTCTGCAGACACAAAGGTGGACTCTCTCCATTTATCGTAAATACAAGTGCTGACCATGCTCCTGCAGGCATAGATTTGAACGGTCCCATCAAAGGCTTCACTCTTGAAAAATTTCCTTGACTGGATCGAATACGGTGGTAGCAATGCTGATCAGCAATGAGCATCAAAGCATGGCTCTCGCGAGTTGATGTATGGCTTTGGTTTGCGGTTATGGTTGGTTGGAAGAGAATCCATGACTATTTTTGCTAGTCATGGTAGTTAGATTACATTCTTGCATTTACATATTAAACCTCCTTGTTTTCACCATCATGTTGATCACTTGAATCTGCAATAAGAAGTTTTGTTCATGAGCAAGAACGATGAACTTCGTGCTTTCCATGTGTGGATTGAAGGCCAAAGCAACGGTGCGGGGTGGGCAAATCTCATTCCAGAACGACACGCGACGTGCAAATCAGGCTTCTTCCATCAATCGTCATTTGCACTACAATCCATCTAGCCGGCGGATGTAGCTCCCGATTCGACTTGGTTCTTGTTATCGTCTGTCGTGTAGATGCAAGACTATGACCGTCGCGATGGATCCAGAGCCAGAGAAACTCGGCTCATCCGCCGACCGGGATATCCATCCATCAAGCGACTCATAATATGTTCTGATGGTAAGAATATCATCTCCGCAACTCCCAAACTTCATCGCATGATAAGATTCGATTGCACAAGGTGAAGGAGCACATGATGCTGATGGAACACAAATAGGCACATGGCTCAATTCCGACAGTGGCAGCTTGAAAGGTGGCGACGATCTGGCGAGTAACGTTACCCGAATATCACGAGCGATCAAGCCAGCTAGCTCGGATTCGATTCCACAAATTGTGTATTACCATTATGGCATAGGTATGAGTGGGGATAATCTGATCATCAAGGAAAATTCTCACACAAAACANGGAAGTCAAGGTGGTATTGTCGATAGAGTGTACGGAGGAGCAACTGGTCAAGGTAGGTCCTTGTTATACCAATGAAAGGTCGTATCATGCTTTCTGAGCCAGGAGTACTGATCGTCTCATACAGGCTTGTCCGAAGCAGTACGAGAAGGATATAGCTACCTTGCGACGAACTGGGAGGTTGGTGATGAGATCTTCTTGTTTGGGTTCAGTCGCGGAGCGTAGGGTTCAATCTTCTATCATGTTGAGACTTTCAAGCTAATTTTGAGCAGTTTCACCGCACGCGCTATAGCTGGTCTCATCGATAACATTGGTATGCTGACCAAGACTGGTCTACCATATCTTGCGGAAATCTTCAGGGATGTGCAGCATCGACATGATGCTGACTACGAACCAAAACACCCCAACAAGCCATTCAAAAACAAACCCAGTGTCATGGACCCAAGATATCGCCATGAACTCGAGAGGAGGGGTATGACAAGACTCCGCGTTCCTATAAAAGTTGTTGGCGTTTGGGATACTGTTGGTAAGTCCAAATCTTCATCACGGAAGCCAAAGTTTCTGACGCTTTTCTANGGCTCACTGGGCACACCAAGGATTGGCTGGCTCGAAAAGTTGGGTATTCAGAGCTCGGCAAGTAAACGCATGTCGTTTTATGACACCAAATTATCCGACTGTGTTGAGTATGCGTTCCAAGCTCTAGCCCTGGACGAACGTAGATCTGCCTTTGCGCCGGCTTTGTGGGAGAAGAAACCGGGCAACACGACTGTACTTCGGCAGGTATGGTTTCCNGGGGTACATTCCAATATTGGTGGAGGGCTTGATGACCAGGAGCTTGCCAACATCACTCTAGCCTGGATGATGGCGCAGGTGACGCCATTCCTTGACATGGATCTGGACTATGCATTGGATCAGCAAGACGACACCGAGCAATACTACAAGGAGACGAAACAGAAACCACGTTCTTGGTCGTTTGGAAAGATTGTCGACTCAATGACTGGAATATATGCTATAGGCGGTGCGACAACACGAACGCCAGGAAGATACTACGTCGTAGATCCCAATGACGGCCGCAAGACTGATGTTCCACTGCAATCAACACACGAATACATGCATCCCTCAGTACGGACTCGTGTCCGACTCAAGGGGCCTGGCGTTGACGACGAAGGCCTTTACGAGCCAAAAGCTCTACGTGACTGGAAGTTGTTTGTAGATTACGACGGAGAAAAAGATCGGGGTGGTCGACCGGACATCTTCTGGAAGCTGCGTACATCTGAACGAAACGTCACTACTCGAACAATACCGGAAGCACCGTTGTTGCCGCTGGAGCGGGAGTTGCTGGAGATGGATCCCGAGATGGAGGAGTTTGTGTTCAGGCCTGCACCTACGGCAAAGAACAGTGTTCGGCGTGCGCGTGCAGCTAGCAGAAGTCAGAGTCGTAGACGATAGGCACTTATTGATGCACGATACAAAGTCAAGCGCCCTACTGTCAAAAACATTCAGTAGTACTGTTAGGCATGTTCGGACATGGCTGCCTCGTTGACGCGGTAAACTAGAAACTTTCAGATCGAGTGGAGCAGACATTGCCAGTCCTGTCTTTGAAGACGACGCGTGGGTTGTGGACTCAACTGCATGTATGCAAGGAGCAAATCAGGAATTTCGCATTCAATCAGGAGACTGCTTCGACGAAAGAACCCCTAAACAAGGAGCACCACAAACCATCACTGCTACTCATCACGTTAAGGTACTCATTCATTGCAGCATGGCTCAAATGCTAACCAGTGGTTAGATGGTATAGTTGGTAGCAGTTTCCAGTGTTCACTCGGATCAGTTATTGCTGTCACTCACATAATCGAGTAGTTGGTTCGAATCCAACGCTGGGCACCTCTCTTCCTCTTTTTGCATCAGATCACTGCTTCTTCTTATGCTTCTCCCCCACCCACACAAGGCATTGACTGTTTCAGCATTTGCACCTTGTGACTCCATTGTTGCGTTCGGCTGAGCTGTGACAGGGAACCACTTGCTTAATTCTTGAGTCCATCAACAATTCCTGTTCTCAAATGCTGCGTGTCAGCTAGGTCTGTAACTGCCAGCGCGATGGTCTCTCATCGTTCCTATCTAGCATGTTCAAGACTGTTTGAACGTCACAACACTCGAGGCCAAGCAGACCCGTAGATCAAGACCAGAAGCAGACAATTGCTGATCTAGACAACATCACAAAAAGCCAAGGAAGAGGAAGTGTCAAAAGAACGATGCTTCTAGGATACAGATGATGGCTCTAATATATCAGAAACCAGAGACGAGAAGAAATTAACATATGCTACATTAAAAGAACCTACCTCAAGTCTACCTACAAATCACTAAACACACTCTGATTCGTTGTAGTTTGGGCTTTGTGAATTACCTTTTATTTCAGTTGTGCCAAGATAAGAAACACAGACAAGATCGCATTGAAATCGACACATGCGAAATGGCACAGATTCAGGAAACTTTGATACTCTTGATCATTTCGTAACAGTCATATCTCTCGGATCTTTACATATTTACAGTCCAAGATGATTAGGGTCACCTCCACTAGCAGGAGCACCGCCGCTGGAGCCTCCAGTAGCACTCTTAGCACTATCTCCAAGTCCTATTTCTCTTTCATCAGCATTTGACTTCTTGACCCAAACCTCCCTCTCTTATTCCATCATTCCTCCACATGCTTCGGAAGTGGGTAGGGATAGCAAACTCACCCTTTGTGGTATCGCTAACACCTTTAGTAGCAGAGCCAACGGTATCGCTGGCGCCTTTGCCAACGCCTTGGACAGTGTTGCCTACGGTATCGGTGAGGCCCTTGCCGGTCTTGCCGACTGTGTCTGTGAGACCGCCGAGTGCACCTTTTGGGTTTCGTGTATCAGTATTTGGGAAACCGAGGAATGAGTGAGGGAGGGAGGGAGAAGAGGGAGGAAATACCTTTGCTGTCAGACATGATTGATGTAGATATGAGAAGGATTGGAAAATACAAATATGATTTGATTGAGATTGCTTGAAGAGGAAAAGGAAGAGATGAAGACATGGATACTGTATATATATCTAGCAAAGAGAGGAGGTAGAGGCTCCATATGCAGCATCAACGTCACTTGGGACAGGGATTGCTCCATGATCTACGCCGCATACGTTCCTGACAGGGATGTGTTCAAGCCACTTCCACCCGCATCAAACCAATTAATATGGGTATGGCAGTGGCTGGAGCGGCATCAAGAACCCCAGTCTTTGGTTTTCAATACTCAATCTAGACTCCTGTAGAAACAGATGCGAGCTGAGATACGATGATCCAATGTCATCGCATGTCACAGCTTCGTACGTGTTCGTGAACACGCGGCAGAGATGCTTGGACACTTTGCTCTCAAAACAAGGAAGATGAGGGAAGTTGGAGCTCGTCTGCCGTGCGACGTCAGTTCAGGGAAAGGTGGGGCACGCCAGGAACACGATCTCAGGTGCTTCAACCTCACATGCTGCTCGTCCATCTGCACAATATCAGAAGGAAGAGAACGATATGTATAGCTATGGATGTGTACAAAATAACAATAACCAGCTCAGGTAAAACCACAAAATATGGCGAATCAACAAGCCCAATTCTTATGCACCCACTCGCTAAGCACATCCGTAAAACTCATGCCGTCAAAAGTAACCTCTACATCTTCAACACCATAACTCTCACCCAAGAACCTCAGAGCCAGAAGAATCCATCGCTCGATGAATTCATTGTATACAATATCCACAGTCTCGAGATCCTTTTTGTCGGATGGCAAGTTTACTTCTGCTTGGATGCAGTTGGGGATATCGTAGAAGAGGATGGGTGAGTGGATTGTGTCGTCGCCGTCTTTGCCTGCGTCATCGACCGTCACGTAGCCGGGGACGATTTCGTGCTTTCCGTGTCCGGCGGCGTTCATAACTTCTTGTCCGAACTCGTGTCTGAAGGCGTCGTCGAGATTCATGTCGTCTTCAATATCTTGCTGGGATCGGTTCGTGGACGGCATCTTTGGTGGCATGAGTTCCCAGAGATTGGGTTTTGCCAGGTCTCTGTGGACGGCGCTCATCACCATCATTTCTGATAGAAGGATCTTGCCCTCATTATTGAGCAACTGCAGCAGTTGTTTTGCTGCTTTATAAGGTACGTTCTTCAGTCGGTGGAAACCGCTTGTGAATGGTGAGACGAGGAATGTGGTATCGATAGTAAAGGAGCCTTCGAAGATGTCAAAGCGCACGGCGCCAGAGTTGGTGATGACGAGTTGAGGTGACTTGGACGAGTTTCGCGCGGTGTCTGGCAGCACATCATTCTCGAGCCAAGTCAAGACGCTCGACTTCGAAGGATAAGGAGCTCTGTTCAGCCAGTAGTCTCTAGGGGCACAGCCATATGTGTGATCGAGATTAAGATGTTTCCTAGCAGCTGAGATGGTTGCAGATACGTCGCGACCAATCTCAGTAGGGAAGGTGGTCTCGTTCTTGCCAGAGTGGCGATGAAGTGAGTACAGATTGTTGTCGATATAACGACGCTTGAACTCAGGATTCGCAAGAGGAGAACTCTCAGAACTGTTTTTGTGGTGGGCGAGACCGGAGATGGACATGAAACCGAGCGTCTCCATGTAACGACCGCTCTCAAGACCGTAGGCGATCTTATCGAACTTGTGGTAATCCCTAATATGGGTGTGACCACCAAAGAAAGCAATGGGGGTATCCCATGCTACACCACGGATAGCCTTGTAGACGGCATCAAACTCGGGTGAGTCGGAGACAGGAACATGCCCAGCAACGACAAACAGGTCAATATCTTTGTCACGGATGGCGTCTTGGAACCATTCTTCCTTGATCGTGTCTTCCACCCGCTGTACGACGGTGTTGTTCGCGTTTCCACGAAAGTTGAAGAGAAAGCCAAAGGCCATGATCCTGATTCCCTGGTTCTTTGTCGTAAATTTTCTGTATCTCTGTGCAAGAGGCTGCAGCTTTCCAGTATCTGGGTTGTACATGTCTAGGTTGGAAGCGATATAGGCGTCCTTGAAGTTGGGCACAGTGTGATAGTACTCATTGTCGGATGAGTTCTTCTTGTAGAGTTCGTGGTTGCCCGAAGTAATGATGTCTATGTTTTGATGTTTGATAATACCATTCGTGTAGTGTCCCTTGGGGTTTGAGGCATCATAGAGACCATTGCCCTCTACTCGGTCGCCTGTATCTACGATGAGAAGGTCACTACCATCGTCGTCGGCCTTCTGGCGAAGATGGTGAGCGAAAGAGATGTAATCGCCCCAATCGGCGGAATACTGNNAGGTCTGTTCGGCGACATTAGACTACATGTCAGGGGTACAAACATGGCAAACTCACTCCTGCAGGTGGCCGCCGTGCCATCCATGTGTATCTGTTGTCGCCAAGAAGTTCAATTGACCCCAAGGTAGTTTCCTCAGAGGAGCTTCCACTGGTTCGGGCGCCGAAGGCTGTGCAGCCAGCACGGCAGGCAGCAGGGCTGTACACAGCCAAAAGTTGTCGAATATCATTGTTGTCGCGGATAACAAGGAAAGAGCAAACGGCCATTCGGGTGGTTTTGGTTGTCACCGCCAAGACGTCATGCGGTTGCTGCGCGAGTCAGGCACCAAGAAGCTCGGACAATGAGCGCCAACGTCAGAAGCCGAAACACTTTCGAGACTTCTCACACTTGCATACCAGTCAACACAATTCCAGCACAATGCCTTCACGATCGCCGACGCCGAGGCGTGATGCTGCGTCTCGCAGTCCATACTCTAGAGCTTCGCGCTCACCTTCGCGCACACCTCGCCGCTCAATCTCTCCCCGACCATCGCCTAGCCCACAACGCCGCAGCAGATCTCGCACACGCACACGCAGTCCCGCCCACTCGCGCAGCCGTAGCCGCTCCTATCGCGCCCGTAGCTCATCCCGCGGCCAGCGCGACCGCAGTCCCACACCGCCAATGCCTCGCAGCTCCAAAGTGAGCGCCTTTCCAACTTCCACCTAGCTGCAGCCAAAGACTAATTGGACCTTTGCACAACAGATCGTCATCGAGAAACTGACAAAAACGTCACTCCCGCCCACCTCGACGAGATCTTCAGCACCTACGGCACAATCGCCGACCTCGACATGCCGCTGAACAAATCCTTCAACACCAACCGCGGTACGGCCTACATCCTCTACCACAGCCCCGAAGCCGCCGAACGGGCAATAGCACATATGCACGAAGGCCAATTGGACGGCGCAAAGATTGGTGTTAGTATCGTGTTGCCGCGCCGCAGGTTCAGTAGATCTCCGCCTGCAAGACGTCCGCCGCCGAATCGGTTTGGCGAGCCCCATCGTTACAGGGATATGGCTGTTGCTGCTGCAGGAGGTAGAGGAGGTGGTGGTAGAGGAGGCAGGAGAAGAGGAGGTGGAGATAATGATGGCGATACCTATCGTCCTGGTCCTGCGAGGGACGCTCCACCCAGAAACAGAAGTTACAGTCCGAGAAGCAGGAGTCCGAGCCGCAGGAGTGCCAGCAGAAGCCGCAGTAGGAGTCTGACCCCTCCACCTAGGAGAAGAGGAGGAAGTCCCAGAGGAGGAGGTGGAGGCGGTCGAGGCGGTGGCAGACGCAGGAGCCCGAGCTACAGCAGCTACGGCTCGCGCAGCAGAAGCAGAAGCAGAGATCGCAGGCGATGAACCCCTCGCTGAACGAAAACTCATGCACCGTCAAAGAAGCAATACTCAGGTCATTGAGGGACCGCGCGGACAAGCTTCGGTACCACATTCTTCGAGTTTAGAGGACGCAATACTGTTGATGGCCAGTCAATACGTTTACTGGCATCGCGACAGATATCAAGAGACATGGCGGACAACAAGGAGGCTCAGACGATACCAAAGAGAAGACACACGTACTTGAACAGCTCAATGGTTGTCGCACGATAGCCGGCGCAGGACCGATCAGAGATCTAGAATCCTACTCCACACGATCCCAGTCTCTGAACAACGCAGACCAGCCAAACTTGACGATAAAGAAATAATTAAAAATGCTACCGAATAAACTACAAGAATACATCCGTCCGTCCCATGCATATGTCTAGCCTACCCTACCCTACCCAGCAATCCCCCCTAGAACGCCAGCGACAAAATCAAGTCATGCATAAGCTCATAAATCAGTCACTCCACTCCTTGCATTTGTCCATATAGTTCCTTCTCAAACACTTGTGGGACAAAGTGGGCTTGGGCTTGTGCTTTGATTCTGTGGGAGAAGGATCAACACAGATGAAGCCAAACCACTCTTTCGAAGTGCATTTGTGCGTGGCAGTGGATGTGTCTAGTTTCGAAGTACTCGTTGGAGCTTGCTTGGTAGAGGCGGTCGAGTCGTGGCAGCCAAACCAACCTGGTGATTTGCACGTGGTACTGGAAGTGGTAATTGTCGCAACTGAGGAAGGTGAAGATGACGAAGAAGAGGAAGAAGCGACAGTTGAAGTTGTGGTGGCGGTTGGCGCCGGGGCAGGAGTTGCGATGCTGCTGGTTTCGGTCGTCGTAATGGTCGTCCTGACCTCGTCCTTGCACCCGAACCAGCCGGGCGAAAGGCACGTCGTGGTGGTGATGGTCTCCGTGGTGGTCACGGGTACGGTGATACTGCTGGTCTCGTCCAAGCAACCCCACCAACCAGGCGTCTTGCATGTCTCCGTCCTTGTGCGTGTGGTCGATGTCGCAGAGGAAGAGGAGCTAGTGGTAGTCTCGGTCCCGTTGCTTTCGAAGAACTTCCACTCGTAGCAATCAATGCAATCTTCGTCTCTTTTGCACTTGGGGACAGTGTCGTACTTCAGAATAACATCGTGGATGACACTGCTGATCTTGTGAGTGCCGATTCCTTGTCTCCATCCAAAGTCTGCAACCGTATCGTAAGTGCATGCACTTCCGGTGTGGCATTTTCCTTGGAAAGCATATCCACCGATGGTACAGCCAGAGAAAGCAGTGTTGCATGTTCCATCATAGATTGGATCGGCAGTATGACCAAAATGATAGATACCAGTGTTAGGACGTTCCTTGTGGTTGCCAATGTGGTAGCCTGGAGGAGTAGGGAGGCCGAGGCGACTGGCAGCAAGTGCCTCGGGGAATGTCTCGAATGTGATGGTAGGCAATCCAAAGGTTAGACCGAGAAGCGAGGTAACCACACCACCCAGCGAGTGGCCAGTCAACCAGATGTCTGCCTTAGGGTAGAGCTCCGTGACGTTGTGGTATAGCTCCTGAGCAGCTTGGTAGTAGTGAGCCTTATTCCGTAGGTTCTTGACCAGACAGGTCGAGTTGCAAGTAAAGGCCGATGTCTGGCAATCACAGACTTGCTTCCACATAGGTTGACCACCCTGACCGCAGCAACAGCTTCCGAACAGATTGTCGTTGAGTTTGTCGTTTCCGGTTGTGTCTGCACCATCAAAGACAGCGGGCGAGGTTCCCTTAAGGCCAATAACGACAGTCTTGTTTTGGGTATCAGCAAAGATGTGACCGCGCAAGCCGTCGCTCTCCCAGCCAAAATCTTCGGTATAATTGAAGCNCCNCCCGACATCAACCCAGTCGCCAGTATGTGGCTTCAAGACGTATGCATTGGAGGCCATACGGGCAAAACTAAGGATAGTCTCCTTGTCGGTAATGTTTGGGCCGTCTATGTCGTCCATGGACCAGGCAGAGGCAGGTAGGGACACGGCCTCTCCACGCATCTGTCCAGCTTCTAAAAGGCGATCGATAGTCGAGCGGCGGCGGTCGGTCAGGCGTTCTATCGTCATGGGGCCCGAGTTGGTGCGGTATGAGTCTGTGGGCGAGACGGTAACGGCGTACTCGGCATCGTCGTCGTCATCTTGGACGTGTTCGAGGGATCGGCCAGGAGTGACATCGACTTTGCGAAGGAGGTTCGGGTACTGGTGTGAGCCCTTGTGAAGGATGTGTCTCAGGGTAAAGTCATGTTGTCGTGAGGGTCGGGNGGCGTTATCGATGGGGATGGGAGGCAGCAACAAGGCCTCTTGCGGGCTCTGGCGGCGGGCAGCTGTGGCGGGCTCGACGGCGAGCGGAGATAAGGCGAGTAGGTGCAGCAGGAAGTCGAAGCTGCTTCTCATTGTGTTTCTGCGGAGGGAGAGAGGGCTCGGTGGGTTGGTGAGGCGATTATAACATTGTAGATGTCTAGGAGAGTAGGTTGTGTCATGCGGACGGCGGGTACATTAGTGGGAGGCAGCCGCATGCTCAGATCTGGGGTTCGGCCTTGGCGCGATGTCATCGACAAAAGCCACTGTGGCTGGAGACAGACGACATAAAGGTGGGGTCTGTCCGAGTCAATGGTGCACCACGACGTGCTTCAGGAGGGCACACGACATATTCCACCTCAAATCCCATGATAGCTTGTCCGACTGATGATTCTTGAGTCTGTCGCTGCTCCTTGACCTCGACTGAACCGCCCTTGTCTCCCCGACGTCTCCCGTAACCTTCCAAAGCTTGCCGGTTGGCAAGTATCACCGGCCCTGCAGATCACCAACATGTCCAACTCGTCCTCGCCAAAACAGGCCCCTAGGCCACGCCCTCTACATGTATCCAGATCTTTCACCCGCTTGGAGCCGAATCCAGAGTCCCTACCAGCTTCTCCATCCCGTGCGAGAGCCAGCACCATCCAGACCATCCCCGAAGCAAAAGACATGACCTCCTTCTCGCACGGCGATGTCTTTGAGAGCGTCGACGAAGAAAAGGCCGAGGAACCTGCCATCAATACTCCTCCTACGTTTGATCAACTCCCCATCGAAATCCGAAGTCTGAGCGAGCGCTTTCTCAAATCTCTGTCCGTCAAGACACACGCCAACNNCCCCCTGAACATCGACACCATCTCAGAACTTTTCCAAGATTTCTACGAGCAGGCAGAATCTCATATTTCGACCCATATCGCAACCCTTTCTATTCGATTATCTAGAGACAAGTCTCCTTCGCGATCCGCTGCGACAAAGGCCTTGGGCGGTGCACTCAAGGGGAGGAAGCAGAGCACTGAACAGACAGTCTCTCCAAACCGCCAGGGTGAGCAGCAGATGCTTACAGCTTCAGAAGTTGCCGACCGACGCAAGGCTCGCCGGGACCTGGAAATAAAGAGGTTGGCTTTGGAAGAAGCTGTTGAAAGAGCCGTGTGTGAAAAGGTCTACGATCGCATCTACCGACACAGGAGTGCAGATGATGAGGAGAGGGACGCAAAGCTTCGCTCGAGGACTGCCGCCTTGTCGCTGGTCGGCATCGGCTTGAAAGAGCTACACGTCGACATTGAACCCGCAAAGGGCAACGGCCTACCGACGGATGAGAAAGAGCTACATGACGAGATATTCAAGCTGCTCGCGCCAGCAAGAGACCACCTGCAACGCATGGACGAACATCGTTACCCTCTAGGCAAGCTGCAAATGCTCACCGAGGCCCACAAAAGCATTGTTGAAACGTTGTCGCGCATCTTTCCTTCGACCTCATCTGCTGACGAAGTTCTTCCTACCCTTATTTACACTCTCATGACTTCGCCCCCAGAGACTATCAACGTAATCAGCAATTTGCACTTTGTCCAGCTCTTCCGTGCTCGCGCAAAGGTCGATGGTGAGGCCGCCTACTGTCTGGTCAACCTCGAAGCTGCCATCTCCTTCTTAGAAACGGTCGATCTAGCTTCNCTGAGAGCTGACGAGGCTTCTCCGAATGTTATTCAATCAGAGCCTCGCACCGACAGCGAGAAATCTACCAATTTTGCACGCCCGTCGAGCCCAAAGTCCCTTGCCCCTGGTTTGACGACGACATCAGCCGTATCTTCAGATCTCAGTCCAGGAGACACTTCTGTCAAGCCACTTCCTTCGCAAGCTGCTCTTAGCAACCCAACTCGACCCGGTTTCGGACAACGACGCTTCTCGTCACTGATACAAGCACAAGCCGAACGGATAGAAGCCGGTCGAGACGAACTTATGAACTCCGCTGACCAAGCCTTTGACGCCATCAACTCGACCCTCGAAAACAGCTTTAAGTTTCTGTTTGGCCGTATGAAGGAGCAAGGAGCTGGAACTCAAGATTCTCCCATCGTCATGCCCAGGACCCTCGAGGATGCTCGCAAACTCGTTAGTTCTCCGCCTCTGGTACCCATGGACAGCCATCCCAACTTTGCCGAATCGCTCTCCTCAAGCCCTACCGCAGAACCCATCTTAGCACCTCGCATCGACAACACCATGCTCAATCTCGTCGGCGGCCGCCTGCGCGAACGCAGCGTAGACAGCAGCCGCAGCACCGGAAGCGGCAAACGCGTCATCTTCAACGAGAAACCCAATGCCTCCTCCACCGCCCAACTCGCCAACCACACCGCAATCTCATCTTCTCTGCCCACACAATCTGCCGTCGAATCCATGGGCAACCTTATGAACTCCATCAACCCCTTGTCTCGTTTCGGCGGCTTTGGCAAATTCGGCCGCTCGGCTTCCGCCAGTGGGTCTTCCACGCCATCCACACCTGCCGCTTCGTCTGCTGTTATGGCGGAGAAAACAAAGCAATTGGGATATATCCCCGAGTCTGAGAAGGCTGCTGTGCAAAGTGGCAATACTGTGCAGTCAGAAGTTGATCTAGATGCCTTGGAAACATTGGCGCGTTTGAANAANGCGACACCCCCAATTCAGAGATTTGTGGATGTGAAGAGTGTCAATGAGCTCAGGATTGGCGATGTAGAGGAGTTGTTGAAAGAGTATCAGCGGTTGGCTGCTTTGATTAGTGAGACTGTGAATGCATAGTTTGTTCAGCTCTTTAGCACTTGTTTTGTACTATTCAAGGCCGTTCCGGGAGTTGGGTTGGCATTTCAAGAGATGGGATGTTGCTTTTTTGGTATAAAAAGGTGTTTAGAAGTGCCTCTGTTTTGGTTGCTCTTTTTTTTCGGTCTATGGGAGAGGAGAGAGAGTAAAGCCATATACCATACACGTACAAACCGACCAGGGGGTTTCAGAATCTGAATAAGAATTTGTTTTGTGGCAATGTCATTGGTACTTTCTCGTGTTCAGTTATTAGAGCTGTCGGTTCTGCGATTCCTTTTTCTAACCCTCTAAAGTGGCATCGCATCTTCTTGCTTTTCCTTTCTCATGGAATCGTTGGTATGCCATATACTTCTGTGTTTCCGGCTTTTTCCACTTTAAGTGTAACTGTCTGGAAAAGCAAGTCTGGTGTATCTCATGGAGTTCGTCTGATATGCTGACGAGAATCAGGGGTCACTTGTATGTAAGAGGGGAAAGCATAGAACAGGACCCAGATACTTTTAAGCTTACGGGGAAGGAAAGTGGTGCATTCAAGATATGGCTTTCGAGTTGAAGTGATATATGTTTACAACACAAGACACTAGACATCGTAATTCGTTCAAGCAGCAGGGTTTTCGGCAGGAGTCTCGACGGTACCGCTCTTTTCCTTTGCCTCCTGGGTCTTTTTGTTGGCTGCTAATTGCCATGCGGGGATGGCGGCTCGTCCGTTCATTGAGCGGCCATAGGGGCTAGATGTGGATGAACGATCCGGCACCGAGGACTTCGTCTCCGCAGCAGGCGTGACGGGTTCTGCTGCAGCAGGAGAGGCTTCAGGTGCTGCTGTAGTATTTGCGCTCGGCGTAGTAGGGTTAAACGCAGCAGCAGAAGGATTAGGACTTCTCGGTGCTGGAGCCGACACGCGGTTATTAATCAGCGTCTTTAGACTCTTCATCTCAGTAGCCAAATCAGTCAAGCGCTGATCAGCGGATTTCTTCTGCGCTTCCATGGCTGCAGGGATCATGTCTTTCAAACCGCGGATTTCGTCGTTTAGACGGCGTCCTTCGTCGTCGCGTCTGCGGCTTGCGTCTTTGAGTTGGCTGATCACGGATTCGACTTCCGAGAGGGCGGTGTCGAGTTTTTCGGTGCGGGCTTGCTCGGAGGCTTTGAGGTCTTGGGTGTCTGTTGCGAGTTGGTCTAGCAGAGCAAAAGCCTTGTCGAAAGAGGCATCGACGGCAGCTTTGTCTTGCTCGAGTTGCGGGGGTGTTGGAGGTGCGATCAAAGGGTAGATGTACCTTTTTGCGACGGTGTAGGCGCCGAAACCCAAGCCGCCCACTACGGTGGCCATGATGAACCAATCGCGCCAGTCGCGTCGTGGGAGTTCTGGGGGCGGTGGGGAGGTTGTTGCCAGTATGCATTTTGGCTGTATTGTTGAGGTGGCGGAGACTGGTATTGTTGGACTTGTGATTGTTGCGGGTGTGAGGAGGGNAGGTTCTGAGCCGGCGCGTTGGAGAGCAAGGTCGATTTCTTCTTGGGTCAAGTTCTTGGATCGGAGGAAAGCGATGCGTTGATCGACGGGGGCTGAAGCCACAGATGGGTCTTGCAAGACTGGGAGAGGTTGTCAGGAGTGGTATAACTTGGACAGGTAGAGAACTGAGTGCATACACGAGACCTGGGAGAGCAATGGTTAGCTTATCGCATGTGGTCGATCTGATCGAGGCATCACTTACAGCACTGACGATGAGCTGCTCCCGCACCATGTTGAGGCTCGGGCAGGTCAATCAGACCAAGACTTGGTCAGAATGAAGTTGGGAATGTCGACGACAAGAGGAGCACATGAAGATGGAGATGCGGCTGGCGGCGTGTCACAGCACGGCAATAGGCCGACAGGGCCGAGGCATGAGCCGAGGCATCTGTGGGGAACCCTGGGCCTTGCGCTCGTGCCTGTCGGCCTTGGCATTGTTGACGGTCGCTTGGTGTGTTTACTCTGCACTTTTGCGACTTGCAGCTTTTGTTTACTGACGACATCTTGCTGCCCGTCTATTTCGCATTTACCTAATTGTCGGCCTATACATATCACATCTCTCGACAGCATCGCATAGTCCAACATCTACTAGGCGACACCATGTCGCAGGATCAGAATCCCTTTTCTGTGCGCCGACCGCGCGAGGTCAGTCGAGTCGCGAGCAAGTGCTTGCACACCCCATCTGACACCTATACANNGACACTCGGCCCAATCAACCACAATGTTTCCGCCATTCCCATGCCTGCCTCGGCCATGAAGCGCCAAAGTTCTTTCGGTCTCGGTCAGATGCAATCCGCCTCGCATGCCCGCTCGACGTCTGGTTCCCGCATGTCTCTGGCTCCGGGGTTTCCTAGGCAGCCCGACTTCCAGCGCGCTTCTTCTGGCACCAACCTCGCTGACCTCGGCCTCTCCACCGTCAAGCGCCCCTCGACTCAGAACATGTTCAATAGCACAGGAGGTAGAAAGTCCTATGCGCCTGTTAGCAGCACCCCTGCTCCTGCTCTGCAGCTGCAGGATAGTTCTCAGCGCCGCAGCAGCGTATACACTGCCCGCCCCTCGGCTGCCTTTGGAGGTCCTATGGGCCATCAATCTTTCTTCGCTACCGCTCCTCCATCCAACCAGCCTCCCCAAGACCCTCGCAGGTTACGCGACCCCGCCACTCGTGGCCAAATGGCCACCGAACTTATGGAGTTCCTCGCCCAACGCAACTTCGAGATGGAGATGAAGCATACGTTCGGCCCAAAGCCCATGACCTCGCCAACACAGAAGGACTTCAACATGATGTTCCAGTTCCTCTACCATTGCATCGATCCCGCATATCGCTTTCAGAAGAACATCGACCAGGAAGTTCCTCCGCTCCTCAAACAACTCCGCTACCCATACGCGAACAACATCACAAAGTCACAACTCGCCGCTGTTGGAGGCAACAACTGGTTTACTTTCCTCGGTATGCTGCACTGGATGATGCAACTCGCAAAAATGATGGAGCACTTTAGCGTTGGCACCTACGACGAAGCTTGCATTGAGTCTGGACACGACGTCTCGGCTGACCGCATTACCTTCGAGTTTTTGAGCGACGCTTACCGCACCTGGTTGTCTGTGGATGATGAAGATGAGGAGGACGACGAAGAAGCCATCAACAGGCTCATACAACCACACGTCGAGGCCATGGCTGCCAAGTTCGAGGCTTCCAACCAACAGAATCTCGAACAGGTCAAGGCTCTCGAGGCAGAGAGCAAGCAACTACAGGACCAAATTGATGAGCTCGGCAAGACTGCTCCTCGCCTGGCCAAACTTGACGAGCAAAACAAGATCCTCGAGGAAGACAGGATCAAATTCGAAAACTACAACAACAGCATTGACAAGAAGGTCGAGAAGTATGAAGATCGCTTGCGCATGCTGGAGAGTGAAATGCAACGTCTCGATCAGGAACTCGCGGACGCAGAGCAAGATCGCAACAGCTTGCAAGAAATGGTCGACCAACAAGGCATCACTGTGCAGGATATCGACCGCATGACAGCCGAACGGAAACGACTTCAGACCGGTGTTGAGAGTACAAACTTGCGACTGGAAGAGACTCGGGATGCGGTAGCCAAGAAAGAAGCAGAAGCAGCTCAGAAGCTTGAGGAGCTTGAATCTGTGGTTTCCAGATACAATCGTATGGCTTATGAGATTGGTGTCATTCCTCCGGACGCACCAAATGCTCACGGTCAAGAATACGAGTTGATTCTCACTACCAATGAAGGACCTGCATTTGGTTCGTCTCAAATGGGTGAGCAGCCACAGGATTCTGATCATCTACTCGCCGAGACAGGCACTGGATACCAACCGCATCATCTCCTCAATCTGGACGTCCGAGGCAGTCTCAAAACCAACATGATCAACCTACGAAAGGAGATTTTCGAACGCAGAAACAATGCTCTTGAGGTTGACATGAACAACCAAGATTTGCTCGACAAAATCAAGGAGGCCATTGGAGACAAGAAGGCCGAGACCGAGACGCTGGAGCATCGTGTACGAGCTGCGGAGGATGAGTTCGAGAAGACGAAAGAGGTCAGTGTTAACACAGTAGTGGAAATACGAGCACTGTCGCTAACTTCAAGCAGNATCACAAACTCGCAGAAAATGGCATCGGATGCTCAAATTGAGAAGATGGAAAAGGAGCTTGCCAGAATGCGTGCTGGACTCACAGAATCAGTCCAGCTAATGGAGCAACGCGAGATGAACACCAATCTCGAATACGAGCAGTTGACAGTTGCATCTTCAGCACTCCGCGAAGAGCTCCACACCGAGCTTGAACGCATGTTAAACGACATTATTAAGTTCAAGGTTCACATCCAGAGCAGTCTCGAGGGCTACGAAGAGTTTGTGGCTCAGGAGGTTGAACGTGAATGCGAAGAGCAGGAAAGGGAGGAGATGGGTGCCGATGACGAGAAGTACGGCGAGGATCTCGAAACAAAGGTGGAAGAGATGGATCTCGACGACTAAGGAGATGTTTATAATGGCTTGACGAATTGGTCATGTTGGAAAGGTCTGGTGTGATCACGGCGTTTGGACTGGTCTGGTTGGGTGGTCTGCTTGATGATACCTCTCTGCTGTTATTTGGATACTGGATGGATATTACGAATGTCTTTGAGATTGTTGAACGCTGCTGCCTGTGTTGGAAGAAGAAAGAGTGACAGGGTGGCTAGAGAGTCCGTGCATGTACCGCCACGTCGAGGCTGAGCACTTTCGTTGCTAGTTCCAGCGGTTGCCCGCCAACACCTGTTCACATCAACAAACCCCTGCTTTTTGTCGCGACATCTTCAGCAACCTCGTCGCATACCGACTGCGATAAACTCAGTCAAGATTCAGCCCGATTCACATCGTCTTCGTCCCATCATGGACAGCCCCGAACCCGATACGCCCTTTGCGGCCGTCAGCGCCCAAACAACAAGAGCTGGAATGGTGAGCTGAATCGCCCCTGTCCACCCCTAGGCACCTGGGAAAGAGATGGATTCTGTCTGCGCTGGGTCGCTGTGTTACGGACACTCAATACACGAGTACAAGAATACAGGCTAAGACTTTTGGTTTAAACGCAGNCTCTACCAATCGTACCTTGACAAGTCAACGCCGTACAAGACATATCGCTGGATTGGAACTGGTGTCGTCTTCCTCATGTTCGCTCTGCGCATCTTCTTCGCTCAGGGCTGGTATATCGGTAAGAACATCTCGCCTGCCACATCCAAGCACGACCCCCTAACACTTTCTACTCACNNAGTCGCATACTCGCTCGGCATCTACCTCCTGAACCTCTTCCTCGCCTTCATCTCGCCCAAGTTCGATCCCGGTCTCGAGTCTGCCGAGGACATGGAAGAGGGAAGCAGCGGAGATCTCCCCACAAAGTCAACCGACGAGTTCAAGCCATTTGTGCGCCGTCTTCCCGAGTTCAAGTTCTGGCACGCAGCCACCCGCGCCATTGTCATTGGATTCTTGTGTTCATGGAGCGAGATTTTCAACCTGCCCGTCTTCTGGCCTGTTCTGGTCGTCTACTGGTTAATTCTCGTTGTCTTGACCATGCGCCGCCAGATCCAGCACATGTTGAGTAAGACCATCTACAACGCATATACTGCAAGAGAGCCAATGGCTGACAAACAAATCAACAGANNGTACAGATATGTCCCATGGGACTTTGGCAAGAAGAACTACGCCGCTAAGAACAGCAACTGATTTTCATGCGAAATCAAAAACGAAGGCCTGCATTAATGTTATACGAAGCTCGCGCCAATTTGTATTAAAGAAAAGAAATGCATCGACTCTGTTACGATTTTGAAGATGGATCCGAAAGGATAGGGTTGTGGGGCATTGGTGCAATGAGGTGTAAGGGGCACCATTTCTTGCTGTTGGCCCTTTTCGACTTATAGCGTACATTGTTCGATTCTCACTTTGTTCTACTTGGATACCATACAAGCATCCGAATGAAAACATGCTTGTAATCTCCAGGTTCTCTCAGCCTCCAACTCGGGTGTCCGGCATTTTTGTACTCGCATTATCGCTTCAGCACTCAATTGAGTCGAACCAATGTATTGATAGAGCAAGAAGCTGTCGACCATGTATTCGAGGAAAATATTTGACAATGATCCAAATATGTCCCCTTGTGTCTTTAGACTGGTAGGACGATTTCAACAACCAGATACATATATGGTACTGATTAGGGTGATATGCGCATTGGTATACGGCGTTAAGAGGAGATAAGCAGACCAGACGTCACGCATGCACATTTGGAAGGAAACACAACCGACTCTTCTTTCAACCAAACAATATACAAAACATGGCGACACCACAGAGACCTGAGCAGGGCCACTCCAGGCACCCATCGAGCGACACTAGACGCGGTATGATCTGACAATTGTCTGGCAATACGGATAGAAAGCTAACACTCTCTNNAGTCGCAATGCCGCGGCGTAGCACAAAGGGTCCGTTGGATGTCGATACGTCGTGAGTCACAAGACACTCCTGTTCTTGATGCGTTGAATTGCTGATGGGAAGATCCAAAGANAGTGTACCGACCTTCCAACCACCAACGCCAGCGCTACAGACCGTATTACCGCCCTCACCAGCACCCACATCCATGCCAGTGCGAACGGCATCGCCTGCCTCGTCTCTGCTATCTCCCGTCCAACAGAGTCAAACATCAATACGAACGCGATCCAAGAGTCCAGGAGCTCGAACCATGCAACTAGACCTCTCACTCCTCCTTCGACCTTCCCTCTACGCTCCCGTACCGACAACTCAGATCGCCGCTCCTTTCCTCGACTCCTCACACCAACCAGCCCCAGACACAGATCTGGACACTCTTCTATCAAACCGGCGATTCATACATGCCGCAGACAAGGCGACCGACATTCTGACGTCTGGGTCTGTCTCACCATCAGACACACAAAGAATACTCGGATTGCTGTATACTCGTTTCTCCTGCCTCGTCATCTGTAATCAAACCACTCTGGCTGCAAAAGAAGCAAAACCATTATCCGATCTACTGGCGAGGGAGAGTGGTACCTACACACGACCCTATCGTGAAGTCTTTCTCTCTCAAATACCATGGTCGTTGCGGCTGTTGCTTCTCAAGCTTCAAGTCTTGGGAACGGCGGATCTGCATAGGAGAGCTATCATGGGCTTGTACGCGTTGTCATCTGAATGCCGCACCCTGGCACAAAAAGCGAGGGTTGAGAAGGATGACGCTGGATTCAAAGTCTGGAGAGACAGATTATCGGATCTCGGCCTTAGAGTCGCTAGCGAGTTGATCGAAATGGGTGAACTGGAAACAGCACGTCGACATCTTGCCACTCTATCATCTCAGCCCACAGACCCGCTCGAAAACAACAAGATGTGCATCCGGAAGACCCTCCTCTTGCTCAAGATCGGCGACACAAAAGCAGCAAAAGAATGTCTAGCTTCCTACACCTCTACACCATCAACGGACCAAAACATCGAGATCCAAAAACAAGTCCTGGAAGCGCTTACCCACTTTTCTTCCTCTGATATCCCTGCTGCAGTCTCTTCTCTTCAATCCCTCGCCGACAAGTATCCCTCAAATCCTCTAGTCACACATAACCTTGCCATCGCATACCTCTACAACAACAATGTTGTTCTCGCTTCCGAGACTTTGGAGGCACTGATTACAGAAGACGAAGTCTTGTTTCCTACCTTGCTGTTTAACCTGTCTACAGTGTATGAATTGAGGACCGAGAGGGCTAGAGAGAGGAAATTGGAGTTGGTGGATAAGGTGGCGGAGATTGGAGTGAGTGGAGGAAGGTTGCAGGTTGGTGGGTTTGAGAAGGGGATGGGGGAGTTTAAGTTGGCTTGATGGGTTGTGTGTTTTGGATGGTTGGGATGGAATATTAGTATGGCTTTTACGAGGGCCATCTTTCTTTATGTGTGCTAGAGGTGGCAGGAAACGATCATCTGATATGCCATCACTTCTGGAACCAGCAAGACCAAGCAGCTGCAAAGTCGACGTCTCTACTTCTGTGAATAGGCACCGCGATAACATCAATTCGTCAACCAATCGACCTCGAGAACCTCGCGATCTTGAGCAAATCATCGACTTAACAGGACCCACAGTCGCCCTTTAACTACCATTGATTGCGAGTAAAGCTTCTCCCTATTGACTCATACTATCACTGTCAAAGATGAAGCCGGAAAATGGTACTACCGCTACTGCCATGAATCTTCGACTCTTGGCGATAGATCGAAGTTCTATGCAGCTGGCCGTCTATGTACTTCGGTACCATGGTTATATACTAAGATGATCTGTACCCACCAGACAAGCCATCAGGTCTGTGGCTCTTTCTCACCACCATCTTTCTAAAGGATCACGCTGATACTGCCAGATGCAATGATCTCTATCCTTCTCTCTTTTGTCTGTGAGTCAAGTCTGCTCTGCCGGTTGTATCGGCGATTAAAGGATATGATCAGGTCAGCAATACGGCATACATCTCCGCGTCCTCAGAGAATGTAGTTTGTATACCGCCTGATGTTATTAATCTGCAAATGACCACCTTAATAACAGGACCTGGATGAGCGCATCAGTTCGCGAAGGCTGCAATACTGGACAAGCATTCAGTTCAACTCTTGTACTCCGGACTTCACAGCGTATATCAAGCATGTATCATCTACGTCTATGACCATGGATATCGAGGAAGGTTTTGTATCTTCACATCCCTCCGAGGCTCCAGATGAAGTCCGATGCTCATTTCGATCTCTCACAGCTCCTGCATATCTGACCAATTTCTCCATGTGGTCTTGAGTCACAAGTCCATCTGCTCAATCGCCGAGTGTAACGCATAATGCTAAGGCTTCAACCGACACACATACTAGTTGCTTACCTCGCTCCGAGCTTTCGCAACAGGTGTATATACCAAACTAATCGTCCCTCCTCCATCAATCGAGCTCTGATCCCTCCGGATCCAGCTTGATACCCTGGCGCTTTGGCTGAGTGGTTATAGCGATAGACTAGAAATCTATTTCCTTCGGGAGCGCAGGTTCGAGTCCTGCAGGCGTCGTTCTTTTGCTCTGTACAGACGCTCTAGACCATTCTTTTGCACTCCCGAATGTGTTGGGAAAGTGGGTGGATCGGGTGTTGGAAACGGGGCTGAGAAATTCTGGTGGAGAAGGAAATTCCCTGGATTTGAGCCCCTGAAGCCTTGGCAAGATTATTGTTTTGGAAGAGCAATCGCGCTTTTGCAGATTGGAGGCAGTAGAATGCACGATTATGCTGTGAGATAGAATGATTGGAATGAGAGTGTAGGCAGAAAAAGATAGATTTTGTTGTGCCGTGGTGAGATTCTGTCACCTCTCATATCTGAAACCTTTGCACACGTCCTTCACATATAAACCCAATGCAAGCAGTAGCAGCAGCTCAGCAAGCAAGCACACATCAGACAATAGATATCCACTGACATCGTGGAAAACTCTGAGACCTCTGCACTATCTTGTATAGTATACCTGCTTATCTATACAACAATACCAGATGTCTCCAGCATAAGCAAAACAACAGCTCTTTTCCAATCCCTCTCGAAACCTCCAGAGCGCAGACAAAACGATGTCGCAGCCGTGAATCGAACACGGGGCTCGTGCATGGCAAGCACGAATTTTACCACTAAACCACTGCGACTAATGTTTCACGTATTCACGTGATGAAGCAATGACTCTCAATTCTGTATATAGTTACTCGATCATGGTAGTGTGGTAAGGATCATAGCAGGCGGTAGTAATGGCGTCCTAGACATAGAGAACCGTATTCCATTAGGTAGTGGTAGGATCGAAAATCAGTCCTTAGCTCTTATAAGAATAGTAACAGATTTTGTCCTATGGTTGCTTCAACTCGAGAATTCCAAGCTGTTCGGCAAGGATATAAGGCAGGCTTCTGGCCAAAACCTCGATGAACCACTTATTCGACCATTGAAGCACCAATTTTGTTCAGGATGTACACATATATGTATCCAGAATACAGTTACTTGAAACGATTGTTCCGAGCCTTCCGGAATTCAGATATACAGCATGGTTGGCTGGAGAGAGAGTGATTATCGCTATTGTAGCCAGGGTGCCACTCTCAGTAACTCCGACTTGGGGGTTACTGCGCCAACTACACCAAGCACAAAATTCGAACAAAAGTCGTATAACGAATTGTCGCACAATTCGTTCATAGTGTAGTTGATCCACGTTAGAAATGACACTTGCAACACTCAGAAGCGGTCTGATCCAAGAAAGATAAGAAAGCAAGGAAAATATCCGACATTAGACGGAGAGCAGTCAGAGAAGCAACGGAGAAAGAGATTGCTGTTAGATTCGAGGGCAAGGAATAATCATCTTTGAGCACATAGCGCGATAACTGGCTGCGAAGAGTAGAAAAATGCAGAATGCTGGAAAGTGAACACGAAGAAGGAGAGAGCGAGCACATATACTCGTGTGAGTAGGAGCGATAAAGGAGGAAGGATCGACCAAGGAGGAAGTAGCGACCAGGGACTCGAACGAAGGTGCGACCCCGATTAGTCATGAGGATACCCAAGGAAGGAGCGATCTGATGATCAGGGAGAAGGTGTGCTTGGACAACACGGATGTAAGGAGCGGCCCTGTAGCTTGGCGAAGGAGGTGCAATGAGCCGCAGCAAAAAGCAGCAACGAGCGCAACGAAAGAAAAGATACCCTGGTGAAGGAAGTTACATGTCGAGCACAGAGCGCGGAGTGATTGAGTATCTAGGACCCAGAAGAACCGAGTAAACCAGATGGAGAGAAGAGGGACAGAAAAGTCAGAGAGAAAAAACCAAACGGTCGTAGTTGAGCGAGAGGGAGCAACCTGTCGGGAAGATATGGAAGGGGCGATCGGATAACCTGAAAGGAAGGAGCGATCAGACATGGAAGAAAGATGCAGCAGAATACGAAAGGAAGGCGCAAACCACGCCAAAATCAGAGAAGGGAAAGAGCCAGGATGTGACTAGAATGGTACCCGTATCAGGGCAAAATAGTATATTTGGTAGAAAGAAGAAACGAAACTTCAACAGTCAATCGCGCTCACTAAACTCCAATTTTTCTCATGCCGTCTTCGCTCGACCCGCACAATCTTTTTCTTTTCGATTATGCCATTTTTCGATGTTTTTGTTTTGTTCTTGTTCAGTCATTAGATGCCGCCGTTGAGCGGTGCTGCTCCTTCGGTGACCTGTTGTGCTAGAGCAGCCTGTTGAGCAGCAATCTGATCGGCCTGATTTACAGCCGTTTGAATGATTTGTTGCTCCTCAGGGCTCAGCGTCTTGGTCAGGTCTTGGTAGAGCTGAGGTTGTTGTTGCTGGAGNNTACTGTGAGGTGTTGTTAGTGGTCGATCTTTGGACACTTGTAGTCTTATCTTGAACTTACGGAAAAGTGCGTGCTTGAACATGCCATATGGCTCAACCTTATCCAAAGGTGTCTCAAGCAATGACTCCTCTTCCAACTCATCATCATCGTCATCATCGCCAATGGAGCTAAATTTGGATGCTTGCTGTGACAGGAAGTCGAGGTAAGCAGCGCTTTCATCCTTGACATCGTCTGCCTCGCCCTCAATCTCCTCAGCTGTCCAGTCAACTTCACCCTCCCACTCTTCATCCTCTTCCTCATCATCGTAATCGCCACCAAGGCCAAAGTCATCTTCCCGAGTTGCCTCCTCGCGGTTCTTGATTGCCGCAGGAAGGGTCTGGAAAAGACGAACGATACCTTGGAGCAGACGAGGCCAGCCAGGTTGTACACTGACGGGAACTTGGTCTGCAGGCAAAACAATGAGAGAAGTGATGGCGGCGATAGACAACTTCTTGTCGTGGACACGAGTGAAGATGTCGATACTTGAGAACCACAGGCTGAAGAACTTGTTAGTCTGGCCGTTGGATTCAAGAATGTGCAATGCGAGGCTGGGGTTGTAGTAAAGAGCATTGATGACGGTCTCCATCAAGTGGATGCGGTACGACTTGACCTTAACGTCATCGTTGTTCAGCACAGTCATGGCGATCATGACAAACTCAGGGATGTAGTTGTCAATGTGTCCACGGAGAGTGAGCATGAGCATCTCAGCAAGCTTGCAACCGCAGATACGCTCAACACCACCGACAGAATCGTTCTGGAAGATGGTGCGGATCATGTCTACAATGGCTTCCAGGTACTGAGGCTGGTGAATGAGAGCCTCGCTACCGTAGTTGACAAAGTTCTCGAGGGCAGGGAGCATATCTTCGAGGTAGAGCTCGGCACCAGACTTGAAGGTTCTGTGAATCAGCTCGAACGCGTTCCACATGGTAGAGGAGATGGTCTTGGCGGCAAAAGTGCAGCTGTCAATGATCTCAAAGACTTCGTTGTAGAGATCGTACAACTTGTGCTCCAGGGTGATGGTAATGACGGGCATGAGGATAGTCTCGAGGTGAGCCAGAACGTCAGGGGTGCTCTCGAGGGTCAAAATGAGGGTACCGATAGTCTGAAGAACACCCAAAGCAGTAATGCTCTTGTCGTCCAAGAAGTCACCATACTCGTCATCGCCCTCCTTGGACGAGTTGCGCTCGATCAGCTCACGGACGATACGAAGGTAAGTATCGCGAAGTTGCTCGCTGAGAGCAACGGCGAAGGGAGTGAGCTCAGCGGCAAAGACCTCGACAAAGTCCTCCATGACGTTGGCCAGAGCATCGACATCGACCTCGTTGGCCAGCTTAAGAAGCTGCTGCATGATCTGAGGAATGTCGCCTTGCATGGAAATACGGATAACATCGTGACGAATGAGGGGCTGCAGAGCGAGCGAAGCCTCGACACGGACGGGCAACTCGGGATCGGCCATGGACTCGAGGATGTTACGGTAGATGATAAGGAGGTTGTTGGAGTCTTTGAAGTCGAGAGCCTCGAACTTCTCAAGTGTGTCGCATGCACGAGCACGCAGGTAACCGTGAGGGCTGCGGAATTCGGGGAAGACGTGTCTGACAAAGAAGAACTCGACCTGGTCTGCGATAGGGCTCTTCTTGCCGAGAATGACACCAGACAGAGTTCCAATCATGCGCAAAGCACCCTCCTTTTCTCTTGGGTTCTTCTGGTCCTCGGGAGCAGATTCGTAGCGGTTGACGACATCGTTAATGTAGTTGAGGACGGAGAAGGTCTGCTTTCTGCGGGCCTTGGTCATGGTGACCAGGAAGTTTGTAGCGGCGACATCGGGAGCGGAAACCTCTTCGTAGAAGTTGAGCTTGCGGTGGAGGTACTCGGAGGGGTCGGTCTCGAACAGCTCAATGTCCTCGTCGGACTGGCAAAGGACGGGGAAGATCAAGTGCTGGATCAGGATCTGCATGTGCGGCTTGAGATGATCCCACATGGTCTTGGGCTTGATGCACTCTTCCATGAAGACCAGGGTGAAGCTCAAGCAAGGCTTGCTGAGCCATGTAGTCTTGCCAACCCATTTCTCGATCTGGCCCAGGTAGCCCTTGAGAATCTCAGGGGCAAAGTCCTTGATGAAGCTCTTTGCGAATTCTTGGTACTCAGCCTCGGTCTTGGCCAGGTTCGAAGGGTTTCCGTATCNTGTTCTTGTCAGTCTCGTCTTCATTCCCAGCTCTTGATCTTGACTGCAAACGCACCTGACGTATAGCCTGTTCAGGTTGACGTATGACCACTTCTTGCACTTGAACCAGTGGTTCTGCTCGCGCTCGTCCAAATCCTCGACCATGGCCTCGGCTGGGGNGTCCTTTGCAACGATGTTCAGGAAAAGAGTGCACCAGCCGACGATTTGCTGTTGCTCGCGCAAGTGACGCGGAAGCTCAAAGTAAATGGCGTGCTTGTAGGCCTTGAGGACAGTGCGCAGCATCTCACCAGCCTCGAGACTGGTCTCGTTGACTAGGCTGTTGGCGATTGCGAGCAACTGAGGGAAGGTCATCTCGACAATCTTGTCAAAGTCATCTCTTGTCTCGCCCATCTTGAAACGGTAGACGCGGCAGATGGCCAGCAGACATTGCAGACCAGCAAAGACGCTTCCGGCATCCTGCTGGTTCAGGAGGTTGACGGTGATGTTGAGGAAGTCGGGCCAGTGGTCGGGGAAATCGTAGTGGAGGATCTTTTGCAGGGTAGCAACGAGTTGGGCACGAATCTGCGGCGGCGAGGCGGCGAGGATAGGGACGAGACGTTGGCGGATGACCTGCTTGTCACCTTCGGGGACGGCCTTGAATCGCGTTTGCTCGTTCTCGATGGGAGCCCAGCCCTTGGTGATGCGGTTCTTGAGGTAGACGACNNGGCTGGCAAACAAGTCAGTCGTTGTGCATGCGGTTGGTGCAAACACAAGGCAAGGCTCACTAGATAGGCGCACTGCTTGGTCCTGTTCGGCCTCGAGGATGTTCAGCAGGGCCTCGCAGAAGCCGGGCGTGTCTTCGGCNNCTGGGCAAAGTGTCAGTGATGTGGATATGGCGGTAGGGAGTTGCAGTGGTACATTTCGCAAATCCAGCTCGGCCTGGCGACGGGCATCAGCGTTGGCGGACAGAGTAGCCTGGACGCGAGTTCTCAGGGCGGCGACGTCCATGGTGGGTGAGAGAGTCCGGTGAAAATGCTGCTTCCCTCCGCGAGAAACTACTTGTGAATTGCACTGGCGCCCTCCAGAAATTAATTGAAAATCGTCAGCCTGGTCGGCTTTGGAGTGTTCCCTTTGAAACTTGGGCTCAGGGTCTGGCCGTGGCATTTTTCGAGAGCCAAGCCAAGCTCGACTTTTGTCCGACCGAAGGACGCTGCCAACAGCAACACCCGTCGAATTAACAACAACAGGAACCGTTTCATGCTAATCTTCAGCTTTTGTCTTATAGGAAAGAGCGTGGGTCTTTTGATCGTGTAGCTCTCTAGATGTTCTTGAACGTGACAGGCAGTTGCAGTACAAGAAAGGCACGCTAACGCATGGACTGAGCGACGAACTAGGAAATACCTGTTCGACTGTTTGAAGACCTGTTTTATGGAAGGAGCGTGATTTTGCGACTAGCAATCTGGTGATGTGCGAGTATCTCTGATAACGACAGCAGACCGAAAAACATTGGCTACACCACTCCGCCCATATGCCGACCAACAAACAATTACACCCCAACGCCAACCCTGTGGGTGCTATCGCTCAGTAACTTATTTCACTCCTCGCGCAAATGGATCGACAGCTTCGCCTGCTCGCCAGTTAGCCATGTCGAGAAAGAATCAAGGTTTCCGCACCACTTGGTTGTCTCCCACGAAGCTCCCCCATCGGACCATAATCGCCATTTCCAACCACAACATGATAGGCATGACATGTGGATCACCCTGATCATTCGAGAACAAGTCGATCGCCAGCTGCAGAAGCTCTCCAGTCACGCCGAGTGTCTCTGCGAAGTTGGGAAGCGCACCGAGACCAATAAAGTACATTTCTGGCACAAGGTGGGCGCGCTCTCGCATGTATTGGATGACAAACTCGACGATACTTCCATGAGAGCGATCGACTCTTCTCAACCAAAGAGATTGTAAGCGCTCTACTGCGGAGTCGGTCAGGCCTAGCGACTCGAAAGCGGCTGTTGAGCGGTGTTGCTTGGAATAGGTAGGAGTCCGTGGCTCGGGGCTCGGTGTGTCTTGGCCGTAATGCCATCCGTCGGCATCGAAGCACATCTTGGAACAAATACCAGGATGAAATTTGACAGAGGAACGCAATGAGAAAGGACGATGTTAGATGCTTATATATCGGCTTGTGCGAAACCGAAATACAAACTCACTCATCTCTGGCTCATATCATCTTGATTTTAGACCTTCGCAAAGTCAATTCGAGAGATACCCGACTTGTGGGGTCTGATATCTGGGGATGCATCTGCCTGAGGTATTGAAGATGGCTATAAAGCTCGCTTCATGTTACGCTATTGATAAGGTCATAATTGGGTAAAGACGTAGTGCATGCTGAAGACGGAGCTTTGATACTTCATAGCCTACTATATCCGAGTATGAAGATCTCAAAGGAATGAGTCGAAATGGCGACATAGAAATATTTGATCTTGGTCGTGTTGTTGAATTGAAGTAAAGTGAGCAACTCGGGGGCTGGTGCAAAATATCGACGTCGTCGCTAGGATCATTGCGTCACCGATTTTGCGGTCAAACATCCAGCTTCGATTATTGACGTTCAACACTTTACCTCTGTGAACTCATCAACCAAGCAAAATTATTCGAATTCCTACAAGATGGATGATCTAGCGCCTGCGCTGCAAAAGCTGCGCCTCGCAGATGCACCTTCGGAAGGAATTGATGCCATCCTCGACCAGCAACGCCCTAGGAAGCGCACGAGAAGATCGCCAGACCACATCCGCTCGAGCTTGGAGAAGGACTTTCTGGCACCCTCTACATCCTTTAGCACTCCATGGCTCGACCGTCTGCAACAGCGATGGGATTGTCCGACAAACCACGAGGAGCTCTTTGAACTGGCTCCTAGCCAAACGCGTACCATCATCAGATTCACACGTGAAGGTCTTGAGGGCCGCGTTACTGGCTACAAGGAAGTCACTGTTCCAGCAAACAGCGCCACTGCAAAGAACTCAACCTCAATCCTGAGAAAGCCCGCGAATCGCGCAGACTTTGTGCGTGGTGCAGCCGGCTTCTTCCCCTTCGCTCCTGGAGGTCTAGATGCGGTCGAAGCTACTGCTGCTGCTGAGGAACAGCTTCTGCTCGGAAACCAGGCCAACGGTACTGTCAAGCAAGGTGGACTGGACAAAGTCATCAATTTCGGACCTGACGGCGCACTACTCGAGCTTCCTCCTGGATTTACCCGTGGACTGGATTTGCAAAAGAAAGCGCCCACAGACCAGGCCACCGCTCAAGAGGTCGAAAATGTACTGGAAGAAGAGCCTCGGGACCCTGTCGCCGCCAATGGAGATCTTGCTGACGAGGCCAAACCTGCGGATGAGGACGAAGATGAAGAAGACGAAGAAGAGTTGGACGCCCTTCTCCCAGTCGAATTCCCTGCACTAGCCGCCAGAGGTCACCTCGGTCTGTCAAGTAACAAGAGATCTGGTCATGAATGGGCTCACATGGTCGACGTTAATCGGCCAATGCCCAACTTCCGAGATTTGGTTCCAGAAATGGCCCGTGAATGGCCTTTCGAACCCGACACTTTCCAGAAGGAAGCCATCTATCATTTGGAGAACGGCGACTCTGTCTTCGTGGCGGCTCACACTTCTGCCGGAAAGACGGTTGTTGCAGAATATGCCATTGCATTGGCAGCCAAGCATATGACCAAGGCCATCTATACTTCACCTATCAAGGCTCTGAGTAACCAAAAATTCAGAGACTTCCGTCAAGAGTTTGACGATGTTGGTATTCTGACTGGTGATGTTCAAATTCGTCCCGAGGCAAGCTGTTTGATCATGACTACTGAGATCCTGCGAAGTATGCTCTACCGAGGCGCGGATATTATCCGTGATGTCGAGTTCGTCATCTTCGACGAGGTACACTACGTCAACGATTTGGAGAGAGGTGTTGTCTGGGAGGAAGTCATCATCATGTTGCCCGAGCACGTCACTCTTATTCTGCTCTCTGCTACTGTACCCAACACTCTTGAATTTGCTTCATGGGTTGGACGTACCAAGAAGAAGAACATCTACGTCATCTCGACACCCAAACGTCCAGTGCCTCTGGAACATTATCTGTGGGCAGGCAAAGAGATGTACAAGATTGTTAACTCCGACAAGCAGTTTATTGAAAAAGGCTGGAAGGATGCAAATGATGTTCTGTCCGGCAAAGACAAGATCAAGGCAGCTGAAGAGAAGTAAGAGGCAGCTGCTGCCGCCGCTAGAGGTGGTGGTTCGCAGAGAGGTAGTCGTGGCCAGACACAACGTGGCGGTCCACAAAGAGGTGGTGCCCAGCGTGGCGGAGCGCAACAACGTGGTCGTGGAGGCGCACCTGCTCCGCGCGGTCAAGGCAACATCGCCCGTACCGGCCGTGGAGGCGGTAGGACGACAGCAGCTCAAGATCGTAACATCTGGGTGCATTTGATCCAGCATTTGCGCAAAGAGGATCTGCTTCCCGCGTGTATCTTCGTCTTCTCCAAGAAGAGATGTGAGGAAAATGCAGAGGCCCTGTCGAACCTGGATTACTGCACTGCAACCGAGAAGAGCGCTATCCACATGATCTTGGAGAAGTCTCTTGCTCGACTGAAGCCGGAGGACCGTCAGCTGCCACAGATCCGTCGCCTGCGCGAGTTGCTCAGCAGAGGTATCGCAGTTCATCACGGTGGTATGCTACCTATTGTCAAGGAGTGTGTCGAGATTTTGTTCGCCAAGACCTTGGTGAAGGTTCTGTTCGCTACCGAGACCTTCGCTATGGGACTGAACTTGCCAACCAGAACAGTCGTCTTCTCTGGGTACCGAAAGCATGATGGACGTCAGTTCCGCGACCTCTTACCCGGAGAGTATACACAAATGGCTGGTAGAGCAGGAAGAAGAGGTCTGGATCCTGTTGGTTCGGTCATCATCGTCGCTCCTGGAGCCGATGAAGCACCACCCGCTGGTCGACTGAGACAGATGATGTTGGGTGATCCTACCAAGCTTCGCTCGCAGTTCAGACTCACTTACAACATGATCTTGAACCTTCTCCGTGTGGAGGCTCTGAAGATCGAGGAGATGATCAAGCGCAGTTTCAGTGAGAACGCGACTCAAGCATTGTTGCCTGAGCATGAACAAAAGGTCAAGCTTTCAGAAGCAGATCTCGCAAAGATCAAGAGAGAGCCTTGCGACATTTGCGACAAAGATCTGGAAGAATGCCATACCGCAGCTATGAGATACCAGCAACTCACATCGGATTTGCACCTTGCTCTTCTTGGCTCACCAATCGGTAGAAGAATGCTGCAACCCAAGAGATTGATCGTGTACAAGAGAGACGGTATCAGGACGGTCGGTGTTCTGCTTCGCGAAGGCGTGTCCAAGGGTATCTCGCCAAGTCTCTCGGTGATGGAAGTTGTTCCTTCAAAGTCGAAGAGACAGAACGCCGATCTACTGCCTTACCTTCCTCGATACAGACGTCGTTTCACCCCACAACCTGCAGCTCCCGAGCAGATGAAGCTCAGACTTGCAACAGTACCATACAGTGAGCTCGAATGTTTGACTGGAAGCACTTTGCAGTTTGACGTCACTGGCGCGTCAAGCAAGATGCCAGAAGCCATGGAGCAAGTCAAGGAGCAGTTGTTGGGCGCATGCTCTGGCTGGACATCCGCCACCTGGCAGGAAGCCGACTACTCTAGAATCAAGGAAATTGGTATCCGTAATATCTTGGATGAGCGCAGCAAGGCAGCATACGACGCCCAAGAAAACAAGGAAAGCGTCCTTTGCGACAACCTGGACAAGCACTTTGCCATGATGCACGACGAATGGCTCATCAAGGAGAACATCAACCAGCTTCGCGCATTGATGTCGGACCAGAATCTGCAATTGCTACCCGACTACGAGCAGCGTATCGCAGTCCTCAAGGATCTCGGCTTCGTAGACGAAAACTCCCGCGTCGAACTCAAGGGCAAGGTCGCCTGCGAGATTCATTCAGCCGATGAGCTCGTACTGACCGAATTGGTTCTCGAAAACGTGCTTGCCGATTACGAGCCCGAAGAGATTGTGGCACTGCTCTCCGCCTTTGTCTTCCAAGAGAAGACCGACCAGATCCCGACCATGACGCCAGCACTGGAACGCGGACAAGAAACCATCATCAAGATTTCCGAAAAGGTCAACCATTACCAAACCCTCCACCAAGTTATTCTTTCCGCAGATGACTCCAACGACTTTGTCAGCAGACCTAGGTTTGGCTTGGTCGAAGTTATCTACGAGTGGGCGCGCGGTATGTCGTTCAACCGCATCACTGACTTGACGGATGTGATGGAGGGAACTATTGTGCGTGTGATTACGCGTCTGGATGAGACTTGCAGAGAAGTCAAGAATGCGGCAAGAATTATTGGTGACCCTACGTTGTTCACCAAGATGCAGACTTGCCAGGAGATGATCAAGCGCGATATCTGTGCTACAGCATCGTTGTATATGTAGAAACAGAGACATAGCTTTACTTCGGTACCATAAAAAGCTACCTTGAGTACCTCGCCTTTTTTCCATGAGTCTTGCTACGTTTTCTCTTCTTGCAAGCGTTTCTTCACTACGAGAAATCAATGAGATCCTTACTTTCCCCAGCCAACAAGATATCCTTGATGTCATTCCTCGTCGCCTCCGTCACGCCAATGGCAGTAAAATATGCTTCCACAGAACCATACCTGCCTTCCAACCGCTGCCTCAACACACTTGCCCACTGCGGTCTTGCTTGCGCCCAAGCACTGACCTCGAACCGAACATCCTTTTCCCACTGTTTATCACTCTCCTCATCAACCTTGAACGGCAACCCTTCACTGATTCTCAGATACGTGGCTTCGATTGCCGAAAACGGAGTTTCTAGGAGCAAGAGCAAGAGAAAGATGACCAAGCAGGGGTCTCGCATGATGCGGTCCCCGCTGATGAGTAGAGGGTAGAAATGGGGGTTACAAAGAACTTCGTTGAACAGTCTCGCTATCAATGGTGCAGATAAGATCAGAACCAGAGTATTGTCGTCAATATTGCTCCGTTTCCAGAGTGAATCTTTGCTTTTCTCTAGTAGAGCCGGATCTTCGCGATTAGTTGTTGCATTTGCTTCCCAGTGAAACTTGCTGTGCTTAAATCAGCTTGATCCGGTAAACTTGGCAAGGCAAGTCTCTTACACATTGGANNCCGTCATTTCTCTCATAGCATTCTTGATAAACTCATCGTAGCGAAATACTACACGGCATGAAACCAAGCCTAACACATCTTCGAGGGCAAAGTCTTCGGTTTTCTTTGCTAGAGATGGACCGTCGTGGATGTAGTGTGGGCCGTCTGGTCTTGGGAGTGTGTTGACGATTGTGTTGATCTTGAGGGCTTGTCGAAGATGTTGTTTGTCAGGGGTAGTGGCAAATTCGATGGGTGTGCTAATGAAGAGTAGATTTTGCTTGAGTAGTGGGGTGTTTGCTGATGAATTGGTAATGGCACCGATATCGTGGACCTGTATCCAGTTTGACAAGCCTGGTATGATTGTCGTGTTGGTGGTCGACTTCTCCATATTGCGGACTTGTTTATGGAAAATCGCAGTATCGTAATTGTTGGATAGCAGGAAATCTGCACACCAGGTTCGCGACTCGCAATAAATCCCTCTCAAAGGATGCGATTGTGCGCAAGGACACTCGTGACGCTTCAGAGAGAACAAGGCATTCTTGAGATAACGGATCGTCACTCATTGACAGATCACGCGCATCCTATAATAGCATTCTGGTAATAGATGAGTATCAAAGTAGGCTCCAAAGAACCTTTGGAACGAAGGATCAGAGGCCCTAGAACCAGCAACATTCTTCGGAGATCGTGGTTTCGAGGAAGGAACAAGCAAAAGGCTCTTGCTCGATTTGGAAATCCTACCGAGGCAGTTAGGATATAGTTCTGGATACGGCCGTAACAAGTGACAGCCATTGTATATGCACATCTCTGTATATCTTGAACATAGTCGCATACATGTCGTCTAGATTATGCTCGAAGGTCTTTGATCACCTCCGCCGCCGCACGCTCGCCACTCCGCACAGCACCTTCCATATACCCCTTCCACTCTCCAGCAGTCTCTGTACCTGCAAAATGTAAACTATTCCACGGCTCCCTCAAGCTCCCACCTCCCAGCGAAGAAAGCACACCAGGAGGCAACCCAGTGCAAGGACATCCCCACCCAGAATATTCATCCTTGATCCATTCATAAGTAACCAGTTGGATAAACTCCTTTTGAGCAATGTCTTCAGCTTTGAAGAGTTGGCCAATTTGCTTTAGGAGACTCTGTTCGCGGTCTGTTTCTGACAGTGCTGACCAAGCGAAGCCAGGGGAGCCGCCTAAGAAGCAAGTGAAGATGTGCTTGTTATCTGCTGGAGAACTGGTGTCGCGTATCACTCCTGCAGGACCGATGAACGATTGGGTGAGGCCGCAGAAACCTTTCTCGAGCCAGAATGGAGTGCGGAAAACCATCATGGCTTTGGTGTAGTAACCGTAGGTTGTCGATTCGATCCATGTTCGCTTGCTCGAGGGTAAGTCTGGCGAGAAGGAAATGTTCTTGAGTACTGGTGTTGGAACGGTAGTGATGACCTTGCGAGCACGTACGACTGAGCTTCCAGTGTGTACCTCGACAGCACCGCTTCCTGTATTGTTGTTGATAGCCATCACCGGGCTTGATAAACGTATCACACCATCTGGCATATCACCGGCCAATCCTTTCGAGAACAATTGCATCCCCTGACGAACACGAAGATGCTGGCCTCCACCCTTACGGTCCGACCGCATCTGCAAAAGTCCACCTCCGGACTTGCAGTAATTCAGAAAGTACAGTGCCGACAGATCTTTGGGTTCTTGTCCAAGCATCGCTCGTGTCCAGACGGTTGCTGTAGACATGCTGGTTTCACTGGCTCCTCGTGATTGCAGATATGCTTCAAAACTCATCGAGTCCAGAGTTTTGTCGCTAGGGTTAAATGTATCCAGCTTTTGACAATCTGCTTCGCACATGTCGCGGATACGTGCAACATCTTCCTTTGCCGCAGCATCAAANNCTGTATTAATCAGCCCATGGTATACTCCAGCAAGACAAAGGCCAAGACTTACTGGCGGCAATTCACCATATGCAAAACTCGAAATGCTACCATTGGCATCTTGAATAGCACATTTGCCAGTAGTGTTTTGCTCGATAAACTCAGCATTGTATTGCTTAGCCAATGCATACACCTGAGTCTGATTGACATCGTTAATCCAAGCAGCTCCTAGATCAACAACTCCTTTGCCGTCGGGAAACTCTTGGCTCCAAGTTTTACCGCCGACGCGATCTCTGGCTTCTAGGATGATACATGATAGACCTGCTTTGAGGACATCGCGAGCTGCTGTTAGACCGGCAAGGCCGGCGCCAATGATTACGACGTCGATTTCCTCGCTGGATGCAGGGTCCGCTGGGCGCATGTTTCCGTTTGTATGCACAGATTCAGACATGTTGTTGTATGTATCGAGGCGGAATCTGGAATCTGGAGTCCTCAGCCCACATATAGACGAGAAGCTCGACAGAAGGAGGAAGTCAAGATCCGTTATCGTCGCTGCGTTCTGCCCGACGCCTCAATCGGAAGCTTATCCCGAGCCATATCTCTCCGACTTCTCCGACAACGGGAAACATCTTGTTGCCCGTGTTGGACGATACGTGATGGCAGCGAAAAGAGGAGGTCTATCTTTCGCCGAGGCGGAAAGGTGGGGTTGGCCTATCTGCACGAAACGCGTGCGCGGCGAGCAGCACTCTTCGGACATTCCTCAGCAACATTCACGTCGTGCAAAATCTTGGATTATGGTTGTCAAGACCGTGGAGAGTCGGAATCTCGGAAGAGGGACATTTCATCCAATTTATCTTGCCTCGACAGTGTGATAGCAAAAACATCGTGCCCAATTTCGCCAAGACTTGTTAATGGAAGGATCAACAAACTGATCGGGAGGATCACACGTCTGGGATTCTTCGCAAGCCCGGCCCCAGCAAAACATTGATTCTGGAAAGAGCGCCCAAAGAAGAGCAAAGAATTCCTAAACCAGCTCTACTACGCCATCATCTCCTGCAAACACGACACCGTTCTTTGTTTTATGCTTGTTGTGGTGACAATATTACTCAGACACAGGTCTGAGTGAGTCCCTAACGAAATGAAAGGTTACATTGAAGCTCGGGAACCTGTTGTTGAAGCGACCGAACAGATCACGACAGGATGAGCAAAAATCAACTTTGCTAACAGTGATGATAGGCTGTAAGGAGTAGGTAGGCATAACACTCTCTAACCCCTGGAGATCATGCTCGTCTGCTACCATGAATAGTGAATGCCGAACAATGAGGTATGCGAGCAGCTGGGGCTCGACATGAGATGCCAAAGATCTGTTTCTTTGGAGACTCAGAAGAGCACGAAGGCTGTCAGCTTTACTTGTCCATAATGTGTTTTCTAGCACGTTTGACCAGCCAGTGTGTGAGTAGCCGCTCATCGCGTTGACGTAGGGATAATTAGGACCTCGATCCAAAGTCGCGAAAGCTTTTGTGGCCCCATGCGGCCCACTCGGTGGTCGAAGCATCACCTGAGGTCGATAAACATCAAGTGATCCATCCTTGTTCCTGTTGAAGAAGGCACGGCGCTCAAATACAAATTCCGGGCCTGATCGGGTTGATGGGGGCAGGATTAGTTGTTTGAGGAGTACTCGAATTTGTTCACGCTGAGAACTAGCAAGAGGAGGCTCACGGTAGACATCTCCAGATCGTATGGTTCTCTCGTTAATGTTGTGCGGTGTGTCAACCGCAAAGTCTGCTGCTTGCATGCCATTAGCGTCTCGTGCTTTGAGATCGACTCCCTGTTGGCTCAGAAATTGAACTGTGTCCGACCGGCCCCACAACGCGGCCTCCATGAGCGGAGTCCTTCCATAGTGGTTCGCTTGATGTATTGAGTCGCCATGATGATGAAGCCAGCGCAGAGTCTCGACTCCTTTCTCTTCTGTCGCAGCCAAAAGAGCTCCAGTGTTACCCTCTTTATCAACGGATCTCACTAGGTCATCATATGGGTACCGACGACAGAGCGACTTGAGCTCGTCAAGCTCTCCCAGAATACAATGAGAGAAATACAGAGATTGTCGAAAGTGCTCGTCGGCATAAAGCTCCCTTATGGTCTCTTCATAGCCAAGGGTTGGGATTGGCTCCGGTTTCCCGATTTCTGGGTCATCTTCAAGAGTGAAAGCTTCGGTGGCAGCAATCAGATTGCCAATATCGTATTCTACGTCTTCGTCTTGTATTCGGAATTGTGGTAGCAGGGTTCTATCGTCTTGAATCTCGTCCATCGGGATTGTGACTAAGCCTGCGTGATTGACAGTAACAAATTCGCATGTCTCGTGGTCAACTTCCCAGCCATAATCAGAGGTAATCGAGTGTTCTGCCTGTGGGAACACTAGGATGTATTGGCCTCCAATTTGCTTGCTCATGCAATGACTCCTTCTCCAGTCACCAGCTTCGCGGATCTTCCATCCTGTTTGCGACAGGTCAATATCCTCGGTGTCTGTTGGTTCAGAAAAGCCGTGTCCATGAGAACAGTGACAGTATGGACATCTGATCCGAAACGTATTACTATTCCATCGAAGAACAAGAGCCTCTGGAGGCTTAGGATAACGCTCCGTCATCTTCATGAGTCCTGATGTCTCAGAGATCTGCAAGCACTCGAGTTTTAACGACTACGATGAAGCTGACAAAGTAGATTGACTGGCCAGAATGTCCACTTGACAGCAAGATGGTACGAATAATGCTCAAATGTGGATAGCACACTTGTAATCAGGTGGCCCCCAAGGCGAGAGCAGGGAAGGAATGTAGAAGTCGCACCACAGCTTACCCCTCAGTAATATATGTATATATAGAATGGTGCGGAGGGTCTCCGAGGATTTCCCCTCCACTAAAAAGTGACATGTTCGTCTAGGTTGTCCTGAGTACTTGAGGACTCGTACTCATCGAGATTGTACTGATTCAATCAAACCTTCCTTCCCGCTTCTGATAGATATTCAGTTGAAATAGTCCACTACTGAGGCATCTGCTGATGGAGAAGTGCTTCAAGAATACAAGAATTTGCTATGCCTATGCATGTCCTATGATGGAGAACGTTCCGTGCCAAAGACTTTATCATCTTGAAATGTCATGACCACTTTGATCGAACCAGCGTTTGGTTGAATGGTCAAATCAGAAGGTCGTAAATTGCGAATCGTCGTCCGTTATCCGCATCCCTCATCTCTCTATAGAAATCGACATCTTGATCTAGTTCATGTGGCCCACTTGCGCATGCAGACCTAATCCGTAGTTTGTGAAAGCTTCCGCAATCTCCATATGTTGTGTGTGAGCAGCCGTCCTTAGTGCATCTTGTCCGAACTCAAATGGGTTCTCGTCTGATTGACAAGTCGTGTTGTGTTGTGGCAGTTTTCCTGTCGTGAAGTATTGTCGCACATATTGTGTAGTGCACTTGCTGTATGCAGCCAACGTAGCATGTCCCGGCGAATCTTGCACCAAGACGACACTATCTTTGAGACGGTCTGCCATCTTGAAGGCGTTGACTAATGGCGTCACTGGATCAGCCGTGTTGCCAATCAAGAGAATTGGCTGCGCAGGAGACACTTCCCAGGGTCCAGCGTAGCGATATTGCGAGCGCAGAGGGTAGTGTATACAATGCATACGGATGGCTGCCCATATATCGCCGATGGTGGGTGAGATTTCCATAAGCCGTGTGGCGAAGCTTTCGAAGTCGGTGCGGTCCATGCTCGTTAGGTCGTCGCCATCAGTGCAGGTAATCACTGTCTGGGCGTCAAGATCAAAAACCCGTTCAACAGAAGAGGCAGCTCGACATTCCATGGAATGGTATGGTCGCAGCATCTGTGCAGCACTGCTTCCATTGCCCTTCTCCAGGTCGGCGAGAGTGTTTGCAAGGACCGGAAACATTTTTACAGGCTTGTATAGGCTTGAGAAGATAAGCATTCGTAGGTCGTTGGAGGTGATAACTTCCGGATTTGGGCCTATCACCGCCACAGGATCGTAGCGGAGTTTCTCGATCACGGCGAGGGTTCTCTGTTTGACATGTGTTGCATTCGTATTGCCATCTGGGTTCGTCAGAGCGCAAGTAGGGTACCCTGCCTCAGCGCAGTAGTGGTAGAAGGAGTCCATGGTCTTTTCAGTATCGACCAAGTCAGTATACCACGTGATTTGCAGGTTGTCGATTACATCAACCACACCATCCAGCACGAGACGCCCGACTCTGTCAGGATACATTGCGGCGAAGGTGGATCCGATGTATGTCCCATAACTGAAGCCCCAGTAGAGAAGTTTTTCCTGACCTGGCCGATAATTGATCTGAGATGATCTGTCAACTTCGCGAGTATCATGGTACTTATTCGCCAACAACCGTGTTGCTTCTTTCTCTCGCCACTCGCCATGCTTCTCGATGATCTCCAGGATATCGCGTGCGACATAGGCAGTCGTGACATATCTCTTGATATCTGGCTCATCAGTGATGATAGTACAGCTTTCACCTTTTGCTCTAGACATCGCCCAGAGACGTCCAAAAGCGATATCCGAGGCACTGAAAGATCCCAGCTCCCAATCGCGAATACCCCAAACTTGTTCCAAAATCGGATTTCCCTGGAAACATGCAACCCTGGGCGTGGAAAGACCAATTCCCCTTGGATCGAACGAGATCAGGTCGAAGTGTTTGCCTTTATCGTCGTCTTCGTGAGCGTCGAGTAGACTACTTATCTGCTCTCCAACTCTGAGTCCAAATTGAACGCCGTGGGCTCCAGGCCCACCAGGTTGCAAGATGATAGCACCACCGTATTTGGGATGTGTGACGGGTACGGCGGCAGGTTTTCTGATCAGAGCGAGAGTGACTGTAGCATTTGTTGTACCGTTCCAATGGTCCATCGGCAAGATCAAGCGAGCGCATTGATACTTCTCATAACAGCTTAAGTATTGCAACGAAGTCGACGGTTCTAAAGTGTTCCAGTCAAACACAGCAGTAAAAGTAGTCTTTTCTTCTTCGTGCTGACTTGCTGAGGGAAGAAAGAACTGTGCTCCTCTCGACCAGTGGTATATCGATGACAGAAGTATCGCAAATATCAGCAGCACGTATCGCGGACGGTGTTTGGTTGCTCCCGTTGATTTGAGTCGCGTTTCAGTGGGAAAGCGCAGCTCCGTTATTGCTGCCTTCCTAGACGACATCATCGTTTACCTTGAAAGATGTCCTGAGCCGGGTGCAAGCCAGTTTGCGCTGCTTGAATGGTGTTCGGATTAATCAGTAGCAGTCTGGGTTGCTGGTGATTATCTATGTAGTGATGCCATATCATAGATAGCGATATCTGCTGGCAGAGGGAAAAGTGGAATGGATCAAGAGTTAGACTGCTGCCTGGACATGCGATTGCGCTTTTGTCACTGAGCGGACGCCACGGAATCCTCCAGATTCACCATGATAGGCAATTGCTTCTATTCTCAGTTGCAGAAGTCGTGATAATTCGCCACCCCCAGCCTCGAACTTAATGCTCTAAGTAGCTAGTTTCTCATGTAGTTAGCTAGATTACTATATAACTACACTCTATTACCTTATTATACGCGTTATAATGGATTAATCTAGTACTACTAATGCTCTACTCTAAGTAGTAGCCTCTTAAACTAGCGTGCGTACGCGCTTATAGAGCCGAACTTGCGAATCTAGCCTCTTAGAGCTACTACCCTCGCTAGCTTAACTACTAACCTATATAGGCTCGAGAAGACGTATATACTTTAAAGAAAAAAAGGAAGACATTAGAGAAGGTCCTTCTATAACTACGCTAAGATCTACGCGCGGTAAAGCTCTACGTCGCCTTATTAATTAATAAGCACCTTCTAAATCTACACCTCGCTAGGCTATAACAAAACGTAAGTTAACTACCTAACTATAATAACAACCTCCTAAAAGGTATCCGCTAGGGAAAACCACTTTCCGATGCTACGAATATATTAGGAAAAAAGCGGATAATAAATACCTCGAAGAAGACTAAGATATAGGCTCTAGTAGCCAAAAATCTACCCGTAAAGCTATACGCTTAACTAGTAATACCCGGTCTAAACAGTCGTTACTTAACTACTACTTCGAATAAGGCTAATAAACCTTGTAAGGGCACTTATATAAGTAAGGATAAGGCCCCCTTATAGAGGGTATTATTAAATTCGACTACTACTATACCTAGTATACCTATCTTAAGACCCTTCCCGATCCCGTTTAAACTCTAATTTAATACTTACTAGGGCTACTAAAAGGTGTCCGACGGCGATACTAACCTTACTAATACCGATAAGACCTAGATAGAGACCCGTTAGGAGCTTAATCGTACGATTATACTATGTCTACAAGACTAAAGCGTTCTTAAATATTACGCTTAAAAGATTAGAGCTCTTATAACTTTAATAGGTGCTTAAGGCATACGTTTAACTAAGGCGGTTACTTTATATAGACTTAAGTATAGAATTAAGTAGTAGAAGAAGGCTATAGACCTTATACGCTTTAATGCTAGTACTAGTATGTTATGGCTAACTATTCTAGGGAGAATAACTAGTTACGGGGTTAGACTCGTAAAGAGGAGTGTTAAGCGTAGTAAAGCAGATGTAAGTAGTAGTATATACTAAAAGGGACTATTAGAATAACTAATTAAGTTAAACGTAGGACCTCCTAGTGAGTTCCTACCTACCTATATACCTAATAGATAATAAGTGTATGCATGTTGCTCTATATGCTCTATTGCTCTACTTACTCTAACAGAATTAGAGGGAGTAAGAGATTAGAGGGAGTAGAGTGTATTAGGTAGCCGCCTACTATAGAGTGCTCTATAGAGAGGACCTGTCTTAGCGGAATCCTTAGAGCAGGGTTTCTAATACAGTAATGATCGGTAGTGCACGAGCTAGAAGCCGGTACGCTTAACACTAGATCGTAACATAGTATAAGAGATATGTCTATTATAATTAAGTCTATATAGACTAGCGATAGCCGCGAGCCTAAGGTTATTAAAGTACCTTCTCCTACGTACGAATTACCTTCTTAGTAGCCTTAAACTAATCGTACCGCTTATATATAGTAGTCTCTTTAATAGACTATAAATTTTATAGTAAACCGAGCTATGTTTTAGGATAGTATTATTAAGTATTAGGACTGTTCTACACTAATACGCTATTACGTTAAACTTCGCCGAGGCCTTACTTACTTTCTATATAAGGGTCGCTATTATAAGATCCTCCTTACCTACGCCACGTAATAGCGTAAGGAAGTCGTAGCTAGTAGAGGTACTCTCGAGTAGCTAAATAAGGCTATACGAGACCTAATTAAGAGGCTCTACTAGAGTAAAGAAGCTAAGCTTAAAAAGCAAAGTTAGAGGCGATTAAACATATAGAACTCGCCTTCTTAAGGTTAAGGTCTAGGAATAGTTAATAACATCTATGTCGGCTAGGAACAACCTACTACTATACTACCCTTAATACTAGTAGTTGCTACTTCTCGATAGGTCTTACCTATACCGCCGGAGCTTAATACCTTTGCTAATTAGGAGAGCTTCTAGGATTATATTAAAGAAGCCTACCCGGACTAGTTACTAGGCCTTAATTAAGTAAAGGCTACTTTTAAAGCAGACTACTAGACTTTAAGGATGCTATATATATCTTCCGACGATATGTTATCGTAAGTTATTATATAAAGTAGTCTACGTATAGCCCTCTACGAAGAATTAGCTAGATTTGTCGATATTTATAAGCGCTAGTAACGATAACGTCCTATTACTAACCCTATAATGTCTAGTACTAGCTATAGTTCTATACTCTACGAGTTTACTAGCCCTCCCTCGTTAGCATTAGACTATGCCGCGAGTTCAAGTAGTAGTAATTATAATGGTTAATAGTACTTAACTACGTATAAATAGGTTTCTAACGTCTACCTTCTTTAGAGCCTATATAACCGCGCCCTTAAGGTATCGAATCTATGCCTTCTTATACTAAGCTAGCTCTATACCGTCGGGTTTTAGGGCAAGGTCTCTCTAACAACAAAGCCATTATTTTAAGAGATAGAAGGTTAATTTAATAGGGTTTAGGTATAGTAAGTAGGAAGGAAGATAGAGAAGATAAACCCTAAACTACTAACCTAATTNCGGTAATCTAGAAAATGTTAGTCCCTACCATTTATACGCTAAATTTACATATACTTAATTAGAGTAGTAGGTTAAGTAGTTATCTATAATAATAATAGACCTCTTTCTAAGGAACGGTTCGTACTATAGTAAGATAATAGTTTCTAACTAGTATTTATATATTGCCTAGGTTATAGCACCCTCGACGATAAGGGACGAGCTATATAGGTACCTATAAACATCTAAAGCTAGTAGCACTAAGTAGCGTACTTTATTAACTAGGTCTAACCTTATATAGGCTAGTAGACCTATCTAACTCTACGAGCGGCATTAATATATTACCTTCTTGCTATATATAGATTTATCTAGATAGACGAGTATATCTATAGGATTAATACCTACGTTAAGACCTTAACCTATTAGGTTAGCTAATACCTTAAGGTATATACCCTATTAAAAGGTAGATTAACAAGTTATAATACGTATGTTAACCTTATTTAATAGCTCCTCCTCCTTTAGCAGTCTATAGATAGTTAACTTATAAACTATAACGTCGAATTTGCACTATAATTTAAAGACTAATTCTTCTTACTATATGTCGTTTCTCTTAGAAAGTAAATTAATAAGGTACTCGCGTATAACTAGAGTTATCTTACGTAGAGCTCCTATACGCTTAATAGCTAAGGAAGGCTTCCGGACCTACCTAAAAAGCTCTATGTTTTACTATATACGATAGAGCGTACTACGAGCTATATAGGAAACAACTTTAGAGATAGTATTAACGTTATAATCGTCGTAAAACATAGCCTATATAAGGTTCTTATCGTGTTTGTTAAGAGGCATGTTTTATGCTTAGAAAGAGGCCTATATCGCGCGTTAGATAGGGCGTTAATATAGCTTAAAAGTTGCTAGTATAAGGAGTTCGGTTACGTTTAGCTATTATACTAATATTACGGCGATAGAGCTGGTATAGAGCATTAAATAGCATGGATTATGATCAAATAGCTACAGTTGAGAGCTTAGAGCTATTAACTTCGAAGGATGGGGGTGGCGAATTATCACGACTTCTGCAACTGAGAATATGCCGCCGAGGCACATGTCGTCGCGGCAGGGGCCCTTTCGCGAAAAGAGGGGATTCTAGATGGTCTGTGCGATCGTCATCTTGTAAGCACACAGAAATGTCGAAGACGTGCGAACTTGTCTTCATGCTTGTGAAGAGCATGAGATGCCATGTATTCTTTGAACAGATTTGACTGAGGTTCGAGACTGGTGCCTTGATATAGCGTGTGTCAAGAGGTAGGTCGCCTTACTCGTACACCGACTCCCTTGCCAAATTTCCGAGAGACGAAACACCGCTCTCAACTCACTCTTTTTTCCACAAAACAACATCGCATTCATTCAAAATTCGCTACCTCTGCTCTCAATCGACCATCATGCTCGTGAGTTTCCTCAAGAAGACGAAAAAACCAGACACAATGGCCGCGAATCCGACCACGCCTCTTCTCCCCACCACAGCCTCCTCCCAGAAAGCATTAAGCAGCACCTGGAACGATTTCTGCGATTTTGCGCTCAGGGACAATGTGCTTGAAGTAGCGGTAGGACTTATCCTCGCTGCGGCATTCGGTACCGTGGTCTCCAGTTTTGTCAGCGATATTCTATTGCCTCCCATCTCATTATTACCGTTCTTGAGCCGCAACTTGGATGAGAGGTTTGCGACTCTGAGACATGGTCAGAATGTGACACTGGGATACAACACTGTTCAGCAGGCGCTTGAGGATGGGGCTATCGTTATGGCCTATGGGTGAGTTTCTTTTCTCTCCACTATCCTTGCCGATTTCACGTTGTTTGCCGTGCGGGTAGCAATCAAGGAATGCATCAAGAATCAGCGGGCTGACGTTGGCGACTCAGTNGCTTTCATGAACAAGGTGTTCAAGTTCTTGGGCATCGGCCTTGCGCTGTATGCTATAGTCAGACTGTACATCTATGCCAGTGATGACGAGACAATCATAAAGCATGAAACGAAGTGCCAATACTGTCGCAAGAAGATTAGTCTGAAGGTATGACTGATGAGGTTGTATCTCCTTCGTCAATGGCACGACATCTGACTATAAACANNGGCAAAGCGTTGCTTTAACTGTACCAGCTGGCTCGATGGACGAGAAGAGAAGCTTGACCATGCAGGTCTGATGGAAAACATAGGCTCACGACTCTGTTCCCACAACTCGTGAGCGAAGAGAAGCAGATTCCACCTGGGAACTCGCTGCGGTGCCAACAAATAAATCAGCCGGAGTTTCCCTGAACAAAAGTAGCAACGACAACTGGGCGATGGTCGCCTGCAGCGCTGAGGATCCCGCTGTGAAGGAGGGATTTCTTGACAATTCTCATGATGATCATGATCTCGACATTCCTCGCGTGCCGTCTTGGACATGCACGCGATATGATACAAAAACAAAAGTCAAGAATATAGAGCGAAATAGGCAGGTCGATGTGACCTACCAAGGTGTTTTACATAAGATGTTGCATCTTCTGCTGTCCGTGGATGACATAAGATCTTGCATCTGCTGCTGTCTGTAGATGCGAATCCACGGAGTTGAGCGGGCACCAACAGATTTGTTTCTTCGAATGTGCATCTCGAATTCTTGATTCTTGTCGGTCAAAGATGCATTGCTGCAGAGACCCACTTTTTGTGGCTTGGCGAATCGTTGTGCTTCCCCTCGAAGCTTGCGACGACACCTCCGGTCGTTCCTATCATCACCGAAGAATCTCTGTCGCGTCTCTCGAGGCGGCTATCACGCATTGCCACGGGAAGATGGTGTAATATAGTACACATCGGCCCGCCAGGTCTCGGCTTGTCAGGGTCAAGCAACCCAAGTCCAACTCGACCCATCCTCTAAGCTTTCCTGGGCAGGTGCTATTTATTAGCCCCGGATGTATCCCCAGGATATGGGCCATGACTTCATAGTTTATCTCTATTTACGAGAATGTTCAACTTCAACCTGCCTAAGCTGGGCAAGATCACTGCAGAGCTATGCGATTGTTGACAGGCGATGCGACTGCGCGATTTGCTGCGTGGCACGCGAGCAAGGGAAGGAGCAGTCGAGCGTAATATAAACTCTTGCCATTCCCACGCGAATTTGGAACTTCTCTGAGCATCCAACATTCTTGGAGTATTGTTTCCAGCATCTCTAACATGCGCTTTTCGCTACTCCAGATTGGCGCCGCCTTTGGGCTGGCTGCCTCGGTCAGTGCCTCATCGCCTGGCCGTGATCTTTTCGAACGCGCCGAGCAGTTGAGAGCAAAGGCTCCCATCATCGAGAAGAGAGAGATTGGCAAGCCTTTTGAGCACCCGAGACTCCAAAAGAGAGCTTCGCCATACCTTAACAACGTGACTGAGAGTATGTATCTCCCTCTCACAATCAAAGTCCCGTCGCACAGCAACTAACGCATTTGCAGANNGTTCTGGGTCAACGGATCAGCCATCCCCGATGTCAAGTTCGACGTCGGCGAGTCGTACGCTGGTCTCCTGCCCATCAGTGGTGCCGCTAACGAGACTCGCGAGCTCTTCTTCTGGTTCTTCCCTTCGACCAATCCCAACGCCACTGAAGAGATCGCTATCTGGTTCAACGGTGGCCCTGGCTGCAGTTCGCTCAGTGGTCTCTTGACGGAGAACGGTCCATTCACCTGGGAGGCTGGAACTCTTGAGCCCGTCCAGAACCCCTACACCTGGGTCAACCTCACCAACATGCTTTGGGTTGAACAGCCCGTCGGTGTCGGTTTCTCACAAGGCGTGCCCAATATCACCAACGAGGTCGAGCTCGGTCTTGAGTTCATCGGCTTCTACAAGCAGTTCGTCGACACCTTCAGCCTTCAGAACTGGAAGGTCTACCTGACTGGTGAGTCTTACGCTGGCTTCTACGTGCCTTACATTGCCGACGCCTTCATCAACGCTGCCGACACTGTCTACTACAACCTCAAGGGTATTGCTATCAATGACCCTATCATTGGTGACTCGACCACCCAGCAGCAGGCTGTCATTGTCCCTTTCGTCGACTACTGGGAGAATCTCATTTACCTCAACGAGACCTTCTTGCAGCAGATTCACGACCGTGCCGACCAGTGCAACTACACATCGTATCTGGCAAAGTACCTCACCTTCCCTCCTCCTCAAGAAAAGTTCCCAACCCTCCCTGACCCTTACTCCTCTGATACCTATGCATGCGATATGTTCGACACCGTCTACGAGGCCATCCTTCTGGTCAACCCCTGCTTCAACATCTACCACATTAGCGAGACTTGCCCTCACCCTTGGTCGGTTCTTGGAGGTGTCAATGTGGGTGATTACATTCCTTCAGGAGAGGTCGTCTACTTCAATCGCACCGATGTTCAGAAGGCTATCAACGCTCCTGTCGGCACCAATTGGCAGCAGTGCACCAAGATCAACGTCTTCGGTGGTGCCACAAACAACCAATCGTTGAGCGATACCAGCAAGGGCCCTGCTCTCGACGGCACTCTCCAGCGTGTCATTGAATACACCAACAACACCATCATCGGCTCCGGTAACCTTGACATGCTCCTCTCCACCAACGGTACACTGCTTGCCATCCAAGGTATGTCGTGGAACGGAAAGCAAGGTCTTCAGGAATACCCCGGCACGGAATTCGACGTCCCTTACCACCCTGAGTACAACGGCGGTGCTCTCTCCGGAGCCGGCAAGGTTGGATACTGGGGCTCCGAGAGAGGTCTAACCTTCTACCAAGTCCAGCTCGCAGGTCACGAGCTTCCTGGCTACGCCCCTGGCGCTGCTTACCGCTCCATCGAGCTGCTTCTTGGACGCATCGACTCTTTTGCCTACGACAGCGACTTTACCACTCAGACTGGCAACTTCACCGGCAATGGTACCATCTATGGCCAGCAGAAGATCTACTAGAAGAGACACGAAGCCAGGTGTTTATCTCGGCATGTGATGCATGCCATTTACGGGTCCCTGGCCCACTTTCTGTGGTGCTGCTTCCACAGGTGCTGATGAAAAGACCCAATGAGATGACGAAAGTTCACAACGCAGTTTTGTGACTGCCATGATTATTATCTACAAAGAATGAAATGACATCTCAAAAGTCTGTTGTACATTGTGCTCTCTCTTTCACGCCCGTGACCAAATTCTGCGAATCGCAATCGACTGTTTATGCTCAAAATGTCGGTTGAGCAGTTAATGTCAGTAAGCTGTAAGTAAGAAAGAGCAGACAACAACCTCTCCAACATCAAAATCCAAGATTTTGCAGCTTGTATAGTACATGTGACTACACTGGATCGATTCTCCAGACCATAGACCCGTTCGCCGCTACATCCATCTTCACACGCGCATCAGAAGTCTCCACCCCTGAAATCTCTATCGTCTCCCTCTGACCATGTGGTTCAAAGCTTCTCCAAGCCTTCTTGACAAGCCACAAACAGCGAACCTCCTGAGCTAGAGAGCGGACTGCCTTGAGCCTTTGAGCAATCCTCTGCACATAACTCGTCGTGAATTGAGAAGCCACAAACAAAGGACTAGCAGTATCGTTGTTGAAAGTCAGTTGCGTGCCAGCGGGCACGGATGCAGTATTATACGAGTATTTGTAGTAGGTATCTGGTGCGCCAGCTATTCGTGACATGACTTAGCAAGACAGACCAGAAACAAAGATGCAGAATTGATACTCACAATTATCGCACTGGAACCCAATAGTCGCTCTCGTACCCTGCTCATCCGAGATAAGATACTGCAACACAAAGATATTTGGCCGGTTCTCAAAGAACGTCAATGTGAAGCGGTAGACTTTGGTCGCGTCGGCATATCGGTTTGCATACCACTCGATACTGATGTTGCGGGTCTGTGGAGTTGAGCTTTCGCTGGTTGTGTAAAAGAGCCCTTGAGTATAGTTGCCTCCTCCGTTGATGTAGAGATCGTCCCAGTAGGCAAAGACGCCGGCGATTGGGACTTTGCTGTTGGTTACGGGGAGATGGGTGTTATCCCATGCGTTTCCGTTTATGCCGTTCAGACCTGCGATGGCGAAGATCTGGAGTGGGTAGTCAGTATATAGTGTGAATAATAGGCTTTTGATGCTTACTCCATTGACACTCATCTGTACTCTAGTAGTCATGAGTCCGCACATGGTGATAGGGACCGGAATATTGTAGACCGGGACGCCGTCGCTTCCGGATCCAGCAGCGAGAGGCCCTACGACTGTAGTCCTGTTCGAATTGACAAAGCGATTGTTGGTTGGAGGATACTAAGACTTTTGTATAAGTATTAGAATGAGCTCTGCTGTCCTTCCAAACACCACTTACGTTTGTGCAACCACTGACACAACCCTGCGATACGGCGCAATAAGCTGTGGAATTTCCACAATAGCCATATTGTCTGTCAGAGTCAGCGATTTTATCATCTGGCAAGACGATCGTGTTCTTACGAGCAACATGGAGCGTAACTATACTGATCGCAAGGGGCGTTTCCTAATCCAGGTCCACATCTATAATCAGATCGGACAGGGACTGCTGGGGCAGTGCTAGTGACTGTGCTCGTGAGTGTAGTCGTGCTGGTCGTTGACACTGTTTGGGCAGAAGCTGTAGTGGTGATGGTGGAATACAAAACTGTGGTCGGAGGACTGGGCGTCGCTGGATAAACCGTCGTAGTTTGAGGCAGGGGAGTTGGTGGGTAAGACGTCGTTGTGACTGTTGAGTAGATGGTTTGTGGAGAAGGTGTTGCCGCGTAAGATGTCGTCAAGACTGTCGAATATATCGTTTGAGTCTAAGGTGGTGGAGTCGCTGGAGTTGCAGGTGTGGCAGCATATGATGTCGAGACAATAGTCTGCGTTTGGGCAGGCGGCGTGGTAGGGGTCTGCGGAGTCGCAGCATATGAGATCGATGTGCTCACGACGATAGTGGTATACGTATAAGAACTGGCCGGCAGAGTGACATAATAGGTTGTCAAATAAGTAGAGATCGCTGTTGTCCCGGGAGCACTCGTTGTCACGTATTGCGTCGTCAAAAAGGTTGAAGCAGGCAATGTAGTCGTGAAGGTAACCGTCTGATAGCTAGTTGGGCCTTGCAAGGTGGTTGGAGGAGCATAGCTGGTCGCTGTGATCGTGCGATTTTCGGTACTGACCAGAATTGAGACATAAGTATATGTACTTTCGGGTAAAGTTGCGTAAAATGTCGTGTAATATGTGCTCGTGGCCCCAGCAGCACTTGAAATTGACAGCTGGGTCGTGACCACGGTCGAGGCCGTTAGAATCGACGTCAACGTCACAGTTTGGTAACTCGTAGGGCCCGGAGCTGTTGTTGTCCGTAAGATGGTCGAAGCAGGTAAATTCGAGAGGACGGTCTGGTATTGAGTTTCATTCCTGACTAAAGTGCTCAGATACGTCGAGACTGTGGTATAAGTGACTTCGTAGGTCGAATAAATGATGCTTGTTGGGCCGGGAACCAAGCTAGTACACGTCGAAGTACGAAGGATTTCCGTCGTCAATGTCAAATAGCTAGTTGGACCTGGCGCAGTGGTCGAAGCAGGTAAAACTGAGCATATAATCTGATACTGGGTTTCATTTCTGGCCAAAGTGCTCACGAAGATCAAAGTCGCTGTATAGACAACCTCGACGGTCGAATAGAGAACACTCGTCGGGCCAGAGATCAAGCTCGTATATGTTGAAGTACGCAGGACTTCAGTGGTGTAAGTTATCGGCACCAATGAAGTGGAAACCACTTGAGAGATAGTTGTTTGCGTGGCGGTTGCTTGGGGCAATGTCTTGGTAACATTGAGCGCCGTATCACAGCCCAAAACATACGTGACATTATATGGCAACAGACTCGTTGCAGTGATGTAGAGGGTGGTCGGTGGGAGGGTGGAGATGCTGGTCTGAACTACAGTCGTTGGTTGAAGGCTTGTACTCGTCACATACTGTGTAATGACGCCGCCCGAAGCTGTTGTGGTTTCTTGCAGCGTTACGACCTGCGATGAGGTCTGCACTAGCGTGGTATAGACAGTAGTCAGCCGAGTCTCGACCGACGTGATTGTGCTGGCATTTGGATAGATAATAGAGACCAGAGTTTCGTAGATGAAAGTAGAGTACGGCACCAAAGTGGTCTCTGTACCAGGGGGTCCGCTCGTGGTCCGGATCTCTCGAGATGCTTCGGTGATATAAGCAGTGGTTATCTGGCTGGTGACTGCAGTTTGTGTGATTGTGGTTGTGCTTGTTAATGTCAAGTTCTGGTAAGCAGTCGCAGTCTCGATGACAGTCGTAGGCACAAGCTGGCTTGTGGCATAACTGCTTTCTGTGGATGTGACGTATTGCGTCGCCGTGTAGTAGTAAACTGTAGGGTAGGTCGCAGTGGCTGTCCGAGTTCTTGCAATAGTCCTAGTCACAGTGAGAACGCTTTGGCCAGATGCATCGGAAGCAGCTCCAGACAAAGCTGTGCTATTGGAAGCGTCGCTGCTTGATGAGGACGTGTGATCATCAGCTGGTCGAGATAGGACAGCGGTGATAGATATCTCATCCAAGCCTACATATGCTGGCCCAAGACAGGTGATGCTGAAGGTAGCGACTGTATAGTTGGCAGAAACCTCAGCAAGATAGTCATATGAGTACTGATTATAGCTTGTAGTAAGCGGCGAGATCCCACTGCAATCATTGTTTGTCGCACATATGTTGATCGTGCAGCTAGGAGGCGAGTCTCCATTCTGTCCCATGATAGCCGCCGCCGAGAGATGGTATTCAGTACCACTATCGTGGAGAAAGACTGTGTAGCGTTGTATACCAGAGGTTGACCATTGCTTTGTCGACGGTGGAGTGGGCCCGAAGGCGTCGTGCCATTGCTGAAAGTCAAGAATCTACACATGTCAACCAGAGCTCATGCCCATTCCAGGATGAACTTACAAGAAACTCTGGCCAGATTATGCCGTGAGGGGGACACTGTCGTTGACGGTAGCAGTCTGGGCAACAATGCTTGGATCGGATCTTGTACTATTCAATGGAATCTGAGTTACGTTCTCAAATCCGAGGTTTGCTACAACAGTTGGTACTGGTGTAATCATCGCCGGGGGTGGAGGTAGCCGAACTCGCTTGACCATCATCATCATCCCCAAGATCGTCGTATGCACAGGCTGTGACAGTCGATCCAGATAATATGACAGTGACATCAGGCTCATATATCGTAGTGTAGCGTGTACCCGAAATGGTACCTTCGAAGCTGTATGGAACAGACGCGTTGTATGTGCATATCGTAGTGGTGATGTTGTTCCATGCTGTAATCGGGCTTGCGGAGATCGAGTTGCAGGTTGTGTCTTGAGTGTATACCGTAGTCGTAAAGTTATCTCGAATTAGGCTTGGTAAGACAAATGCTGAAAACGATGACGATAAAGCGTTGGATCCGGAAGATCCAGAAGAATGAGTTGGACTGCTGATCGGAGGCAGAGTATCGATCTGGCAAGTCGCACTGATGTATTGAGTGGAAACCGAGTAGAGCGTCAAAGGCCGATTGAACGTCGCAGGCGAGGTCGATGCAGAAGAAGTGTTGATGTTTGGGCAAAATGCAGTTCCGTAGATCAGAGATGTCGTGAGAGACCCAGAGACTTTGGAGGTCACAGTTGCAGAAAGTGTCGCGATGGTACTGTAGGTTGCGAGTTGATCCGACGGCGGAGTGCTCGTAAAATTCGATTGACAGGCAGAATTCGGCAGGAACGATGTGACGGTTACTGCACTTCCATTCCCACCGTGTGCTCCATCAGATTGAATGGACGTTGTACTAGAAGAAGGAAGGGGCGATGCGATTGAGGATGCCGGTTCTGTGATTGTTATTGTGCTTGGCATTGGGCATTCAGCTGATGTTGCCTCCAGTTGCCCATCGGTCTCCAAGGCCATTGTGAATTCATTTGAGACATAAACAGTCGAGGTACGAGGGCTATAGACAGTAGAGATATAGTCAGTCTGCCAAATACTTGAGATGCCACATACAGATGTTTCTGTCGGACAAGACGTTGAGGCTTGTCGTGTTCTGTTCCCATCTTGGACAAAATAAGTTGATGAGCCGGAAGTATATACCGCTCAGACCGATTTCCTGCGGCTGCAAGTGCTGGATTCATCTTTCAGGGCATGCGATATAACAGACGAAGAAGACTGGGCAAGACTAATGCAGAAAAGACAAGAATACCCAACAGGGATGACACACCCAATCGCATTGTTCAAGAAGCAGTATACGATGCAACACAAGAGAGTGAAGGATGAAGTCTAGAAGAATTAAAATCTCATCATCTCGACACCGGAGAAGAACAGATCCATTCCAGGGTCTGCCATATTTGACCATGTTATTATGAGCAAGGTTCGATATCTTGTGATTCCACTTCGTTGGTGAATATTGTTCCGATCCCCTGGGACCGTTTCGAATAAGCCTTTGCCAAGATGGCGTGACTCGACGCATTACTGCTGTAAACACCCGTAAGCGCAAGGCCTACTTTCGCTCTGTGTGGTCTTTTTGTTGGTGAGTGCCATGATGGGGCCATCGACTGTGCACTGATCAATAATATGCTGTAGCAGGCAGCATTCTCGCTGCAGAGTCCTTTGGCATTGGTAAATCTCTGTCGACGCGATACATAACATTCCTCATGGAAGCACTTCATGAAGCACATGCCAGGTGTCCAAGTTGAAGTTGCAGAGGGATATGACCGAAGTCGATGGCCAAGAAGCCGGAATGGGATTGCTGGTATGCACGGCAACAATCAGTAGATCAGTGCATCACGGTTTGTCCATGTGCTCGATACTGTTTCCATGGAATTGTCTCTTGTACATCTCGGGCCGGCGAGGATACTTACTCTGCGCTCACCTTATGATACAAAAAGCTGCTCAGCGGTGATGAATTTGTAGGTGTGCCCACATCGATGTGTCGTGACGGCAGGTAGCAAGCTTCAGCACGCCAGGACGATCTCAACCTCATACTTTGGCAAGAAACTTTGCGAGCTTGAACAGCAGAATCGACAAGAGCACACACAGGTGTGAGAATGCTGGGGGTCTTGTTTTATATGTCGTTAGGTTTTGAGCCTCATCATCGTGTTGTTTTCGGCATCTTCGGCCCGCTGATCGGGAATGCGACACGCACATCCGCGGTGTCGGCGAGGCCGAGGAATGCTACACGTGATGTCGGTGAGTGCGACCGAGGAATGTACACCTCATGCGACAAGCACAATGGTTTCCAGACCATAGCAATATCCACTAAGAGAACGTCATGTTTAGACATCCTCATGGCTACAACTCTGTCTGAAAGCAATTGTGTATTCTGATACAATGACGCTATATTGTAGAAGAGAAGTGGATCAGCGGTTTACACAGAGGAATAGTATACCAGGTGAGCTTGCAGCAAGCCCGAGCAGTCTGGTCTGCAAGAAGTGTTTTTTGACAGCATATGGATTGAGATCATATATACATCAGCCTCATAAGGTAATTCACACATCAGCCCTTAGGATTGGACCTTTCTACAAAACGCTGAAGCCAGAAGTGACTTGAATATCTCTGCTGCTGAATCCGGCTCTAACACCGAACTGACCAGAAGGAATGATCCACTGCTGCTGCACAGCATCCCAGAAACTCAAATCCCTTCTCATGAGAGGGAAGGTGACGGTTCTGGTTTGTCCAGCACCAAGGGCGACCTTGTCGAAACCTCTGAGGACCTGGACGGGAGTGCGGCCGAAAGAGACATCGACGGGCTGAGAGAGGTAGAGTTGAGGAATGGCATCACCAGCAATGGAACCAGTGTTCTTGACCTTGACGGTGATCTCGTAGATGGTATCGTAGAGAGTGGGGTTGCCACCAGGCATGGTACTAGCCGGTGCGGGACGAGCAGTCAGGTTCTGAGGGGCGAGACGCTCGACCTTGACATCAGACATGGAGAAGTTGGTGTACGACAGACCATATCCGAACTCGTACTGGACAGAGAGGTTGTAGTAGTCGTAGTGACGATAATCAATGAGCAGGCCCTCCTCGAAGTCTGCTTGCCAAGCGTTGGGGTCCTCGGTGAGCTTCAACTCGGTAGAGTTGACGACGCGAGCGAAAGCGTAGTCGGACTCGTTGTAGGCAATGGTATAGGGAAGTCTTCCACTAGGGTTGTAGTCGCCGTACAAGACATCGACCAAGCTGTTGCCCGATTGTTCTCCGGGGAAGTGCGCTGCGAGAATAGCGGTGACGTTGGGGTGATTTGCCCAAGGCATGACGATAGGGCCTGAAGTGTGGGTCACAACGATGGTGTTGTTGCAATAGGCAGCAACTGCGTTCACGACAGCGGTACCGTTCCAGTCGGGTAGAAGATTCACCTTGTCGGTGCCTTCTGCAGCCCATGTTTTGATGAGAACAATGCAGGTGTCAGGGAGAGGGAAGATCGCGCCAAAAGCAGCTCCCGGGGTAGGGTCTGTCAAGGCGGTGTTGTTCATGTTCCACTGCAAAAGAGTGCCGTCCTGCTTGGTGCGAGCCTTTAGAGCGTCCAGAGGGGTCGACAGATAAGTCAAGCGACCAGTGCCCGATCCGCCACCNNTAGAACTTGTTAATAGACATCTAACTTTTCGTGCTTGAAGTTACGAACCAACTGGAAGGTGCCCATACTCGTAATCACCATTGCCCACCAAAGACAACGAGTAAAGACCGTTCTCCGGGTCGCTGGCATCGTTACCGAACACTGCAATGTTCTTGGGCTTGTTGAGGGGCAAGGCGTTGTTTGTGTTCTTCAGAAGGATGGTACCAGCGGAGCCGAGTTCTCTAATAAGATCTGCGTGGTTATCGCGGACATCAACATTTGCCTCGCCATACTGGAAGGTGTCGAGGTAAGGCTTGATACCAAGGATGTTGATATCACCACTGCTGGGGTCGATCAAAGGGTAGTCCTGATCCTGTCCCAGGAAGAAGTAGGGTGTCATGATTCTGTGGGCGGCGTCGTCGATTCTTGATTCAGGAACGGTACCGTTGTTGACAGCATTAGTAAGGTTCTGTCCCCAGTAAGATGATCCAGCTTGGAAGAATACGATAGTACCAGGCATGTCCATATCCATACCGGCTTCGGCATTGGCGACACCTCCGTGGGTTGCTCCCCAGTCGGACATGACATAACCCTGGAAGCCAAGCTCTTCCTTGAGAAGACCGTTGATTGCTTTGCTGTTCTGGCAAGCGTAAGACCCGTTTAGTCTGTTGTAAGAGCANNCTATTCGACTGTTAGCATTTCATTGCGCGTTGGCTATGAACTCTTGACTCACCATCATGGAGGAAACTCCAGCCTTGACAGCATCGGCAAATGGCCACAAGTAAAGTTCGTGCATGGTTCGGTCATCAATATTGGCCGAGACAGCTTCGATAGTCTTGTTGGTAGGGGAAAGTCCAGGGTTTCTCTGAGTCTCCTGCTCGTTACCGATGAAGTGCTTTGCACAAGCTTGAACACCAGCGTCTTGCATAGCTTCAATGGTTTCCTTCATGGCCACACCGGTAAGATATGGGTCGGNGGAGAATCNCTCCCAACCACGACCAGCGTCGGCTGATCTTCCAAGTGGTCCGGCCTGTAAGGAATTAGCACAGTATCAACTAATATTGGGATTTGTCGTTGGCTCTCTTACCACAGGGCCCAAGGCTACATGCGAGCCCTTGTCTCTGAACTCCGCTCCTATGTATTCGCCTCTTTGACGGATCAAATCACGGTCCCATGACGAAGCAGCTGCGATACCTGCCGGGAAGACTGAGGCAAATGTTGCTTGTCTGATGGCCAAAGGACCATCCTGTAAACAGAGGCCGGGAAACCCAACGCGAGGAATAGCGGCGATGTTGCNCTGTGTTATATGAGCATATCGGTATGAGTATGAGAGGATAGACATACCAATGCAAGGGCCGTTTGGCTCTCCAGTGAGCACGCCAACCTTCTCCTCCAGGGTCAATTGCGAAACCCATTGCTTGGCCTTTTGGAGAGCTTCTTCCCAACCAATACCAGTCGTGTTTGCTAGGTCAAATCAGTAGAGCGATCAGAGGTCAGGTCGAATCACATACGNGCTAGGGAAGACACCCGGGCTACTGGTGTAAAGAGAGTGGTCCCATGATGAAGAAGAAGAATTTTGGTAACTTTGAGCAGCGACGCCCTGTCCAAGAAGGACAAGAGCTGCAACACCGGACTTCAAAGTGTACATCTCGAACTAAATTCTGATGGTTCAAGCGGCATACCGACAGGGCTCCCAGCAGGTCTACTTATACTGATGCTCTCCATCTCTTTGAGCCCTGAGTAGGGCATGTCAGAGGCTGAGCAGTGGGGTACTTACTATTGCAAGATACTTTGGAGGCTTGAACCTAACTACCATTTGACATGGTTAGTGGTCAACGAGTCAGAAAAGTCAGACATGGTCGGCCGAAAAGATGTATGCGAACGGCAGTCCGGTCCTGGTTTCCATGCCGAGAATCGGAAGACATCCAATGCACCAACGTGGCACGGTCCCCGTCTCCAGGCGATAATGATGGGTTTGATTCCCCACGGGCCTCCATTGCGGGGTGATGTAGCATGTGGATCCCTGCAAGAACAGTGCGCTCCAGACATCCACCCGATCTTGGCTATGGAACTGGGGCAACGAAGCGAGCCATGTGGAGCATCAAGCGTTGGTGTATGCAGCGTGGACGTCGTTCAAGAGATGGCTTGAATTGGGTCGCCTTGGTGCTGTCGTAGGTGGAGCAGTTCCGACGACGGACGCCAAACAGCAACCTTGACTTTCGAGGACAACTCTGAACGTATCAGGCGGTCAAGTTTGGATTGCACCGGTACTGGAACCAGAGACCTTCATGTTTCGAAACCCGTCATGAGCAAGCCGTGTGCACATCGTACCCGTATGTAGACGAGGGATGTGAGCGAAGAAGGAAAGAACGAAGCGTGGAAAGTGGTGAAGCCTCGAGCTTGGCGTGTCGATCAAGATTTCGGCTTCACCCCAATCCGGCAACGGCCGCTCCTTCCATCCACCCCACTCTCTCCTCTCCGCTCTACGCCCTGTTCCCCGCGCACGACTCTCGGTTGATGATGAGACGATGGACCGGCAATGGGTCTCTTCGGACCCAGGACTTGCCGAGTATCACTGCCACCGAGATTGCTGTTTGCCTTGTTTCTCCTCACGCTATAACGCATGAACATGAAGCCCGGCACGGAGGGCGGCTGTACGAACGTCTCGGCAGAAGGCCTCGTGACGGTGGACCGCACCTCATATGATGCACTTAATGTTGTTGAGGAGCTATGGACTGGCCTAAATCTTCCATCAGAGGCCCTGTTGAATACCCAGCTTGAGGGTGACAGTGGACCAGCATTGCCGTCGTCATTTCGGATTGGAGTTCTCGCGCAAGCCTCCATTGCATTGTCTGCCCTTGCTGCCGCTCAGATTTACGCATTACGCAATGAGGTTAAAGTGCCGCGAGTGGAAGTTCCTCTGCGACACGCCGTCGTCGAGTTCAAATCCGAGAGATTCTATACTATTGATGGGCAGCCGCCTTCTGCACCAAATAACGCGATAGGAGGACTCCACCGCACTGCTGATGGATACATTCGTGTCCACGACTCGTTCCCAAATCACTCTCACGGTATGCTGGAACTGGTCGGGCTTCCCCANGGATCGACTCAAGAACATCTTGCTGATAAGATTGCCCAATGGCGAAGCCTTGATCTCGAAGACGCGGCGACTGTCAAGGGTAAACTCGCAGCCTATGCCTTACGCTCCTACAGCGAATGGGATCCTTTGCCGCAAGCAAGAGCTCTCTCAGACTCTCCAGTAAACGTCCATCCCACATCCCTCGATGGTACCAAAGGCTTCTCAGACCGAATACCCAAAGATGCAACCAAATGCCTCCAAGGCCTACGCGTATTGGAAATGAGTCGCGTGATAGCAGCTCCTCTATGCGGCAAAACACTTGCCGCTCATGGCGCAGACGTGATCTGGGTCACATCTCCAAATCTACCGGATCTGCCCAATATTGACCGCGAATTCGGACGTGGAAAACGTACAGTCCAGCTAGACATACACAACGCAGCCCATAAAGCCAAACTGCTGGACCTGATCAAAGATTGTGACATCTTCATCCAAGGATTTCGACCAGGGAGTCTTGCACAACATGGTTTGTCCCCAAAAGATCTGGCCAAGATCAATCCAAATATCGTGGTGGGTAACATGTCGGCTTTCGGACCCAGCGGACCTTGGGCCAGTCAACGTGGGTTCGACTCATTGGTTCAGACTTGCTCAGGAATGAATGTATCGGAAGCTCAACATGCCGGCCAAGGTGAAGCAGCCCGCCCGTTGCCCTGTCAAGCTCTCGACCATGCAAGTGGATACCTCCTTGCAACTGGTGTTCTCGCAGCACTTTACCACCGCACTATCCAAGGTGGTGCCTGGCAGGTAGACGTTACTCTGGCCGGCACGATGAAGTACCTACGCAGTCTTGGACAATACCCTGGCTCAAGCGGCTTTCAATACATAGACTACAAGCAACAAACCGATATACCTGCCGAGTATCTGGAGAGCAGAGAGACTGGCTTTGGACGCATGGTCGCTGTAAAACACAGTGCCAAGATCAGTGGCTGCGAAGTCGGCTGGGATACCATGCCAAAGCCACTAGGTTCAGATCCAGCAGAGTGGCTATAGAAAAGGTTTCAAACACTGACGATCCGCCAATGACAGGTCTGACTCAAACTGACAATTCAAGTGGTGAACTGTGTTCGCAGATCATTCGCAGATTGATCAAGCTGGCGAGCGCATCTCCACCATGCTGCTTGAGTTCTTTACCGTGATATCTTGACATCATCGCCCTCTCTTTCCACGTCTCAGGCTGATTTGACGAGATCTGTAACCGGATTGTGGAATAGAATTGGAGGGGGGGGGGGGGGGGGGGGGGGCTTAGAGCCCTTGGCAGATGAAGCGATTGCCAAGTTCTTCGAGGAGCTCTACCATCACAATCTAGAGGCGGACCCTGGCATGGGAACAAGAATGGCATAGCAGACAATTACAAAGATACTGAGACCATAAGCTAACACTCGACAACCATTGTTGAAATGGTGCGACGCCCGGACTAGAACACTTTGCCAGCTATCAATACACGGCCCTACAATGCGATCGACAAGCCGGTTTACAACAGCCAAAACCACCTTCCCGATATTCCTGTCGGCGATGTCTATATCATATTGGTTCCAACGCCGATGATTTGGTCTGGGATCAGATATCATTCTTGCCACCAGACCCACAAGACCCAAAGGTGTATGCCAAGCCACAGTAGAACGAGTTGACGTCCGGTCCAGCCAGTGCGATAACAAACGAAGCCAGTCCAAGCCCCTCCATGTGTCATACGGATGCAATGTGTTCCACAAACGTCGCTATCGACGTCGCGCAAATAGTTTGCAATCGTATCCTTGATTGTTTCCAGCTGGGTCGTGGTGTCGCAGTTTCCTGCCTGTAGCGTAGACTCTCCAGGTGCACATTATTGCACAGCACCTGTCTGGGCCGAGCAATCGTGTGTGTTGGATTTGGCTTTGACTGCCTCGGCGATTTCGCTCGCGATTGTGACCATGAGCCCTCTGATACCAGTACAGGCTCCGAGCTCTGCTGTGTCAGGAATGTAGTCTCTGATACTCTGTCGACGCTCGAGTCCATTCTAAGAAGGCTAGAGTGAAGTCTCGGTCACATTGACAAGCTCGATCGAGATGCCATCAATCAGCTTAAGCAGGCCTTGGTAGTGGGTGATAGGCTGTCCCTCGATCATGCTTGACCTCTTGTCCAGAAAAGTGAACGGCGACGAAAGCACCGCAGCTTGTGATAAGCGCAAGAATGCTAGCGACAAGGCCAGAACGGAGGTAGAAGAGTATACATTGGGTCAAGATGCCGCAAATGACGACAATGATTCTCCTGTTGGCGTGTGTGACTTGATTTTCTGGCATGAGACTGGAAATAAAAGGGTTAGAAGTGGAGAGCAGGTGCCTTCATATAGGAGTTCGAACTCCATACTTTAATGGTGCTTCCCCTAGCACTGTGATCCCGTGATGTCAAGTGCGAAACCGATCAACGATGAGCGCGGAGCAAAGTGATTACTCTACTCCTCACACGTAGGAATCCTAGTATATATCGATAGTAAGGATCGCCGTGAAGCAATAAACTTGGTAAAGCTACCGATGTTGTATAAAAGATGATCACGGGATCTTCGGTCCACCTTGGCGCAAAACTCTACCTCTTGCCTTTTAGTTTTTATGAAAAAAGTGCTTAAAGTAAAATAAATAGTGAGGCTATTAGGCTAAACACTATCCTATTGAAGTAACATACCTAGTTCTATAACAGCTATAGACTAATAATTTTCTAGTTAGTCTATAATCTTTATTAGAGTGATAATTTGAGCAATAATTTACTTTTCTGTGTCTATATATGTATGCTAGTAAAACTAACTTGGAAAAAATAATTCTTTTTAGAAGATAAGTCAGTTAGTAAGGTATATAAAGTTAGAAAAGATATAGTCTTAACAGTAGTAATTACTATTAAGCCGATTATAACTACTATATATGCCTTAGATAACAAAGAGGGCAACTAAGAGACTACAAAGGTAGAAGTAGCTAAGTCGCGCTTCTAAAAGATGGTCGAGATTATGATTGATAAAGAGATTTCTATAGTAGTGGATGTGCTATAGTGCGACTAAGTTTCCTGTGATTTCATTACTACTAGCGCAGTATCTGGGAATGGACTCTAAGCCTATGGTTACCATGTCGCGTTGCGTTGCTGTGAACTCTCGACTGGCAGGAGTTCATGCTCTCCCTTCGCGACTAAATGCTCCTTGACAGCCGCCTCTTCGTCCCCTCGATCGTCATGATCGAAAGTGATTGTGGCCCCTGCCAGATGCTTTGGCAGTGGATCCTGACCAATGGCATCTTCTTTCGTTATCTTTGTGCTAACAGAAGCATGTGAGGACGTGCGTAGGACTGTCGAGAAAGACGAGGAATACGATAGATCACTGGAGAAGATGGCTATGGATCCTATGACGACTGTTATCATGGTTATGAGAAGGGCTGTACCATACGCAAGCCACAAGGTCGCAGCTGAGTAAGAGTATAGATTGTGGTAGGCAGTTGTTGTTACGTTCAAGGGAGGTGGGTAGTACGGTGTTTTGGGGTCAGGCCTGTCNNATGTATCGTCAGCTAAGATTCATCTTGCAATCTCGAGCAAGGAGCTGTGTCCTGGAATGACTAACTGGAGCAGTTTTGAACTCAACAATCTCATGGTGACGTTCTGGAACATCATTTCTAGGGTGGTACGCAAGTCCAATGTATTGTCTGCATGTTTCTTGACCGAAACGCCACCCCAGACCGCTGGATCCCGTGAAGATATATCGGTGGTGTCATTTGTTGTAGAATTAAGCAGAAAGGCAAGCTCCTGTGTGGCGCCCAGAACACTAGTCATCATGTTCCCTTTGGTGAGCAATCCAGTTTCCTTGAAGATTTGATAGTAAATTGCACCTTGCACAATGCTGCCGAAAGCATTCATCACCGCTGCGTAGGCATATCTCTGGATGATAGCGGGTGAAAAGGGCCGTTTGGGCCCTATATCGCCGCAAAGCACTTTATCAGGATATGATACCTCATTGCCAAAAGGTATCACCGTGGTATTCATGTCTCGGATGCCATTGACCCAGCTGAACGATGACGAGTATGTTGCGTCAGTCAGTCGNNACTCGACTATAGTGGTATTGCCAGTATGATCATAGCCTAGTCTATCGGCTGCACTATTTGGATCTGCCATATTTGGGAGAATGGCAACGAATAGCTTCAGAGGCGCTCCAGTCTGTGGCCCTGAGATGGTATTCGGCCCATTGTAATCATAGTAAGTGCCGGCCTTGTATAATCCAAAGGGTCGGGAATCATTCGTGCTCGGAACCCAGGCGAGGTAACCATATGACTTGCCGACCGAAGATGCGCTGGCATTGATGTTGGAGACAATCTCCCCACGCAAGGGCTCCGAAACATCGGTGCACCGTAAAGCAGGTCCAGAGAACTGATGTGTATATGACGCATTGAGCTGGTTCCCTGGTGCTGCTAAGGGCAGCGCATCGCCTGGAAGTGTCGCTGCTGTGACGATCTTCGTCACTTCGTACTGAGGACCGTCGTAGACGTATGCGCATTTTGGCGTATGCATCATCTTTACAATCGCGAAGTTCAAGCTATTGAAATCAATCGAGCTTACATTTGCTAGAGAACGTGAGACATCAGAGGCGGTCTCGACCGTCAAAGTTGCAGGAGTGACGATCGGAGCAACCGGAAGTAGCCTGGTAGCGGTTTAGCATGTACGATCACCCTTGGCAGTATGCTAGGATCGCTTTTAGATGGGCACAAAGTGAACTTACCAAATCGTCATCGCAAGCGGAAGTAGTATAACCGACTTCCTCCATGCGCTCCCATTGAAGAACCCGAAGGGATTTGCTAGGATACCACTGATAGCGTCAACGACGCTTAGTCTTGTGCTCTCGGCCTTGAGAGCGTTCCACACGATCTGAACATAGGCTGTCGTGACCGCAATCGACACGGCGGTTCGAAAGAAGGATGCGAAAGTGGTGCCGACCGCTGTATTGAACTTTTGTGATGATATGCCGGCCCAATTCCAAACAGCCAGATCGTTCAAAGTCGATACGGGTGTGCCCGCCAAGCTCTGATAGTATAGATGATGGCCGACAGCGAATAAGATGCTAGCGAAGAGTGAGCCATACATGATGCATAGCGCTTTCCAATGATTGAAAATCGAGGGTTGCATTCCGTCAGAGAAGTGAGTAGTGGTGTCCCTATGGAAGCTGGGCTACCGCGTACCATGTTATATACCGAAGCACCGTGTACAGCCTCGAGATGCAGGTAGCGACGCCGAGATACCAAGGTGTGTGGGCTGTGCTGCTTGCAGCTAGTCGGACAGATGCAGCCACGGTATGTGCCCGGTTCTCGAATGGCACCGACGAGATCTGCAGAGTTCACACAGCATGGTCCTTTGGTAGTCGACTAGCGACGTTCCTGATATAGGCCGCGTGACGACAGAGGATTGATGCTATCAAGCTTGTTTCCAGCTTAGAAGAAGTGGAAGAAGTGTTGTGAGTAAAGAGCAGCGACATAGTCCAAGATCCCGTAAATAAAAGGTCCCGTTGAAGAAAGCTAGCGCCACAGCCTGTTCTTGGTGCCAGACCGCGCTCTATTTTTGTCTCTCCAATCGTTCGCGAAACCAGGCAACCACAAACATGCCAATGTGCCGTTTGCTGCAGGCCAGTCATGGCTCCTGGTTCGTGAATTGTCTGCAAGCCCTGCTGACATTGCAGCAAGGCTGAAACTTCTGCACTGCATAAGCATTGCTTTTCCACCCAGCCGTGCATGATCGCCCATACATCCTTGGAGATGGAGGAGTTGACTATGATCTTCGCTGCTGCAAAGAAAAAATGATGAAAAACAAGATATGATGAATTCTTGCTAAGTCAAGACTATAGTGTAATGCTCTAAGGCTAAGGGGGCAAAATCAGTAGAGGTAAGGTTGTCGCGTCCTTTCCCGTTTTCGTTACTTCGATCATAGAGATAGAGGGTCTTGATAATGACAAATGTTCCGCAAATGTTCCATGGCTCGCTGTAGAAGTGATGGCCAAGGATTGGAGGAAGAGTCGCTGGCGAGTGGAGGTCAGGGTCAAAGGCACAACGTCGGCTTGCCGAAAGTGAAGGAACGATGGAGGAAAGAAGCAACGGCTGGAACGCTCTTTTCCTTTTGTCTCCTGCTACTAAAGGCACTGAAACAAGTTGGAGACTTGTGAAATTGTAGAGTAGTCTATCGTGTAAACATCCTGAGCCACCTATACCGCAACCTCCCACACCATTGTTGATACATGTGCTGAGTCCTCTATAACATCAATCAAGGCTGGTGAGCAGGAGCAATAGGACTAGCCTCCACACCCACGACCTTGGGCTCTGCCTCGCCAGCAGTACCTTCCTCCTCCTTGACTTGCGGCGCGAATGCCTGAGGAACCTTCTCACTCAAGTTCACAGCCAAGAAACTCTTAGGTAGCTTGACAGTATGGAACTTGGCCCTCAGCGTCTCAAGCACCTCCTTCCACTCCACGTGGGGTGTCAAGCTTCTGCGAGTGCTGCAGCCGATACAGTGCTTGCTATCCAATTGGACATCTAGAGGGTCGAAAGCATGGCAACCAGNGGAAAGAGTGATACGGATGCTGTAGTTGAAGCAGCTGCCTTCAGGGTCGTCGGTAGTGGCTTCGTTTTGTGATTCGTAAAGCTCGAAACAGATTTGAGAGAGGTAGTCGAGCTCGGGAATGGCGTTGCGGGCAATCTTGGTCTGAACGCCTCCTTCGATGATGGAGTTTAGCAGAGTGTAGATGTGCGACTCCTTGGTGAAGTAGATGAAAGATTTGGCGTCTTCAGATGCTTGCANCTGTGATGGAATAGTTAGCGACTGCTGTTTGTGTAAGTGAGACGAAGAGTACATACCTTCTTCAAGATCCGTCACGATCTCCTTCAACAACGGCAAACTTGTCAAGAGTCCAATCTCCAGCTTTTCGCTCTCGAGCATACCATACTCTTGAGGACCAATGTAATCGAACAGAACCTTCGAAAAACGATACAGCTCTCTCAGCTTTTCCAGACGAGCGTCGATTTTTGCCTTTGATTCTGGAAGATCCTTGTTGCCAGTGAAAAGCGCAAAGTATGATTCGGGGTGACCAGAGACACGATTAGCCAAGGTTGCCTGGGCATTCTTGAAAGTGGTGGAAGCATTCTCTGAACGTCTTCTCAGGCTTGCCATATGAGACAGCTTGTCCTTGTCATCACCCTTGTCCTTGTCTCCTTGCTGCTTGGTAGGCTGAGCATCCTTGTCAACAGAAGACTGCTCCTTTGTGGGTGCAAGGCCTTCATGGGTTTGACCAAATTCTTCTCTCATATCCGCAGAAGCAGTACGCTTCAAAGTATCCGGGCGTTCCTGGTCGTCGTCAACCATGTCGCTGCTGGGAGTAAATACCCACTCAAGGAATTGTCGGTTGTGCAGGGCATCAAACTTCATCGTGTCGTAGAGCTCACTAATCTTACTAGGGTCGACCTTCTCGGCATCGGTAAATTCCTTGAAGAGCTTCTCCCAGCGTTCCTTGAACAAGGACGCATCTTCGCCGCAGCACCATCTAGATTGGATCTGCTTGGGGTCGACACTCTCTGGGATACTGTCTGCAAGACTGGCCGAAGAAGCATTGCTAGGAGGACTCTTGATTGTTGCTCCTCCCGCACCTTCAGGCCGAAGTTTGCTGAAATTCTGTAGCATGACGCGACGGTGGAACTTCATCAACTCAACAACACTGCGAACGACCAGATAAGGTTCGGGAGTACCGTCCTTTGGCCATGCGAATTGTTCGGGTGCTTGTTTGCCCTGGCGAAGGAGACCCTTCAGCTTCTTCTTAACCTTGTCCATCTCATCCTTGGCTGCATTCGAGTCATCAAGCAAATCCTTGCGAACCGAGATAAAGTCTGGGTCGAGTTCCTTCTGGTCCAGGAAGGAAGCAGTGAAGATCTGAGCACTGGTAGACACACGACGTTCAGAGGATGAGAAGACACGAACATCTCTAAGGGCATCCTTGTTCATCAAGAGCAGGTCGTTGCGCATGTTTTCACCGAGATCCTGAGCCTGGTAGCGAGCAGAGTGAGTAGGCTCACCACCCCACTTCATAACAAGCTGCAACTTGTCAAGCACAAGGTTGTTCTCAGCAGCAGAGATCCTGGAAAGAGTCACGTCTGCCATGGAGTCTCCACGTGAGTGATTGGCCTCATCGCCCTGAAGAGGAGTTGGCTTAGGCTTGGCGTTACCATGCTCATCGACGGTGAGCTTGTCCTGGAGTTCGGCAGGCAACTCTTCTTGTCTTCTCTTGCGGAACATGGGCTTGATCTGGACCTTTGTACCCGGCCAGCTGCCCTTCTTGTCCAGAGCATTGGACAGCGTACGAAGCTTGGTCTGGTCTTCTTCGCCCTCGAGCAAGGCTTGCTGTACAGCTTCTTGCACACTCTTCAGAGCGGCCTCTCCAACCAACAAAACTTCCTCGCGGTGACCTTTGAGCAGATCGACGAAAGGCTTGGTGTGGAAGGTGAACTTGAACTTTTGCTTGGGCGTACGATCGGCGTGGCGGATGACGGCAACCATACCCTTGAGCTTCCATTGCGACTTGGAGGCGGGGGCAGGCACGGGCTCAGTGTGTTCCTCGGCTTCGTGGATGGACTCTTGCAGAGTTTGGTATTGGTGATTCTCGTCAGGCATTGCGGGCGGTGGAAGTTGGCTGTCCTGAGGGATGCCAGGGCTGCGAGGCGNGGGAAGATTTCCGAAGCTTGGTGGGGAGGTGATGGGAGAAGGCAGTTGAGACAGCTCGGGCGATCCGGGCTTTTTGTTGGCCAAATCTCGCAGTCTGTTGGCACTGGCAGAGCGGAAGACTGATTTGAGATGACTGCGGTGGTTGGAGACAGTAGCCTTGCGGTGAGTACCGGGAGCTTCTCTTTCGTAGTTGTCTTCACCCGCAGACGAGGGTGCAGAGGTGGGCTGCTGTTGCTGCTGTTGTGCCTGCTGCTGCTGCTTGTTCTCGAGCCTGACCTTCTCGCGAATGAACATGCTCTTGAGGATGTTGGCGCACTTGTCGTAGTAGTCGTTATTGTCTTTGACAAAACTCCAGCCGTTGACGTCGATAACATAGCTCTTCTCACCAACACGCAGCAAGTCGAAACCACAGACGCGCTGTCCAAAGCCATCAGCAATTCTCGAAGCCATGCCAGCTTCCTCCTTGTTGAGGCTAGTCACGTAACGAACTTCCTTGCCGTTGGGGTTGCGCTTGACAACGCCATCAACGACGGGAGACTTTCTGGTCTCGGCATGGCAGTAGTCGAGACCGACAGTGTAAGCCTTGACGTCTTCGGCATTTTCCACCTTAAGGAACTGCTCGTAGATGTAGCTGCTTCCAGGCTCCGTGATGGATCTGGGTATCGTCAAGGTCTCATCCTTTTCCGAGCTCTTGTTGTTGACCTTGCGGAACAGTCTTCTGCCACCTCCACCTTGGCTCTTAGGATAGTAGATGTGGATGTTATGATCTTCTCCGTCCGTAGGTTTCTCGACGAAGGGTTTGGTCAGGGTCTTGCCATCGACTGAGATGGTGTCGCCGTCGTCCAGCAATTCGACTACAGGGTCTGCTGTTTGTTGTGCTTCGGTCTCGGGCTGGGTGCCTAACACTGGAAAACGAAGACCGGTCTTTTCGAAACATCTCTGAGCAATATCGGCGGACTGGACCTTGGGACCTCCATCGCGGTTGACTTCGACACGATCGGGGGTGGGGACGTTGAGCTTTGTGAGGATTTGCAGGCAGATACGGCGATCCCACAGGATTGTCTGCATGGGCAGGTCGTTGACACAGAAAGGTTTGCGCAGTTTGGCGTATGCTATGGCCTTGTCGAGTGGGAAGCCTTCGGAGAAGAAGGAGATGAGAAAGTCGCAGACGGGCCAGTTCTCGACATCCTCATCCAGAATGACCTTGTCGCCAAAGACAATGACCTCAAACTCGCCCTCCTTGATCAGTCTGTTGAGGATGTTGCGACTGGGCTTGCTTCTGGCCTTGCTGTCGAGGGCGCAGATACCGATCTTGCCGATGGGGACAGGCTTGTCTTGTTCGGGACGTTCTGTGCTGGGGCTTGCACTGTTGACTGTGCTACTGCTGACTCTTCTCGACTGTGGAGTTCTGCCACGAGGATTGGCATTTGAGTTTGGAGGAGGTTGGCGAGGGAAGGTAGCAAAGACGCTGGCTCTCGGTGATGTGGTGGTCGAGGTAGGCTCGGAACTGGTAGACGGCGGGAGGTTGTTCTCGCGATCCATGGTGGCGGCGGGCGCAGAGTGCGTGCCGTGGTGGTGGGACGGAGGTAGCGAGAGGGAGGTAGAGTCGAGTCTTGGTGTGGCTTTGGAGAATTGTTAGAAGGAGATAAATCGACAAGAAGAGTAAATGTGGGTTGCTTTTCTTGGGGAGGATTGAGCACAAGCACAATGACGTGCGAGTGGATAGAAAGGGTCTTGGGTCTTAGGGTGTTTGGGAAAAGCAGCAAAGACACTGACCGTCGGTCTCTGAGCCAGCAACAGAGCTCGCAGTGGATACGGCACCCCTGGCACGGTCGTACAGGGCAGAGCCCAATTGGTAGAGCGAAAAGGAAGAACGGGTCGAGTCGTCGTTGTCTTGGCGAGGGACTGCGAGGTTCAGATTAGGTTCGCCGTTGTCATGGGCCTGAGTCGGAGTCGCGTCAGAGTCGTCAACAATGGCAGACGAATCTGGCAGGCTGGAAGAAGCCATCATGTGTTGGTGCAAGACGTGGGTGAGCAGATTGTGCTCGGAATGCGCTCTGGACGGCCGTCGTGGAGGCGGGGACAGAAGTGGATTTGACTTCAACGGGTGTACCAGCGGCATGCTGATGCTTGCCCTCTTGACAGCAGCGCTGCTGAGACGGGCCTGATCCGCATCTGCATAGTGTGCTTTGTGGTCCAGCAGGGGCGACGAAAGGGGGTGCGAGTATGAAATGCCCGACGAGCTCCTTCTTGATTGCTGGCTTCCATGGCTGACTGTCCGATGCAAAGGCTCCATATGGCCCTGCAAAACTTGATCTAGGCACAATTCGAACAAAAGATGTAGGTACACACAGGGACTAATCTGAGGGTTGATGACAAGAATGGTTCAATTGGTATTCTGCTAGGTAATGATATGTTTGCACAGGATCTGTCTGCAATCGTGGTATGCATCATGTGCGTGATTGTGGCATGCTGCAGCCCCAGGAAGCCTCGGAGTTAGCGGCGTTTGCTACATCATGCAAATGGTCCAAGCGCCCAGAAATGTTGGCGTCGCGCATGTGAAGTTTTGGACGAGACGAGAGAAAGACTCAAAAACTTCATAGACATGACAATGCCTGCTGCTGTCAGTACAAACGGTGCAACCGAAGGCCGTCAGGTCAAGCGCCAGAGGACGGCCCAGAATGATGAGGCAGTCGCCAAGAGCCAGAGGCAGATTGGCTCTTCGCGACTGTTTGCGCCATACAGGGTAACTTCCTCTTTTGCAGAGACATGTGCTTGCAGGTCCGCTGACTCCTTCCTCTTTAGNACTGTCGGTCTCGTCTCGCCCACCGCCGTCCCCTTCACCAGCATCGCCCTCGGCAAGACGACCTTCCAACTCACCACCTCGGTCGGTCGCAGTCTGCAGACCTACGACTTGCGCCGCGGTCTCAACCTCGTCTTCATCACTCGCCCTCAGACTCCCGAATTCATCACAGCAAGCATCGCCCACAAGGATCTGGTCTTTGCAGCATGGGGAGGAGAACACCCCAAGTCGGATCGTGGTGTCTGGATCTTCAAGAGAGGCAAGAAGATTGCGGAACTGGAGATGCCCTCGAACCACCAGCACAACATCAAGTCTTTCACCATCTTCGGCTCGTGGATCATTGGCGCATGCGACAACCAAATCCTCGTCTGGAAGTCGTCCAACCATGAGCTCTATACCACCCTGCAGAGCATTACCGCCTCCTCTTTCACCGGAACCCTCAGCAGCATGCCCACCATGCTCAACAAGATTGTCGCTGGCAAGGACGACGGCACTGTCGAGATCTGGAACGTCTCGAGCGGAAAGCTGGTCTACTCTCTCCTCCCTCCTGCCGCTGATTATGGCGCCGTCACCGCCCTTCAGCCCACTCCTGCTCTCAACCTGCTCGCAATCGCCTACGAGTCTGGCCCTCTGATCATCCAGGACATCCAGGCAGACAAGAAGATTTTGCAGTTCAACGCAAGCGCCCACGGCACAAATGGTCCTTCGATTACCTCAATCACTTTCCGAACAGACGGCATGGGTGCGGGAGATGACGGCAAAAGAGCTGGTGTCATGGCAACTGCTTCAAACGAAAGTGGTGATGTGACTCTGTGGGACCTGAACAACGGTGGTCGTAAGCAGGGTGTTCTCCGTGGTGCCCACGCCCCTCCTTCATCTGCTTCGCCCGGTGGTGTTACAAGAGTCGAGTTCCTGCCCGGACAGGCCATCATCGCTACCAGTGGTCTGGATAACAGTCTCAAGACCTGGATCTTCGATGAGAGCCCCTTCAACCCTGTACCCAGAATCTTGCACCAGCGCAGCGGACACGGTGCTCCTGTGACGACGCTATCTTTCCTCCCCGCTGCTTCGGATGGTTCGGACGCCAGCGGAAAATGGCTTCTCAGCACCAGCAAGGACCGCAGCTTGTGGGGATGGAGTCTGAGACGCGATGGTCAGAGCACCGAGCTCTCTCAAGGCAATGTCACCAAGAAGGCGAGAAAGCAGGGTATCCTGTCCTCAGAAGGCAGGGACACGATTGAGGCACTCAAGGCCCCGCCGATCACTTCCATTGCTTGCTCGCTCAACCGTGATGGTGGTATGGGCTCCATGCCTGGAAAGTTCCCCATCTGGCAATCTGGCAAGGGCAAGACGAAGAACAGCACCGAAGCTACGAGTATGACTGGATGGGAAAGTGTTGTGACGGCACATGAAAACGACAACAAGGCCAGGACCTGGTTCTGGGGCAGAAAGAAGGCTGGCAGATGGGCATTCGAGACTCAAGATGGAGGAAATGTCAAGAGTGTTGCAGTCTCTCCTTGCGGTACTTTTGCTCTGGTTGGTTCTGACAATGGTGGCATCGACATGTTCAACCTTCAGTCTGGTGGTCACAGACAAAGGTACCCGGCACGACTCACTCCTGCTCAAGCACAACAACTTAAACTCGATTTGGCCAAGGCAGAGGAAGCCATTGCTCCCGCAGCAGAGGCTGGTAAGAAGAAGTTCTACCGCGGACAAGGAAAGCATACCGCTGCTGTTACTGGTCTGGCTGTCGACAACTTGAACCGTACAGTCATCAGCTGTAGCATCGACGGCAAGATCAAGTTCTGGGACTTTATGAGCGGTGCTCTCAAGCACGAAATTGACTGGTCTGGAGCTGTCGAAATCACAGGCCTCAGACTGCACCGTGGATCAGAGCTGGCCGCCTTCACCTGCACTGACGGCTGTGTTCGTGTTGTCGACGTTACCACATTGAAGCTCATCCGTGAGTTGAGAATGTCGCGATCATCGCAAGCCAAGGCCTTTGACTTTGCCGACTTTGGCTTTTCCAACGATGGTCGCTGGGTCATGGCTGCAACCTCGTCCTTCGTTTGCGCTTGGGACTTGCCGACAGGCCACTTGATTGATGTCTTCAAGCTTCCATCAACGTGCAATGCTCTTAGTTTCTCACCAACCGGAGAGTATCTGGCAACAGCGAGTGAGGAACATGTCGGTGTAGATGTCTGGTCCAACAAGACCATGTTTACCCATGTTCCTACCCGCCACATCAACGAAGCTGAGTTGTCGACAATTCTTGCCAGTGAAGCTCAAGCACCTACAGTATCGGGCGAGGATAGCATCTCTGTCATTGGCACCTTGGCCAACGCACCTGACGTTGAGTCCGACGACGAAAACTACGTCGATGCCGACCTCGATGCTGATGCAGACCTGGATGCTCTTTCGTCTGACCTTGTCTCGTTGTCGTTAGTGCCTCGCAGCCGCTGGCAAAACCTCCTACACCTGGACATTATCCGCCAACGCAATGCACCGACTGCAGCACCCAAGAAGCCTGAGAAGGCACCTTTCTTCCTTCCATCGTTGCAAGAACGACAAGCCAATCCCGCCATCGCAAACACGAACACCACACAGGACCTCGCAGCCATTGAGCAGGAACGCAGCCGCATCATGAAGATGGACCGTCAAAACACAATCTCAAAGTTCACCTCTTTGTTGCGCAACGCCTCTGAGACCGGCGACTTTGTGCCTTTCATCTCGCACCTCAAGAGCTTATCGCCAGCAGCTGCAGACATTGAAATTCGCAGTCTGTCTTCNCCCATCACATCCTTTGATCCTGAGTCAGAGGCTTGCAACGAGCTAGTCGCCTTTGTACGCGCACTTTCCTTCCTCTGCACATCCAAGCGTGACTTTGAGCTCGGTCAAGCGTGGATGGCGGTATTCCTCAAAGTACACTCTGATGTTGTCGTCGAGGACGAAGAACTCCGAGAGAGTGTCCGAGAATGGAGGGACAGAGTTGTAGAGGAGAAGGAGAGAGTAGAGATGCTAGCACAGTATTGTGGCGGTATGGTTGGCTTCTTGAGAGCTGCCAGAGTGTAGATGATTCTTTTCATTTCCATATCAAGCGATACTTTGCATGAGTTGTATACATATTAGTCTGATATGAGTGTTGATATTTCCTCCTGCACAATCACGACCTCCCCGCTCGAGGAGTTTTCTGAGTCCCGACCGAATGGTTGCACGACTTCCACCACGCAGGTACGTATCCAGAAACCCAGCTTTGCTTTCTGCAGGAGATGTCCTTTGTACCTTTGTACCGACTCGATATCTCAACGGTAGTCTATAGGAGGAAATGAAACACTGCCAATATACTATAAGCAATATCCACTGTGGGAGCAATGTGGCTTAGCTGAGCTTTCTATACGTACCAGAACGGGTTTCAGCTCCCTGCACGAATCAGGGAGATGTGCTTCTTTGAAATTGCTGTTGCTCTATCTGTCTACTGCACGACATAAGTAAGTCTGGTCTGCGCTAGGGGATCATTTTCGTTGTTTCTGGTTCGATTGATTTCTTTCTTGCTACAATCTTTGGGTCATCGTTTGCGAAATTTTATTTTTTTGCTTTTGTATGCGTTCTGAGAAGTAAAGCAACCACTTTGCAACCATGGCTGAAGCGCAAAGATTAATGTCAGATGGCGGGCTCGACACTGAGAATGAGGCCATCAACGACATGTTCTCTTCCTCTAGAAGGCGCAAATTCATCAGCAACTTCACCAACACCTTGTCTCTACCGTCAAAACCCACTGTCTGGGACATTACAAAACAAACCGGATTCTTCCGGTTGCCTACCTTTGTTTAATCTAAGCTTTACACCCCGCCGTCAACCCCGTCGAAACCACTTTCTGCTACGGCATGGCTGGATGGCATGAGAGGCCTTGCCGCGTTTCTGGTGTTTATCTTCCACATTACCTATGCCACCCACGATGTCGCTACCGCATGGACACCAAACGGCAAGCGCGACTTTTTGCGTCTGCCCCTGCTACGCTTCTTCTACCATGGTCCTGCGATGGTTAGTATCTTTTTCGTGCTCAGTGGGTATGCATTAAGCTACAAACCCTGCAAACAAATGCGCAGTGGCGAGACAGATGCTCTACTCAAAGGTCTTTCCTCGTCGGTGTTTCGCAGAGGCTTGAGATTGTATTTACCTTGTGTGGCATCCACGATGGTTATCTTTGTGTGTGTGAGGGTGGGCTTGTATGAGGTTACGAGTAAGCTTGCTCATGATGGGAAGAGGTTAACTGGATATTGGGATCGGCATGAGCCGCGCCTGAACGGGTTTTGGGGGCAAGTGTGGGTTTGGGGCAGCAGTGTTTTGGGGTTTATGAATCCGTTCACGGGCAAATATGTTTGGGGTGATGGACACTTGTGGACGATTCCTTTGGAATTTGTGAGTTTCTCTTCTTGTTCTCACTCTGTTTTTTCTTCTTCTCCTTTTGCGGTTTTGTGATGGTTGGATACAAGTGTGGTGGGTTTTTGGTATGTTTGTACTGACGTGCAATCACAGAGGGCTTCCATCGTTTTGTATGCCACACAACTTGGACTATGTCGGTTGCGCATGCGGTATCGCATATTTTGCTTGGTGGGCTTGATGTCCTGGGCCCACTACTCAGACCACTGGGTCGTCCTGCTCTTCTTTCTCGGTTTCATGCTCGCCGACCTCGATATTCGACGAACCGCCCTCGCCTCCGCAAACACCTTTTCCACTACCGTCTCGTCCCCAATATTCAACATGGTATGGACTGCCATCTATATCGCTACCTTCATCGGCGGCCTATACATTGGTGGCCAGCCAGAGATCGCGGGCGAACACGCACCAGGCTGGACAATGCTGTACTCGCTTATCCCTTCGTACATCCATGACCGCAATCGCTATTGGTGTGGTTGGGGCGCTTTGCTGCTTGTCTGGTCGACATCTAACTCACCCATGCTTCAACGCATCTTCACTGCATCACTCTCCCAATACATGGGCAGGATTTCGTTTTCTTTGTACTTGGCGCATGGCTTTGTCATCCACACGGTTTACTATATGTTATTGCCTGTTGTGTCGGGTGTTTTTGGGAGGGAAACCAAAGTGCAGAGGGAAGTTTCTTTTGGTGTTGCGTTGTGCGTGGTGACGGTGGTGCTGGTGTGGGTTAGTGATGTGTTTATGCGGTGTGTGGATGGACCCAGTGTAAGGTTTGCGAGATGGTTGGAGAGCAAGTTGAAGGCTTCAACGCAGGTACCCGCAGTCAAGCAAGAGGCTAGGTGGACGGAGGCGAGTGAAATAGTCTAGGTTCTGCATACTTGGCTGGGGACATGGGAGATTCTTCGCCGCAAAGCAGCTGCACTCGGTCATTGGAATGCTCTATCGTTTTCGTCCTCGTCGGGATGTAGGTCGACTGCTAGATCTGCTAATAAGATACGCTAGACAGGTAATTTTCGTGCAATCTAAGATCATATGACCAGACGCAAAGTGATGTTTTACGACGATGCGTAAGCAGCGATGCCAGTGTGAGGTATCGAAAATGCTGTCTTTGGCGTCAAATATACAAAGAGCCTCCGGAGTCTTGACGTTGCTCTCGAATGACGCCGTCAAAAGGTAGGTCAATGTCCTGCAAGTCCAACGCCTCAAAGACGATTTGATGCGGTGGTGCTGGTAGTGGTGATTGACCATACCAACAAGAGCCGTTCCATTGAGACTCTATTCGGGCCCGATCTCTGGGTACAAGTCGAGGTCAATAGGCCATCCTCGGGCAAGGTTTCGCTCGTCAAGCAACTCCTCGATGGTTGTCATTCCTTGACTCGACTCGACGGAATGTAGGCCCTTCTCTTCCCACTTCTCGGAATCGACAACCAAGAAACAACTCTTGTCGGACATGTAGGGTGCTACGCATTGGTTTCTGGATGCCTTCTCTTGCTCGTGGTGGTTTATGCATACATGAATATTGTCTTGGACGGTCGCAAACACCTCGAGGTGCCAGCAGGGCTTGTCGCTCCATTCACTGCAATTCAGATCTAACCCACTTTGCCACCATCGCGTCCTTGAGTGTCTCTCCAAATTGGTATCTCGATGGATCGTTGTTCTTTCTCCAGTCGAAGATGCGTGTCGTGCATCACGGTGTTAAAGTGGGACAGCCCTGGCGTCGTCACCGACGGACGAGCAAGATCATACCCTCACCCTCTGTTGCTCTCCGTCTCTTCTTTAGCATACCGTCGAATCTGCGCCTCGGCCATTCGGCATTTGCTACGGGCAGAGCTATCCACAAATATCAGGAGAACTGGAAACCTCTACGCTCCATTCTCCTGTACATATTGCCTGATGCGGATCTGACAGTTGCCTTCCAAGCCACATTTTGATGCACAGTAAGCTATGCAGCTCTCGGCTATCTACAGTCGTCCCCGTGCCGAAGGAAATCAAACTCGCAGGCTCACCATCTCACCGGCGCGGAGATGTGGAGCAGCTGAAAATCCTCCGGCTTGACGGAATCACCTTGAATCATATGTGAGGTGGTGAGAATCAACAATACATGACTCGCTGGCAACACATGCGGCTTCACTAGTCTCAGAGCTTCCTCCCTATCAGAAGCGTATCGGGGCGTTGTGCATGCGTTTGCTGCACGGATTAACTCTTTCTGACCACATCCGGTTTTGGCATTTTCTGCTTAATGCCAACCTTGAGGGTGGGCAGGTTGGATGGGAGGTTGGTTTGGTGGTCCAGGAGGTGTGATTCGCTGTCCATTGAATGCTGTCTTTCACTTGGGCTGCCCCCATATTTCTTTTTGTAACTTCAAGAAAATGGCATGGTGAACCACTTCTCCAGGGTGCTAGTCATGGAGAAGAATACCTGAACTTGATTTGTTGTTGGCAAACCAGCAGAGATGATCATTTCAAACCCAAAACATCTCTGATAACAGTAGCAGTGTTCTTGGCCGTGTTACTCGCGGTCCCACACACCCAGTCCTCTGTCGCCCTTTCGTGAAATCGCCGTGCCCAGAATTCCCACCTAGCTTTTGAGAACCCTGGCTCGCCATCCCAGAGTTCAGTATTTGTGGCTAATCCTCTCTGCCACTTGTCCCCGAAGATCTGGTTGTCGAGTAAGATCAGCTTTGATCCTGCGGTTATGATTCATTGCGCTGCTGCTATAGTGTCCGTCTGCAGTGGCTGTTCAACCGTGACAATGGAATTGAAGAGAAGGCTCTTTGCGTGAGATTCAAGGCTATACTCTAGTGCATCGCGTGTATCGAGGAATGCGGAGCTTCCGGATTCTTTTAAAAACATATCGTTACCGCTGCGCTGAACCAGGGTTGCCGAGAAGATGGTGAAGTTTATCCAAAGGTTTGCACCGGAGAGGTTGGTGGGTGATGGTGGGGTAGCAAGAGTTCGGTAGGTGTAGTAATAGCTATGTGAATCTTGCCAACAGGCCCATAGATGATAGCTCAAGACATTTGGGGTCTGGGGACCCAGAGGTAAGTTGTAGATCACTAGTGTCAGATCCACAAGGGAGTTGATAGATGCAGGCATATTAGCTGCTGTGTGGAATAGCAAGTTCCAGAATCGCCATGCGGTTTCTGGGCTATCAGAGCTTGACGAAGCAGTATTGATGAATTGGTTTGCTGCGTCCTCTATGCTAGTCTTATTTTCTAGTGGATTTTTGAGGATTTGCGTGTGCTGAGATAAGGCGCGCCAGATCCCAGCTCTGCAATGTCTGAGCCATTGGTCTAGAGACGAGGACATCATGATTTGGCAAGTCCGGGTTGAAGTCTACCGTTTTATATTCTAATGTGGTTAACGTCATGGTAAGCGAGGACGTCAGAAACCGGAAATAAGTAGATGTGGCCAAGTCTTTTCCAAGCGTTGGCAAGGGTCGATCTTTGCCACATTGTTCAAGGATGGAACAAACTTAGTTGGGGATCTGGTATCTTATAAGACTTTACCTTCTTGCCGAACGCCTTGCCACCTTTACATCTATCCGCTGCTGCAATCCTAGCATCTCAACTTACCCATCCGTATACACACACTATGCTCCCAACAAACACCAACAAGACCCGCAGTAGCACGAATACAACATCCTGCTCATCATTCACCTGGTTATTTGAAGTCTATATGTGGTTCTTCATGATGCCATCGGCCATTGTTTCTCTAACAATGACAATCCTCGACCTCGAGAATACTCTCGATGCCGTACCGATGGTAAGCTTCCTGCGCCTATTCAAAATGCCGCATGTCGTGTTTGCGATCTGCTATCTTGTTTTTGCTTTGTTGTTCTTCAGATTATGGCGGCAAGGATGTGTTGAGGGAGGAAGATTGTTTGTAGTGGGTTGATGCCGACAATGTGAACACATCGGTCGTTGAGTTGATCGACTAGACGCTGTCTGCGAAGGATATACGATGGCGTGACATGTCTGATTAGAGGTTGAAGATACAGTCCCTACAGGATACACTTGTAATTTGAGTCCAGGACTATGCTCGCCCTCGGTGAGCATGGACGAGAGTTACTTCTTCTTGTGTGCCTAGAAGGCTCTGTAAGTGCTGCTGAGAAGACTGTTGACTGGCGGATTGCAAGTCAATGTGATCAAGTGCTGTATTATGGTAGCTCTAATCTTTGTAAGTACCACTTTCTTCAATCTGCTGGAAGACGCTCATGGTGTGATCCCAAACTCTTTCATCGACCTTGGACTTCTTAAGATCCCTGTACTTGGTTTGAACATCGATGGTCTCCCCGTCGTGTTTGCAAGCATAGGCTCCTCCGCCAACAACACCATCAGTACTTGTTGCAACCTTGACAGAGGCGTCTTCAGCGGCCTGCGAGTCCCTCGGTGGCACTACCGATGAAGACATGTAAAGGATACGCTCGCCAATTTCTTCTGGCGACACGGCCATGGCGTATTTGACGACTGGCTTTGCAACAGTCCACATGACGCGGAACCAGCTTGGAAGATCTTGATTGCCAAATGCTGGTGTGATGACTACGCCAGGGAAGAGGTGGACAAAGGCGACCTTACCGGTATTCTGGGCGGCCAACTTTTCCATGAACAACGTTGTCATGGTGACGACGTGGGTGCGGGCTCGAGACATGTTATACCTCTTTGCATTGCGGAAGGACATGTCTTCGGCATCAAAATCTTTGATTTGCTCNNCTGGATGGGCAAAAGCATCAGCACTGTTGAGTAAGAGGGATGAATAGCATGGACTTACCAAACCTGCTCCGAAGACAGAGATGACATGAGAAGCCTCGGGAGCCCGTAATAGAGGCAGAAGATTTACAGCGAAACGCATGCGGGAATAGTATAGCATTGACATGGTCTTGTCAAGGCCTTCTTTGGTCTNCTGTTGAGCAAGAGCGATTAGAAAGAGATCCTCTTCAAAAGTACGCGAAACAAACTCACCTCTCCTCCCACCAATGTGCAAGTCGGCATGACTCATGATCAGCAGGTCGATACATGGTGTTGTGCCCTTGTCAGTGCTCGCCTGGCTGACGAGCTGCTTGATGTCTTCTGATGCCTTGTCGACATCGCGAATGAGTGATAGATCAGAGGCCTTGACAAAGTTGAAGTCGCCAGAAGGACATAACTTGCGGCAGTCGTTGAAGATTTTGTGGCNTGCATCGTCGTTCCTGCCTACAAGGTACAAGGACAGAGTTTGAGCACTCTTGCCGTAGTGAGCAGCGAGCGAACGAATGGTGTATTCGCCAATACCGCTGGTCCCGCCGACAAAGACGGCTGTCAGAGATCGTGCAGAGACCCACTTGTTGTTTTGGGTAACAGCAGTCTGTAGCGATACTTTTGTCATTGTGTCGAGCTGTATAGGTGAAATGGCGACAGAACTAGCTGCGACATCTGCGAAGAGAGCGATCTGGAGGATCCGAAGGATGGCGCGGACATGGCAAGATAGATGTAGGCGGTGGACGCCTGATTCACGACGTGGGATGGCGCATGGCTCTAGGGAACGGCGGGAGTATTGATACTCCGAGGATGAGCGCCATGTTCTCGAGCTGCAGGAAAATGTTCAGAGTTAGGTCAAGTCGAGGCGAGGTGGCTTGATCAGGACAAGACACCTTGGCAACGGTTGACCCGCCGCCGCTAGTGGGTTCGGCGAGATCGGCTAATCGCACTGCCATCGTGTGAAGCCTCCCAAGATTTCTTGTTTTCCTTGCTTAATTCAACCTCCAACAGCAGGTACTGTAATCAGCTGCTTTGAATCCTTCCGGTTGAACTGCGTGGTTCCACTCTAGAGCGTGTGCGCCGCTCTTTCCAACGCTCCGAACTGCAACATGACCGTGCTTACAAGTCATCCTTCGTCCCTCGTACTGCCATGACCCCCGACAACCCACTCTTATGGCGGCGTCTGTCGATTTAGTCCAACCTGCCAAGTTCTCCTTTACTTACAAGCAGAGCTTCTCGCAATGGTGGAATCATGTTTCGTCCACTTCGTCTGCCCAGGCCGAACAGGAAGTCCTTTCTCTAATCCCGTCTGTCTTACCAGCCTTGGATGGCTCTTCACCTGAGTCGATCGACACTTCTCATCACCGACTTGATGAATCTAAGCAAGAGTCCACTCCAAAAATCCATGATTCCAGGAAATGGCAAACCCAGCTCGTACCACTAGCCAGCAACCAAGCGGCATGCTATCTGAATGAGTTCTCCATAGAACGACCAGGGCATGATGTAAAACACAATCTCGTCATGCTTCATGGTTATGGCGCCGGTCTCGGACTCTTCTACAAGAACTTTGAACCACTCACACGCAAGTCGGCCTGGAAACTGTATGCTCTCGACCTATTGGGCATGGGCCGTTCGGCAAGACCTAGCTTTAACATCCAGGCCAAGACAAGCGAAGGAAGAGTACAGGAAGTTGAAGACTGGTTCATTGACGCTCTCGAAGAATGGAGGATCAAGCGTGGTATTGACAAGATGACGCTGTTGGGCCACAGCTTTGGAGCATACATGGCTGTTTGCTATGCCCTCAAGTACCCCGGACATCTCGAGAAGCTCATCCTGGCTTCGCCTGTCGGGATTCCCGAAGACAAGTACGCTTGGGGTTCATCGACAACAAAGCCCTTGACGACAGTACAGAACGAGGTTCTGCAGACCCAGCAGGAGACGACTGGCCATCCAGACTCGGCCACACCAGGACGACCGCCTCTACGAGTATTGCCCCGATTGGTTGGTTCGCTGTGGGCCGGCAACTTTTCTCCCTTTGGCTTCATCCGTCTTGCAGGTCCCTTTGGTCCAAGCCTTGTCTCGAGCTGGACGACAAGGCGTTTCTCTGAGCTGCCGGCAAACGAAGCCAAAGCCTTGCATAACTACTGCTACTCCCTCTTTCGCTTGCCTGGAAGTGGGGACTATGCCTTGACGTACATACTCGCACCTGGTGCATATGCTCGATCGCCGCTTGTCCGCCGTATCCAAGGCGTCGGACGCCAGCATATTAAGCACGACTCCTGCTCTTCAACTCCTGACATGTATCCTAGTGATCTGGCTCCTGGTACTATGAGTACGAAACAGAGGGAGACAGGTATTCCCATCGTTTTCATGTACGGAGACCGTGACTGGATGGATAAGCAAGGCGGGCCTGACTGCGAAGTCGAGATCAATGCAACAAAAGCAAAAGCTCTCGAAAACGCCACGCACGAAGAGCTACTCAAGGAAAACGGCAGCGCAAAGACGATCATCATCTCCAATGCCGGGCATCATCTCTACCTGGATAATTTCGAGGAGTTCAATCGCATTGTGCAGGAAGAGATGACGGATGTGGAAGCGCGAGAGAAGAGATTGTTGGATAAAAGAGCGCCTTGGTTGCGGGTCGAAGGTGAAGAGATTAGGAGATTAGAGGTCTGACGTTTCTCCTATTCCGCAATACTACAGATATTCCGGTTATTTAATGTTCAGCACGATGAGAAACAGACTCGATAAGCCAAATCCCGCAAGCCTAACCCCGGTGGTCCGATTCTAACAGCAAAGAAAAGGGTTTTCAACATTATGGTTGCGAACAAGTGGCAATACCCTTGATACTCACAGCCGAATCTACGCGTGTATCGAGCAATGAAGGTCTCTGCGTCTGATCCCATGCTGATCTGAGTGCAAATATCTCCCGAACCACAGCCTCCACATCTGCTGTCTTGATAGGCATTCGATGCGGACCAGCCCACTCTACCAACCGAACACGAGATGAGTCGCAGAACTGTTCCATCAGATTGCGGTGTAACGTTAAGCCTGGGTCTTGCAGTCCATGAACATGGATCGTCGGGACTCTCAGTAGCACCGACTCCTCGAAACTTGCGTCGTCTTGTCCCGTTGTGAATGAGAGAAATGGCCCTCGTCCTGCATGTAGGAGACCAAAGTCCAAATCCCGTCCGAAAATATGACTACCAAATCCAGGGTTCTGTTGTTGATGGTATAAAAGGCTCGCACCGACTTTTGCACCTTGACTGAACCCTAGAACAGCAACCCAAAGTCCAGTCGCTCCTTGAGCGTTGTCTTCTTCAACTGTACATTTGATGGACGCCGTGACTGCTTCAAAGTCGCCTTGGTGTGCAGTCATCGGAGGTCGGATCCACGCTTTGAAAGGTCCGCAGTCTTGGTAGACTGATAGAACGTCGGGTCCTGGCTCGGAAGCAAACGGAGCTTCTGCAAAGCAAAGGCGGAAGTCGTGTCCAAGGCGTCTCGAGATGACTCGACATTGAGTTTGGAAGATTTTGGCATTTGTGCCGCCTCCATGCAAACACAGAATCCGAGGGAATGCTCGAGAATCTATGTCTTCTGGTATGTAAGATGACAACATATTCACCAGCTGGAAGGAAAATCGCCGGGTAACAAGAATGGATGAGATTTGCAAGAGCTGTTAAGAGTGAGGAACGCCTTGGATAGATTGCGCCGAGATGACAAAGCTTTGTAGCAGCTCGGCGGCAAATACGTTCCATGCGTCATTCGTTCGGTTCCCAGCGAGAAGTATCAGTGAGAACTGTTGTCCTCGAACTAGTCGGACCTCTCTGGAGCAGCAATCCTTCTGTCGGACTTTCTGATGTTCCGAACATAACGCCGTGTAGGTCAAGAGAGTCCTTTCAAGTTGCTGTGGTATATCAAGTCGGATGACACTGGCTCTTCTCACCACTCATCTTCAATTCTCATACACATTATCACGATGGCAATCGGCAAACCAATTTTCGCCGATGTTCTGGGCCAGTGGCCACAACTCAAGACCTACAACCACGGCTCTGCTCTGTACAAAGCTGAAGGGATTCCCAGGGAGAACATCATTCGCGAATGGGAAGCAGCGGCCGACATTCTGACGGCACAAATTCCTTGGCTTGTCGAGAGGGTCGTGCATGACGGTGTCGCTCCGGGAAACACTGGACAATTCTATACAGCACCATGGCCATCACATTTGCCCCCAAACAGACTGCTCCGATTGAAAGACTGCAGTGACCTTCTCCCGAGCTACCAGGAACTCCACGATTCGCAGTTGCCAATTCAGAGTTTGGATGGCAGGATTGTTTGTCCCACTCCTGGCTTCCCGCTCCCGTACAACGAGGAAGAAATGGGACCAGCCCCTGCTTGTATCATTCAGTTGAACTTCATCCAAGACGGCGTGATTGTTACTTTTTCGAATCATCACAATGTCATGGATGGAACGGGCTTGTTCAATGTTATTGGCATGATGGCCTTGCTACTTGAAGGCAAAGCTTTGCCTCAAGAATGCATCGAGCAAGGAAATAGGGATCGTGCCACTGTCGTACCTCTCTACCCTGACGACGTCCCGATCAAGGATCACTCCTACCTGAACGCCATCACACTGCCTCCTCCGCCGGTGACGGCACCCATGGCAAAATGGCTGGCCGTCAAGTTCAAGAAAGGAGCTTTGTCTCCACTCAAAGCCTTGGCCAGCGACCCGACCGGCTTTGACAAAGACGTAAAGTTTATCTCCAGCGGAGATGCCGTGAGCGCTCTGTACTGGAAGATCTTGGCCGGTATCCGCGTGCAGCAAGGAATGGATCCCTCTGCACGCACCAAGTTCTCGCGCGCCATTGATGCACGCTCAGCCGTCAAAGTTCCTACAACTTTTATGGGTCAAATGGTGCACTCCGTACCGACCTACTATACACATCAAGAACTCATCGATCTGCCACTTTCCACCATTGCATCTGCTTTGCGCAAGGATCTCGATACGACGAACAACGAATACTCGGTACGCAGCTATGCCACCTTTATCGCCAGACAACCCGATAAAACGAAGCTCATGTACACTGGTCCTTTCAACCGACAGACCGACATTGCATCTTCGTCAATGGCGCAAGCTTCCTTGGTGCTCAAGTTCGGCCTATTGGGTATGCCTGAGTTCATCCGTCGTCCTAATCTGTTCCCCATACCAGGTATGTATCTTGCTCTCTTTTCATCTTGGGAATATCACTGACATCTTTTTGCTTTCACAGGCACTTTGTACTTTTATCCTCCCGATGCCGCTGGAGATCTGAATCTTCATGTCTGTCTGCGTGATTTTGAGGTTCAGGCTTTGCAGGACGATCCTATCTGGGGGCAGGCAGCTGAAATTGTTGGGTAGACTCGTACCAGAACGTAGTGATGAATCTGTTCTTTCTTGTTATGTGTTTGATCATGTTTTTGGGCAGGACTACTGGCATTCGTATCTGAATGATTGATAGTTGATAGTGGTATGAACGTTCTTGAGCTACCTTTCATGTCATCAATGATCACTCATGCTTGTGATCCTTTCGCATAGCACCATTATGGGTGATCGTATAGGGAAACACTCTCCTATGTAATCTGATGGCTTTCAGATCCAAAGCTGCATGACTGTAGACTTTGTGGGATCTACATAAAGAAAAGTTGAGTGCAGAAGTAAGATGAGGCACAATCTTGATATCTGCTCTCGTGATCGCCATGTGATCGTTGGTCCTAGTATTTCCAACTTTTCTGGAGTTTCGCGCTATCGGACTAGACCGACTGCTTAGCTTTGATGTTTTTCCACTCCATGCCAATCGCCCCGAGAACCGTCAAACACCCCAGACAAAGACTCAGTTCAAAAGCCTTTGTGACAGCACCACTATAAGCCACCAAAACATCCTCAAGAAATTCTTCCGGGACCACATGTAGCAGGTTGGTAATTCCAGCCTGCACAGCTTTCTCTACATCAAGACCCGGGATGTGTAATTTCTCAATATTGGACACCAATTGCTTGTTGAAAATGTTTTCTGCTGCAGAGAGAAAGATTGTGCCGCCCAGGAATTGAGAGGTGAAGACTGTGGACACAGCGATAGGGATATCGGGGAGGGGTAAAGTGGTCTGTACTGCTACGCTGGGTTGTTGGAATCCAAAGCCGATGCCCAGGCCGAGGATGACTTGGTAGCCTATCCATCTCGACTCGGGAATGCCGACGTGGAAGGTAGAGAGTAGGCCTGTCCCTATAGAAAGGAAGATTGTGGATGCAATGACAAAGGGCATGTAGTAGCCCAATCTTGTGGTTCCGCCTGCAGCAACTAAGGTGGCAAGGAGTTGGGAGAGGATGAGCGGTAGAGTGTGTACGGCAGACATGACTGGAGTGATACCCTGAATTGCCTGGAACCAGATAGGCAAGAAGTATAGAGTGACAAAGACGGTAGAGCTGATGAAGAAGGCGTACACAGAGGAGAAGATTAGAGTGCGTTGGCGAGCAAGGTGTGGTGGGATTGTTGCTCGTTCTTTGCATCTCCATTCGTTGGCGCAGAACGCGATGGCCGTTACACCAAAGACGACCAGGAGTGCGATGATCCTACCATCGGACCAGGGATATGTCGTACCTCCCCATTGGACGGCGATCAACAAAGAGATCACCGAACCCACGAATAGCACATTACCTAAAGGATTCAGGCTTGAAATACGTTCACGCAGCGAAGCATCCTGATGCTCAAGCTTCTGATCGAGTTTCAGAAAGAATATCGTCCCTGCGGCGGTGAACGCACCAATAGGAANCTAGACACACGTTAGCAATATCCACAATGACTGGAATACTCTCGTCATACGGTTAATGTAGAAGCACCATCGCCAAGTGACATGATCAGTGAATGCACCACCAATCAATGGACCTATGACTGAGCACAGTCCAAACAACGCGCCTACCATACCCATGATAGCGGGCTTGAGTTTTCTAGGAGCAACATGGGCGACCGCTGTAGATGCTCCCGTGGAGATACCTGCTGCTCCAAGACCAGCTACCGCTCTTCCGATAACCAGGACCGTTGATGTGGGAGAAACGCCACAGATCAGTGAGCCCAACTCGAACAAGAACAGCGCTATGAGGAAGAGAATCTTCACATGGATGATGGAGTACAGCTTTGCATACAAGAGCTGGAANNGCCTGCGAGTAATCAATCAGCGCTTAAATTGTTCTGCGTTACGCTCTCACTTACTGCATGTGGTCAAGAAGTAAGCAGCTCCATACCAACCGACATCATCAATGGTGTGGAATGTGTCGGTAATCTTAGGGATCGCTGTTGCCAGTACTGNTCTGATGTCAACTTGAGGTGAACAGAATGTCGGGGGAGACAGTGTCCACAAACTCGTATTGTCCAAGGCAACACAAAAGACTGCGCTGAGTAAAGAGGCAACGACAAGGCCAAGAGGGAGCCCGCTCATTTCATTTGGATTCTCTGGCATCGTGGTCGGCTGATCTTGCACCTCTGTATCTTTCGTCTCCTCGCTGGCTGGGGTTGGAACGTCTTTCGCTTGAAGAGACGATGACGATACATCACCATCAGGGACCTCAACACGGGCGTCGGTAACTCCAGGTTGTGCTTTGTCGTCCTGAACTGCCTCGAGCGTTTGGAGATCTTTGACCATGTTGGATTTGGTTGCGGGAATGGTGGTGCTTTGGTATGTGCATCTACAGGCAGGCTTGTGGTATGCTTGTGATTGACGTTGGTTTTGGGAGGATGATCAAAAGATCGTATTCGGAGTTTCTCCTAGGCACGAGCGCACATTCAGATTGAGTTCCTTCCCTAGGACTTTAGATTCTCCGACGATCTCCCACCGAGGTTTTCCCTGGTCAAGGTGTGAGTTAGTTGGAGACAATACTCTCATTCGCTGCTCATACGTGGCGTGCAGAAGAATTGCAAGGAGCGTGATCACTGTCCGATACATTTGCACCAATATCGCTGGGTTTGCATTATGCAGTACGTTGGTTTTCTGTCAACATCAAGAAGTGGAATAGAAATCTTTGAATCAGTTGCCTGAACAAGATGTAAACCAGTGAACAATTCCTCAATTCCTGAGCCCCTTTACCGAGTCGTTAATATCCTTCTCTTTCATCGTCCTCGTGCCCTTTGATTCTAACCATAAGTCTTGTACTACAGCGCCCATGTTGTGCTTTTCACCCATGTTGTACTCGGATCCAAAAGCTGTACACAGTAACTTGCCGTCACGCTGGAGAAAGCCAGCTCATGCAGCGAGTGCATGATTTGTTCATGCTGCATGGTCTGCAGAATGTCTTCCTGTGTCGCGGGTTGCGAAAAGTCCGCGCAGAAGTATAGCGGAATTGCTGCAAAGGGGTGAANTCTGCATGCTCAATTAGTATTTGAACGAGAAAGATGATGGAAATCTTTGCTCACATTCGATTGACCATAATGACAGAGTGCAGTCGATAGATTCAGCATTTCTGTGATGGCCTTCGACGTACTGCCTTCGTAGCCATTGATCACGTTGCTGGTGCTCATGTTGCTAAGAGCATCCCTACGGCCATTACTTCCCGCTTTGCAGAGGCTGACCAACATGGCATGCGCCACCATGTTTGTGAACAAGAGCATAGAGTCCAGACTGTCGGTATTGTACGTGCCATGTGCAGCCATGATCTGTTCACTCTGAGCAATTATACTCTCGAGCCACTGCAAGCGGTGGTAGAATTCTGGTTCTGCACTCTCGTTTCCGTAGAAGCGGTCAATCAGCTGTCGATGGCGGGATAGGAGACCTCTACCCCAGAGCGTCACGAGGATGAGAAGATTGTTGAAGGAAGACAGTTTACGCTTGTCGGTACCTCGCAGGACTTCGAAAAGGAAGGCGCCGTCTACCAGACGTCCTGCCTGGAAGTGTTCTTCGGGCGCGGGCAGTCGTGTCAAGATCTGTTGTGCATCAACAAGGATACCACACATCAAACGACCTGGACCTACCGATTGTTCACTGATGGTAAAAGGTACTTGGTTTACCAAGTTCACCATACGGTCTAGAAAGTAGCCCATCCAGAAGGTTCTCCTGCGTTCTTCGATCACGGTCAACGTGTTCTCGCTCTGCTGTGCTTCAACCAAAGGATCTTTGTCATTCAGGCCAGCTGGCATGTCAATTTCATGAAGTTTCAGTAGGTGTATCAGTCGGATGGCCCGTCCAGCGCTGATCCATCCTTTGCGGAAGCTGACACGCTTCATTTCGTACATGGCCACAAGTATCCAAGCTTGTGCTTCTTCCAAATGCTCGTCACCCTCGCGGGAGTTGATGTCGAGGGTCTCCAGTGAAGTTTTGGCTTGGATGTACAACATGTCTTGAATATTCTGTGGTTGACAGACTGAAGCGGCCATCATCCACACAGCCTGGCGTAGACAGTCAAAGGGTTGAACGTCAGGGGCTTGTAACCTCGCTCGGACAACGTATCGCTTCTGGTGGAGCATAGGCATAAACACGTGGACACGGTCAAAGTACATCTGGTNCCCTTGAATACACATGTACGTCAGTAAGATCTCCGAAGAAAGCAGTATGAGAGCTTACAAATCCGCTTGCATATGTACCGTCATGAATGTGGATGCTAGTGGCTGAGATGGAATGCAGGTAAGGTCTATCGCAGAGTCGCACGTATTGTCCGTAGAGGCGGTTGGAAAACCAAAAGTCTGGTCTGAGATATCCGGTGATGTTTGCATCATGAAGTAGTCCATATTGACGTCGAGGTCTGGAGGCGCAAGCTGATCAATGGCCAGTAGGCCTTGATCTCCGGTATCAGATATGAAGCATTGCGTCGTTGCAACAGGCTCCGAGGGGGTCTGAACAACCTCGACGGTAGCCTCTTCTGGTTGAGTCTCGGATTTCTGTGCAGTGGGCTGGGTGCGGACTGTTTCGGTCTCGCTGAGGCGGCGTTCCAGGTCATNCTGTTCAGAAATGGTGAGCAAATAGGTAGCTACTGATCATCGACAGGCGCTCATACTGATTTTGGACTGCAATATACGCATATGACCTTTCTTGGGTCCCCGAGGTAGACTCGTACTGGCCCTGACGCACTCAGAGCCAAGGCTCTGGCACAGGAAGCAGGCGGGGCGTTGCCTGTCACAGCGAAGCTTGCGAGCCCGGCATTCATCACAAGCTAACCCTGGCTGCTGGCGCGTACGGCCGGTAGCAGTGGTTGGTGTCGATCCAGCGGTATCCTTGGCGTTTCCCATAATGGTTTCTTTTGGTTATAAGGTGTTGAAGCCTGCAAAGATATGGTGGCCGCGCTGCTGCAATTATGTTCGCCGACCTGTTCGAGCAATCCTTCGACCACGCTCTCCACGAGTCTCGGACTTTGGCCAATGTTGGTTGTGCATTAGGGCATGTAGTCTGAAGGATTCCGTCTCCGGCGGCAGAAAATCAGGCAGTCCTGACGGTTATGTGGGCCCTGTAAGCGCCAACAGCTCCCAAAGGCTTAGCTGTCTTGGAGATCGCAGCCGAGCTTATCGAGAGTTGACACTTTCGCAGAGTGGCCACCTGGCCATGTGCAATAGTCGCCTAAAGTTGCAAGTAAGACGACTTTCAGATCCTACCAAACTTGTTCGAACGCGACCAGATCAGGTCTCAAAGCGCGAGCGCAAATGAAGCGTCTTAGACGCGTACCACTTAGTGTCCAGAATCCTTCGAAGCGATCAAAGTCACAAGGAAGGAAGACATGTCCTAGGAGCCTTTCGTAGTCGCCATATACCATCGACGCATACTCAAGGCATTTTCTGTTCTGTTCAGCGCAGGAATGCGTATATGTAATGTGAACATGTTGTCGGGACTTCTGCAGACTTGGTATAGGCTATCAGTCAAGCCTTTGGTGTCAAGGCTGTGTTCAGGCCCACGGTTTTCGGCCGGGTACGGGCAGGGACAACGATCGCTCGGCGTCGGCCCGGCTCGACCTGCGCAATCTCGCAAAGTCTTCATCTCAGGGCCTCATGTCTTATAAATTGGAGCTCCCTCCTCCCAGATCGCCGATGGACAAGCATATTACAAGATTCGAAGAGCTTATCTGCAATCCCCTGTCGAGCAATCGATCTATCCTGCAGCTGACCGACGTGCAAAGTCGTATATTACATGCGTCTACGCCCCTGCTGACAATCTGGTGGGCGATATGAGCTGCGCCATACAGAATCACGTGCCTTCCACTTGGGTTCAACTCACTGTTCCGCTGATCACATTGCCCCCTTCGCCAGGCTGACGATGGTACTCCCGCTATACCATCAGCCTGATACAGACTCATCATATCCCATATGAGGATTAGTTAACCAACGCAGTCTCCTTCGCAGCTTTCTTCAGCATCCTGCCCGTTCGAAGCGTATGCACGAGCAAATCGGCGACTCTCTAACCGACATGCCATCTGGACAAATAGAAGCTCCGAAAGAAGGATTGAACATGGTTTAATTCAGGAACGCCAGCAGCATCCATTTCTATATGTGGATACAGTTGTCAAAATTCTGCAGGATTTCAGTATGAGGCCACACTCCATATCACGATGGTCAGGCATACAGACCAACGCGCATTCTATCCGGTGATCCACAAATGCTAATGCTTTCAGACATTACTCCGAACGCAAGGCTTAGCCATCCATAGCGCGTTCGTCATTTTGAGAGAGCGAATTTGCAGACCGGTGAATGTGCAAGCGGCAGGGCTTAAGGCAACCGGCCTCGATCTTGTTGATGTTCTCCTTTCGTCTCGGCAATCTGGTGGAAACCGGCAGTTGGGATCCTCAATACGTGCCTCATCCTTGACAGTACCGTTATAGATTGCTTCGAGACATCTACAAGCAAACAGCGCAAGTTAGCTTGGGTTCTGCATTTACCCGACCACTGTAAGTTCGATCTTTGAAGCTTGGCAAGAGGCTTGACTGTTCTTGAAAGCAGACAAGAACACGCGAAGCAACGCGGTTGAGAAAGGGATCTAGCTTGTTAAACTCAATCACAGCTTGCCCTGACTGCCAAATCCGGGAATCGATTTGCAGCTCAGGGAAGTGGACGATCTTGGTCACCAACAGTCCGTTTTGCTTAGGCACATAAGCTAGCCATGGCGTTGACGGGGATCACGGCCGCTTGCGAATATACGGAAGAGATGACCTTGCTATTGGCTTTGTATTTCAGTACCGCAATTCTTGTGCATCGTAAGGTGGCCAGCTATCGCATAGGATTTGCCGTTGGTGTACCTCGTTTATGGTCAAGATTTCGTCAGCTTACCAAAAGGCTGGCATCGGTGGCTTGGGTGCTTCGGGAACGAGTAATAGACAAAATGACTTTCCCGAGAGGCCAAAAGTCGTCGTCACAATATGGAATAACTTTCTGAATGTATCCAACCATGCCCTGGTGCTGTGAGCGGCAAATAAGGCGACAGGAAAATGTGAAACTCACATATCTCTGTGGCCGTATTCCATCTCACCATTGTGTTTTTTGCTGCGGATCAAGACGAACGATCACTTTTTGGTCAATATGAAGACGCCAAGATCGTATACTGGTCAGGGTGTCCCCTGTTGCAAGTGATCAAATCAATCACCAGCACATATCTGTTTAACAACAAGACCTCATGCGTCTAGTAAGATGAAGCCAGGACTATCTAGGATAACAGCCCTAGGCTTGAGATTTGTGTTGTATTCCGGCCCAAGGTGGTCATGTTATAGCCAAAATTAGATGATTATCAAGCTTGCTCAAGAATGTCGCACCGTTCTGTTAAGTTTTGTCCACTCAATAATCTCTCACCGCTGGAACCCGCAAAAACTGCAAGAAATACATAAAAGACCCATGAAATCATCACTAGAACACGATCTGTCATGACTTTGAGCTCACATTTATCAAAAGACTCAACAATGGTCAAACATCACCAAACAAGAATGCACAGCACGTGATTTTCGCGCCTTCAGATTGATGACGCACTGGATTCCACTCTGACCATGTTCCATCCACTCGGACACGCGTTGAGTCTTCACGATTATGAGCCTTGACAACTAAAGTAGGACAAACGATACTTATCAAGCTAATCTTCTTATTCATAAGAACTCGGTGAGAATTGTCGACTTGCCCAAGCGACCTCGATCCCGATGCTCGAGACCCAGAGCTCGCCGCGACAAACGACCTGCCCTGCAACAAATGGCTCTTGCAGACGGAGACTACATGCAGAGAGACGAGGGGAGCCAACAAAACATACGACAGGAAAAGGAGGTGAGACGTGATGAAAGCTGTATCAGCAAGAAGAGTTGGACTACGCGAAACAAACAATAAGACGACCAAGGAGAAAGCAAGCATTAAACATCCGCAACGCGACCCTGTAAGCTTCAAAAGCTACAGTCTTTTCCTTCACGACAAGAACCGCATGTCCTTCCACGCCTGCACAAACCGTCGCGCAACTTCTTCACTCACCGGCCGCACATTCCTCAACGTCTCGGAATGCTCTTGCGTGTTTTTTGTCTCCAGCAACAAACCACCACAAGACATACGCAGAAAGTTGTCTTGCAGGAAGTCGACAAGCATGGACGCAGGATTGAGATTGTTTTGCCCACTTTCCTCACACGTGCGCACCAAGGCCACCCACTCATCGAAAGGAATGATGTTGGCACGAGGGATACCCAGAGCGTTTGCAAGTACAGGAATCATATTGGCCCATTGCTGACGGATGGGGTTGTCGATGTTGTAGATGGCGTAAGGCGATGTGTTGATGTTCAGCAAATCGCCTACCGTGCCTGCGACATCATCGACCGGGGTCCAGGATAGCAGGCCTTGGAGATCGGGTATGGCGTTCAGCATCTGCGACGACTTCCAGAGGAACGAAGTGTGCTCCATAGGATTCCAATAGCCGCTTTTGCGCGAGCCAGCGATCTGGCCAACGCGGATGCTCGAGGTGGCGAAGATGTTGGGATACTAAAGTTGCAAAACTTGGTCAGTATATCAATTGACGAGGAAAATTGTTTGCCGTGNGCTTACCTTGTGTAGAGTGCGGTCGAGTGCCAATTCGCAAGCCCATTTGGCATCGCCATAGCCATTGGGCAAGACGGCGTCAATCGTGACTCGTTCTTCCGGTACGTGAGGAGTATCCTTCCACATTGGATAATGTCCCACCACAGCAATCGACGACACAAACACGAAACGCGTCTTCATGTCGCGCGGTCTCAGAGCCGCAATGTTGCTAGCCATGGACAGCAGATTACCCATAATCTCAAACTGTGGCTCGAAACCGGCAATCGGACGTTTAGCACTCATCGTCCACGCATTGTGGACTATGCAAGTTACGTTGTCGAGCAGAGACTGGTAAGTTTCTTTGGGTAGTCCAAGCATGGGCTTTGTCATGTCGCCCTCGAACGATTGTAGTTTGGCAAGGCCTTTGGCGGAGACGAGAATACCACGAGAGATCAAGGATTTCAGTTGATGTGTTTGAGGATCGCCCTTGTGAGGACGATTTAAGCAGATGACTGATCTGATGTCGTCTCTCTCGACCAGGTTGGATACGAGATGTGCACCAAGACTCCCTGAAGCACCAGTGATCAAGACACATGTCCCTGATGGCCTCTTGCCTGCCTGTGCCTGTGCTTGGCTTGGGGACGGATGATGAAATCTGTTCGCCATGCGGTGTACGTAGCGATCCACTGTTGCCGCTCTTGCCTCTAACGACGTCGCATTCTCTTGCAGTGGTTCGTCAAAGACTGATGCATCTGCAGGAGTCTCGAAACAAGGCGAAACAGTAGCAACGATGAGCCTTTCAATCTTGTTTTCGGGTCGCTGACCATCGGTCCAGTCCACAGAGCTGAATCCGGCTGCGAGAAGATGACGCTTCCAGTCAGCTTGGTTTGCGACGGCGTGCGAACGTCCATCGTCAAAGAACCACCAGCCCTCGAAGAGGCCGAAGATGATGTCCACCCAAAGCAATGGCGTAGTCATCTCAACCATCATCAACAATCCGTCTGGGCGTAAGAACTCTTTGACACGAGACGCAGATTGCGTGATGTTATGCGTCGCATGGATAGCATTACTTGCGATTACAATATGCTGACTGCCACGCAGGTCTTCGGGTGCACCCTTCTCAATGTCGTGGGTTCGGTATTTGACAAAGTCGTACTGGCTGAAACGCTTTCGAGCTGCAGCCACGAAGGATGGCGCAAGATCGGTGAAGGTGTATTCCACATGCATTGGCAGAGTCGCCAACAGAGGAATAAGCCATTGACTGGTACCGCCCGTTCCAGCTCCCATCTCTAGGATACGAAGAGTGCCATCAACGGGAGATATCTTCTCCGACAGCTTCGAGAAGAAGTTTTCGATCTGGCGGTACATGAGACGGTTGATAGGCCACTCGCCATATAATGATGATACCAACTCTCTGCCCTTGGCGTTGCCAAAGATGAGTTTGATACCATCCGTCTTGCCAGAGAGGATGGCTGCGAGGTTCGAGCCGGCATGGAAAATCAAGTCAAAGGCACCCTTCTCGCCCGGCGAGATCTTCGATGCTCGGGCCAATACTTGCTGGCTGCTTTCTGGATCAGGCATCCGAGCAGTACGAACCACCATCTCATTGTCAATAGTAGTAAGACCAGCGTGCTTGGCAAGCGCGTGATATAGGTAATCTCGCAGATGTTTCTGTTCTTCACGACATTCGACCCAAGGCAGTGAAGTGCCCTCTGAAGTCGTAAGAATATGGCAACCGAGCTTGTCCAGAGCTTCTACAATGAGTGCAATGCAAAGCTCCATCTTCAGTGGTAGGACGCTTGTGCTGTAATCTTGACAGCCAAAGGTAACGAATTGATCATCGGTCTCTTTCTTGATCTGCGCAAATGCCTCTTGCACAAGCTTGGCTGGCAGATTCAATGAAACATNCTCTATCGGAACCTCCATCAATGGGGCAATTATCCTCGAGGGGGCGAGGGAATTGGACGTGGATTCTTTGTTTGGAGCGACTGTGAGCGACCTTTGTGAAGACCAGGCAGGACCACCGAGTGCTATATTCAGCTCATTGATAGTCATGTCCTCTAGACAAAAATCCATGGAGAGATGAGTATCATATACTGAAGCGAGATCAGCTCGTAACTCTATTGCAAGCAAAGAATCTACACCCAAGTCGCGAAGGACGGTGGTTGGCTTGATTGTTTCCTCGCCTAGCCCTAGAAACTGTGCAAGGTGGGTCGTGCTGTCAATTTGTGCTTCTTCAGGCGTGGTTGCAGCGGTGTGGGGTAGAGAGCTTGACCTGTCTGTATCAGAAGAAGTGTCTGACTCTGACATGACTGACTGATCCAACTCTTTGCCATAGTCTTCTTCCCGCAATGATGCAGTCGCGCACTTGACCAGACCAGCGACAGTGGTGACATTGGCGACTTGATCCAATGGAAGATTGCAATTCAACGTCCTTCCAAGCTCGGAAATCATCTCCATAGCCATCAGAGAGTCAACTCCAAGGTCGGCTAAGTCGCTATTCTCGAGAATATCACTATCTCTGAGACCAAGGAAAGAAGACAGAACCGTTTTGATCTGGTCTAATACGTTACGCTCCTGACTTGAAGGCTTCGGAGTCTTGAGGAGCTTTGGACGTTGCGGTAGGATTTGTGCCACAGGCTCTGACTTCCCAACCAGGCCGAGCTCTGGGGTCATTCTGGTGAGAATGCGCTGCATAGAGACCTTCTTGACGCTTCTGTATTTGATCCCGAGGATGACTTCGAGAAGGCTGCCTGTAGTGCCATTGAAGACAAAGACGTCGGAGGTGATTGAGTCAGACGAGACTTTGTGATGCGTTGCTAGAACGTTGTAAGACTCTGGTCGGGGTGTGTCTGACTGAAGCTCAGGCGAACGGATCCAGTTCTCAATCTCGCAGGCAAGGTACATGTCCTCTGGGCCTCGATCAGACATGCAATTGACGTAGATTCCAGCCACTTGGCAGAAGACATCCGAGAGGAGAGGATCCAGCCATGTCTTGGAGTCATAAGCGTGGCAAACTCTGCCAGCAGATTCCCCTCGATGACCGACCAGTTTCTGAAGACCTCGGTATTGCGGCCCATAATCAACCACATCAGAAAATGCTCTATATACGTTCCGTCCCTGGATGACTTCGTCCGAATTTGAGTCATTCAGAATGCTAAGGCATCTTTGGTGCAGCTTCAATCTTTCATATCTTGAGAAATCCAGCTTGGTGGCACTGACATCAGCACCAAGAACACACACCGCACCAGTCGTGTGGATAACGGTTTCGGACGGACCATTGCCTGTACTGGTGATTTTGAAGGTCCAGCATGTCTTGTCGGGCCGGCCCTCAACATCGAGCCACAACGACCGAGAACTGTCTCGGCAAATGGGAGAAAGGTTCTGAACATTCTGAAGCTCGGGGACAAAGTGTGCAGCTGGCACTTCGGGAACCAAAGTCCTCACTGACTCGATTGCAAAGTCGAGCTGTGCAGTAGCCGGGCAGATCGGTGCCGTGTGAGCAATTTTGTGGCCAGAGAGAAGCTTTTCGTACGCTGCTATACTTGTGTTGATCTTGAAGCGTGCAACCAAGCCTTGCTTCTCCAACTTTACTAGGGCTAGTAGTGTGTCTGGTAATTGCTGCGAAACTGGTTGCTTGGGAGTGTCGCCCGGTAGCAAAGTCTTTGCGTTCTTCAACTCCATCCAGTGACGTGACTTCTCAAACTGGTATGGTGGAAGTATGAGCGTGGCGTAGTCGCGTGATTGCGAAGAATGATGCAGCCAGAAACTTGCTGAGACTCCAGCTCGCCAAAGCGAAGCAGTCGTTTCGGCAAGATTGTCCAAAGCCTTGTCACTCGTGATGTTCAAATCGAGGAAAGTGTGCCCAGTCGTGTCTGATAAGGAACGCTTTGCGAGAATCGTAACTGAGGAAGATGAACCAGCTTCGAGCCAAACAGCATCGGGATGTTCATGTGCCAGGCGTTGAACGGCGTGAGTGAAGTAGACAGGGTTTCTCATGTGGTCGGCAAAGAAACGTGGAGTCAGAGTTGAGCTTGAACAGCTTTCTGTTGTTCTTTCGAAGGGTATGCGTGGGCTCTTGAAGTCGACTCCTTCAGCTCCTTGTTCTACTGCATCCATGAGCGGCGAAGCAAGTACACTGTGGTAAGCGTGTGTGACATTCAACAGCTTCGTGCGCAGGCCGCTGAACTTTGGAGAGGTAACTAGCATTTTTGAGATGCAATCAATGGCCTTTTGGGAACCAGCCACAGTAAACTGGCGAAGACCGTTAAAGCAAGCAATCGTGGCCGGATGGTCTGGGTCACCAGTTATATTGCTTGCGTGCAAAAGCTCTTCAACCTGACTGAGATCACCCTCAATCGCCATCATGGCACCCGTGTCCGATCCCCATGAGCTTTCAATGACCCTCGCACGGCCTATGACAGCTTTCAGGCAATGTTCGAGACTGAGTGAGCCAGATGCGCAGAGTGCGGTGAGCTCACCAAAGCTATGTCCAACCATAGCCGTGGGAACAACTCCACTGTCAATCCAAGACTGAACACAAGAGTACTGGAGTGAGAAAAGAAGGCAATGTAACATAGCCAGGTCTCCAATGCTGCTGCGCTGGAAGATATGAGGAAATATGGTGCCCACACCCAGAGAGATACAAGCGGAGTTACAGACGCGAAGGTGCTCTCGCAGCAAGCTGCTTCGTTGATATAAGTTCTCATCCAACCCAACGAAGGTAGAACTCTGCCCGCCAAAGCAGAGGATTACAGGTCTCTTTGTCCTAACAACAGGTTCGCTGCTCGGAGACTTGTACTCGTAGTTCTGAAGTTGACGGTCAAGATCATTGATCGAGCTTGCTGTTAGAACGAGGCGCTCAGACAAACTTGGATTGTGTTCGCGAAGGAGGTTGAACGAGATGTCTTCTAGAATACTGTTGGAGACCTCAAGCTTCTGACGGTCAAGTAACAAGCGAATACGCCGAATGTATCTCGAAAGACTGACGCGATCGAAGGCCGAGAAGCAGAAAGGATGACGATGTGGCAAGTTGTTCATTCTCTGAGATTGCGTGACACTTGACTCTTTGACAACGATTGAAGCGTTGGATCCAGATGCTCCATAGTTGTTGATGAGGGCCGCCTTGACCATAGATCGCCAGGGCAGAACGGCGGTGGGAATTTGTATATGGTCAGATGGCAGAGTTTTGATGGCTGGATTCATGTTGTTAAAGCTGGCTTGGGGAGGAATGGAGCCCTTGAGCATCATCATAACAATCTTGATGAGGGAGACGACACCAGAAGTGCATTCAAGGTGACCAATTAGTCCCTTGACTGAGCTTAGTGCAATATTCGAAGTTCTTCTGCTACCTCCGAGCACTTCACGGACGCTGTTGTACTCGACAGGATCGCCCACAGGAGTTCCAGTCCCATGTGCCTCTACAACTGTGATTTGCTCTGGCTGGAGTCGAGCTCGACTTGTGACCTTGCGGAACAGATCCGAAAGAGATGGAGAGTTAGGGACGAAGATTGGCGTGCAATTTTCGTTCTGCTGGACGGCGGTGCTGGCGATCGTGGCGAAAACAGTATCTCCGTCAGCGATTGCGTTGAATAGTCGCTTGAGCATAACGGTAGCGACACCTTCGCCTCGACAATAACCATCTGCAGCAGCATCAAACGGCTTACAAGATCCGGTGGGACTGAGGAACGAGGCGCCCGCGAGATTTTGGAACCACAAAGGACTAGTCATAACGTGTGTACCACCGGCGAGCGCCACATTACATTCGCCCATAAGGATCGCTTGACAGGCTTGATGGATGGCTACCGCCGAGGATGAACAAGCCGTGTCGATTGTTAACCCAGGTCCGGTCCAGCCAAAGTAATGACTGACTTTCCCTGCGATGAAGCCTCTCAGATTGCCGATGGAAGAATATGCATTTGGCTGGTGGCAAGCGATGTTGTTCTCATAGTCCACAGAACAAACGCCAATGTAACACCCGACGTTCGTATCAGGATCCCGCTGCCGGAAGTATCCAGACTGTTGAACTGCCTGGTATGCGGATTGCAACAACTGTCTGTTTTGTTGTCAGCATGGTTCAATTGCAACCACGTCAGACGCTTACCTTTGCTGAGGATCAGTTGAACTGGCTTCGCGGGNGCTCTTCTTGAAAAACTTATGGTCGAAGCTGTCGTAGTCATCGATGAAATTACCAAACCATTTACGTTTTGAGTCTTGTGCACGGAAGGAACTCTCGAAGTCAAAGCGTTCATTCGCAACCTCGCGATGTCTGGACTCTCCCTTGCAAAGAAGATCCCAGAACTCTTCCAGGTCTTCAGCTCCCGATACCTTGCAGGACATGCCAATGATGGCGATATCATCATCTTTGTCGGAAATCTGAGGGCCTTGAGCAGGAGAGGTAACCTTTGCCTGAGCGATCAGTTCGGCAGCCTGTATCAACTGCTTTCTTACTCGCGGCGTAAGAGTCGGGGGTACACAGCGCTCTGAACCAAACATGATCATCATGAAGTCCTCGTCGGGAAACATGGACTCCGTGACTTCTGTGAGTACTTCGGACCACTGTGGCTGTAGAGTCAGCAACGATTGCAACGCGACTTCGTGCAGCTGATGCGAGGTGTCGATAGAATCTCGCTGGTTAGATCGAGTGAGAGAGTCGAGATCATCGACGGCAGCGAAGTGGAACTTGGCTTGATCCCGACAGAAGGCCAGAAGAGACTGTAGCGAATTGGTATGACCAGACCAATGAAATCGACCTCGGAAAGCTAGCTCTGTCATGGTCACACCCGTAGTCTGCATTCTCTTTTGGACTTCCACTGCACTGGCGACCGACGTGGTGATAGTAGCCCGGCACTCGTCATATGTAACTGACAGGTATGTCTGGTAGTACCATCAGCAGATGTCAACTTGATACACGAACTGTGCCGGAAGGGGCCTCACATCTGGCAAGTCAGCCATGACTCGCGCAATATCTTGTTGCGTCAGGGCATTGGTCCAAGCTGCTGCAAAAGACTTCGAAGGTCCAGCAGCGCTGAGGTCCTCGGCAGCATCTACGACTGCACCAACAAGTGCAGCAAGTCTGAGTGCCACATTTCCGTATCTGGCTAGACCTGTATGGTTTCCACTTGCGGCGACGGTAAAAGCACTAAGCATTCCGGTGCAAAGACCAAGGGCTTCGCGTGCAGACGTATTGGAGACCGATGTCGAGTCGATCAGAAGGGCATACTCTGTCAAATGTCCTATAACCACTAGTGGAGTGAGTATAACATTTGGGATCGTGGCTGGAAGGTCAGACGCAGGCATGTCGGAGGTCAAGAACCGCTGGAGGAGTTGCACATCGGCCAAAACCTTAGGCGGTATCGACTTGGCCGTGCTGTTCGAATACTCGTCGACGATGTAATGCAATCCAGCTACAGCTTGTACAATCCATTGTAGGCTGGGAGTCTTGTTGACTGTGGCACGTAGTCTTGCGATGTCGTCGTGAGCTAAGGAGAGGGCTTGAGAGCCGAAGAGATAGACAAGCTTCTTGTCCATGATCGATTACGATGTTGGAATAGGAAGAAAATGAATCCGCGTTGAGGCGTCTGGAAGAATGTACATCAGTTACCATATGGCTGCATCACGGTTCATCATGTAGTAGCCCATGGCTCTACAGTCATCCTGGGTTGTCACGTAGGATGAGGAGAAACTCCGAGAGGCGACGCAGGTCCAACATGATCCTATTGCGTGCGCACGCTGCGGATCGTGAGCTCAGATGCGCTCCCGATGAGAACATGGGGCTACCAAGACTCATGATCTGCATCCCTCTTGAAAAGTATTGAAATATGTCGCTGTTGGTGCAAGTAGCTAGGAGTGGAAAGTGAAATGGAGAAGACGCGGAAAAGCACGCCAAGACATCTTGCAGGCGATCGCCGAGAGCGAGCGCGTCCTGAGCGCACCACCACAAATTTGACAGACACACCACATTGATTTACAACACGGCATAGATGTGATTACTTCGTTCTGTCACCACAATATTTTGTAGTAACTGCCTGCTCTGATCTCTGAGCCCAAGGCTGCCAGGGATGATAGCCCTCATCACTCTAGAGACTGCTGACTTCGTGAGCTGAACTAGACCTCAACACAATGACTGCAACGATGACTAGATTGCAAACTTGTTGAGACAGTCTCATGCATGCTATTCTCGGCTTGAGGTATCCTGTTGTTGCTACTGGTTGTCCGCGTCCTGCCATCTCGTCTCGACAACCCGGAGTAATAGTTTCTGCCTCGCGTTTTGCAAGCTTTCGAGAGTCGGAGTAATTTCGAGGGTCCATTCTGTTCGATATGGCAACAAGCGTATCTCCGATCACTATGGATCTGCTATGGCTGATGCTGTGGGCTCAAGTTCCGCCGATACAGAATGCAGCTCATTGATATCAAGGACGCTCAATCACTTCGCCAAACACCACAGCTTTCAACCAGCTTCGACCAGCACTGTTTCCAGGACCACTCCACGCAAGCTGCTTATACCTTCTCTACTCGGTGCTAAACAACAACACGACTGGACAGAAACCTTCATGATGGAATCGATTCCGATAGCAATCATTGGCATGAGCTGCAGATTCGCAGGTGACGCAACAGACCCAGAGAAGCTTTGGAAGCTGTCAGCTGAGGGCGGTACGGCGTGGAGTGAAGTGCCTGCTTCCAAATTCAATCTCAAGGGTGTATACCATCCCAACGGAGAGAGAGCCGAAACCGTAAGTCTTGTCAATACGCCGGGTCGACGCGAAGGCGTGCCTTACTCTGCCAACGACGACAGCTTGCTAAACTCAGTCAGNACTAATGTCATTGGCGGTCACTTCCTCAAAGATGATGTCGCCGAATTCGACGCTGCTTTCTTCGGATTCCCGGCCGACCTTGCTTCTGTATGCTAAGGCTAAACCGAAATATGCCTTCCGAGTGCTGATGACTATGTANNGTGCATGGACCCTCAATACAGATTACAACTCGAGGGTACTTATGAGGCCCTTGAGAGTGGTACGTGCCAAATCGCGAATGTGTGTGGCAGATAGGTGGTCTGATCATGTTAACANGCCGGACTTACCCTTGACGATGTCGCTGGATCGAACACATCAATGTTTGCCGGCGCTTTCTTCAGAGACTATCAGGATGCACAGCTCCGTGATCCCTTGACACTGCCCCGCCAGCAAATGCTCGGTGTTGGAGCCGCGATGGCTGCTAACAGACTCTCGCATTTCTTCGATCTCAGAGGGCCTAGTATGGCCATCGATACCGGATGTTCTACCACGCTCACTGCATTACACCAAGCGTGTCAAAGCCTGCGGACTGGCGAAAGCGACATGAGCATCGTTGGCGGCGCGAACGTCATGATCAACTCTGATATATTCGTCACCATGTCTTCTCTACAGTACGTCGATTCTCTAATCTGACACAATCTACTGACACAAAACAGCTTTCTTTCTCCGGAGGGCCGATGCTTTGCTTTCGATAGCCGAGCTGGTGGATATGGCCGTGGAGAGGGTTCTGCCACCATCATTGTCAAGAGATTGGACGATGCATTGAAGAATGGAGATCCCATCCGCGCAATTATCCGAAACACAGGCTTGAACCAAGACGGCAAAACTGAGACGATCACAGCACCCAGTGCCCTTGCGCAGGAAGCACTCATCCGTGAGGTATACTCCAAGGCCGGCCTCGACCCTGCAGAGACAAGGTTCTTCGAGGCTCACGGCACAGGTACGCCGACCATCTCAAAATACGGTTCCCTACTGACTAATCAATGANNTACAGGCACTCCCACTGGAGATCCCCTTGAGATATCTGCCATATCTTCGGTCTTCTCGTCCCACAGAAGTGCCCAGGATCCTCTTTTCATTGGATCTGTAAAGACTAACATTGGTCATACCGAGACCTCTTCCGGCCTGGCCTCGATCATCAGGACTNNGCTCGCGATGGAGAATGGTCAGATCCCTCCTAGTGGTACTTTTAAGAAGGCAAACCCCACGCTCAAACTTGATGAGAGATTCATCAAAGTTCCTGAGAAGCTGCAAGAATGGCCTGACGTCAACGGCATTCGAAGAGCTTCAGTGAACAACTTTGGTTATGGAGGTGCCAACGCCCATGTCATTATGGAGAGCTATCCGTCATTCATTGCCTCTCATAAGAGCATTCAAAGTTCTGAGCCGGCTTTGAACGGTTGGCACGACTCCCTGCACTCGCGTATCCTTGTGCTGAGTGCCAAAGATGAGCAAGCCGTATCAAAGATGGCACTGAATCTCAAAGCCTACCTCGATACTGCTGAGTCTATCGATGATCACGATCTGCTTGACAACTTGATCTATACCCTAGGCCAACGCCGTACTATCTTCCCTTGGCGAGCAGCCACGCCTATAACGAGCATTGCTCACCTCTCGAGTGTCTTGGACGGGCCTCAACTGAAGCCAACGAAGACACTGAACGGCGATCGCAAGATTGGCTTTGTCTTCACGGGACAAGGAGCTCAATGGTTTGCCATGGGTCGTGAGCTGATCGCTGCTTACCGCGTTTTCAGATCAGCCATCGCGGACTGCGATCAATTCTTGCAGGAAGCTGGCGCTGAGTGGTCACTTCAAGGTAGGTTGCAGAACTTCGCATCTTGTTCTACCATCGGGACTGACTTGTTTGATTCATANGAGGAGCTTCTCAAAGATGCTGAAACATCTCTGGTCAACGAGCTGGCGATGAGTACGCCCCTCAGTGTTGCGGTTCAGATCGCCCTGGTTGAGTTGCTCAAGGCCTGGAACATTAAACCGACTGCAGTTACCAGTCACTCAAGTGGTGAGATCCCCGCTGCTTACGCCGCTGGAGCCATCTCGATGCGTACTGCCATGGACATCTGCTATGCTCGTGCCAAGCATGCTGGCCAGAAGGTTCCCGGTCTGGGCAAGGGTGGCATGATCGCTGTCGGTTTGGGTCCAGATGCTGCACAGACCTATCTGGATCGCCTCACCAAGGGACGCGTAGTCATTGCTTGCTACAATAGCCCAACCAGTATCACGGCATCTGGCGACTACGACGCCATCGAGGAACTCGAAAGTCTGTTGAAGGCTGACAATGTCTTTGCTCGCCGTCTGAAAATTGATTGCGCTTACCACTCTCATCACATGAAAGCTATCGCTGCGCCTTACTTTGCATGGCTTGATCGTGTCATGAAGCCCCAAGACAGTATGAAGAGTGAAGTCATCTTCTCTTCTCCAACAACTGGCAAGCGCGAGTCCTCTGGCTTGCAGATAAGCAGTGCACAGCACTGGGTTGACAGCCTCACTAGCCCTGTCTCGTTCACTCAAGCCTTCAAGAATCTTTGTTTCGATATTGCAGAGAGCACAACCAGCCTCGTTGATATCATCATTGAAGTTGGCCCTCATGCCGCACTCTCGGGTCCCATTCAAGACATTCTTTCAGAGCCGGAGTTCAAGTCATCTACCATCCAATACTTCCCCACTCTTGTCCGCAAGAGCAGCGCCATCACGACTATGCAAGATTTGGCTTGCAACCTGATCAAGGCAGGCCACTCCGTGGATATGGAGGCGATCAACTTTCCCTTCGGTCGACCTTCAACAACTCGCGTTCTTTCCAATTTGCCGCACTATCCCTGGAATCATGCAGCCAAGCATTGGGGCGAGCCAAGACTGAACAAGGCACTTCGCGATCGTTGCCATGAGATTCATGACTTGCTCGGCGCACCCGTTCCTGGTACAAACACCATCGCACCTTCATGGCGCCATATCATCCGATTGGCTGATGTGCCGTGGTTGTTCGATCATGTGGTACAAACCGACATCATCTATCCTGGTGCGGGCTTCCTGTGCATGGCTATCGAAGCGGCTGGCCAGCTCGCACATGATGAGAACAAGAAAGTGGTTGGTTATGAGCTGCGTGACGTCTATATGCCTCAAGCTCTCCTGGTACCGGACGACCCAAAGGGCGTCGAAGTGCAACTGATGTTGACGCCCTGTACTGACAAAGCTTTGTACTCTCACGGCTGGAAAGATTTCAATCTCTGCTCAGTCAATGCCGAGAGCGAATGGCTTGAGCACTGCAAGGGCCGCATTTTGACCGAAGTGGACTCCTTGAGTTCCGCATGTGATTCTTCCAGCGACGAGGCGTTCATGAAGAGCAAGAGAGACAATTTCGGTAACGATGAAGATTATTGGAAACAAGTTGATGTCCAAGATTTCTACTCTACAGTTCGTCTTACTGGAATCCATCACGGTCCAAACTTCCAAGGATTGAGATCCATCCACACTCGCCAGAGAATGTCCCTGACGACAATTGAAGTTGCAGACACAGCGGCTACTATGCCTCACCAGCATGAGCATGCTCACTCTATTCATCCGACCACTCTGGACACCCTTTTCCAAGCTTCTTACAGCGCCTACATGGCTACACCCGAATCCGGATTCAAATTGTCCAAACCTCTTGTGCCCCACACCATCAAGAGCCTCAAGCTGCGCGAGAATGCGTATGCGAAAGCCCGTCTTGAGCTCAAGGCTTATAGCGACATCACCAAGGCGAACATGGATGGTTACACTGCAGACATCTCGCTCTTCCCTAAAGGTATTACATCGAACGGCACTCCTATAGTCGCGATCGAAGGGTTCAGCTTCAAGTCTATTGGTGCAGCCATGACACAAAAACCAACCGATGTGCACGACCTCGACAAGCTCGCTTGCGTCGAATGGAAGAGAGATCTCGATCTAGTCGACTTGAAAACTATCAAAGCGGAGCTTGAATCGCCACCCGAGACTGCCGAGCAAGCGATCGTGCTCAAGCTGGCACGGGTCTCTCTGCACTACATCGCTGATGCAGTGGCCGCACTTACACAAGATGACATCGCTCAGCTTGAGTGGTACCACGCAAAGTATTTGACTTGGATGAAGACACAGTTGAACAGAGCTGCCATCAACGAGCTTGGTCCTAACAGCTCGGCTTGGTTGAATGATTCCGCTGAAACTCGCGCCAGACTTGCAGCTGAGGTACGCACCGAAAGTGTCGACGGCGAAATGATCTGTCACCTGGGTCCAAACTTGTTGGCAATGCTTCGTCACGAGGTCACTCCTCTGGAACTCATGATGGAGGATGGTCTGTTGAACCGTTACTACGAAGGTGCTCTCAAGTGGGACCGCTCCAGTCGTAAGTTTGCTCAGCTGGTCAAACATGCCATTACGAAGAATCCGCGTGCACGCATCATCGAGATTGGTGGTGGTACCGGTTGTGCTACCAAGCATGTTCTTGATGTCGTCGGATCTGAGGTCTCAGACACTGGATGCCAAGCCGAGCTGTACGACTTCACCGACATCTCCAATGGTTTCTTCGAAGCTGCAAAGAAGAAGTTTTCGGACTGGCCAAATGTCATGCGCTTCAAGCGTCTTGACATCGAGGATGATATCGCCAGGCAGGGCTTCGAAGAAGAGTCTTACGATATTGTCATTGCCTGCCAAGTGCTTCACGCCACTAAGAACATGGAGCATACCATGAGTAACGTCAGAAAGCTTTTGAAACCTAATGGCCATCTCTTCCTGTTTGAGACGACCCAAGATCCCCTAGCATTGCTCTTGATCTTTGGATTGCTCCCCGGATGGTGGTTAAGTGAGGAAAAAGAGAGACATTCCAGTCCCTCCCTGTCTCTCAATATGTGGGATCGTGTCTTGCGCAACACTGGCTTTGGCGGCATTGACATCGAAATCCACGATTGCGCTGACGATGACTTGTACAACTTCAGTACCATCATGGCCACGGCAAGTCCTACCGAGCCTGCTTCCTTCGACGCTGATGTTGTGATTGTGACAGACGGAACTGCTGCTCCTCCTGCCTGGATCCAGTCGCTTCAGCAGAAGATTGGGGATATCACAGGCAAGTTGCCTGCCACACAGGATGTTACTACCATCGATGCCCAAGGTAAGGTCTGCATCTTTGTTGGCGAACTTGGCGACAATATTCTGGAGGCGCCTACCACTGAGCAGTTTGCTGGTATCAAGGCCATCGCGACGCAGAGCAAGGCTATACTGTGGGCAACAAGAGGTGGCCGAGTCGATGTGATTGATCCATCCGCCAGTGCCAGTCTTGGTTTCAATCGTGTTATAAGAGAAGAGTATTCTGGCAAGAAAGTCGTCAATGTCGATTTGGACCCGTCGCGCAACGCGTGGTCTGAAACATCTGTCGACATCCTTGCAAAGCTGTATCAAACTGCTTTCGACATGTCCAAGACACTAACTGACTTTGAGTATGCTGAGGTCGGCCGAGAGATCTTTGTTCCTCGTTATTACAAGAACGGCGCCCGCAACGCCGAGTTGTTCAGACCTCATGGCAATGAGATTGTCACCAAGGATGAGGTCTTTGATCAACCGAATCGTTCGCTCCGCCTCAGTATTGGTACACCTGGTCTTCTGGACACACTCAACTTTGTTGACGACGATCAACATGAAACACCACTTCTAGAGCACCATGTTGAGATTAAGCCGTCCACATTCGGTGTCAATTTCCGAGACGTCATGACAGCCATGGGTCAGCTCAACAACAACATTCTAGGCTTTGAGTGTGCTGGTGTAGTCACTCGTGTCGGCTCAGTCGCTGCCACCAAAGGCTTCAAGGTGGGCGATCGTGTGGCTTCGCTGCTCAGAGGTCACTATGCCAACTTGGTTCGCACGGAGTGGTCAAACACCGTGAGGATCCCCGACTCTATGTCTTTCGAGCAGGCAGCGTCCCTTCCAATGGCCTTTGCGACTGCTTGGATCTCGCTGTTTGACCTCGGTCGTCTCGAAGCAAGCGATAGCGTCCTGATTCACGGTGCTTCTGGTGGCGTTGGTCAGGCTGCTGTTCTGTTAGCTCAGCATACCGGTGCCGAGGTCTTCGTGACAGTCAGTACGCAAGAGAAGAGAGATCTGGTCAAGCAGAAGTTCGACATCGCCGACGACCACATCTTCTCTAGTCGTGATGCATCCTTTGCCGACGGCATCATGTCGATGACCAAGGGTTGCGGCGTCGACGTCGTCGTCAATCACCTGTCTGGTGCTCTTCTGCAGGCCAGTTTCGACAGTCTCGCTCGATTTGGTCGCTTCGTCGAAATTGGCAAGAAGGACGTCGAAGCCAACAACTTTCTGCAAATGGAGGCATTTACCCGCAACGTCACTTTCTCATCATTCGATCTACTACAGTTCGAAGAGTTCCGTCCTGAGCAGACGCATAGGGCTTTGGAGGGAGTGATGCAACTATTGCAACATAACTTGATACGCACCATTGAGCCAATCAACTCCTATCCTTTGTCAGATCTTGAGAAGACTTTCCGCCTGATGCAAGCTGGTAAGCATGTCGGTAAGATTGTGCTCTCGCTAGAACCAGAGGTGCAAGTCCCAGTAAGTTGTTTTCCCTCCAGAGTGGCAGATTCGCATTATCTAACACGTCGGCAGGTCCTCCAGCAGCGCGGAGCCATGCGCCTGCAGCCCGATGCCTCTTATCTAATTGTAGGTGGTCTTGGTGGCATCGGTAGATCGATCTGTCATTGGATGGCCGACCACGGTGCTAAGAACATTGCTGTGCTATCGAGAAGCGCCGCAGCTAATGGTAGTTCTGGCGCTTTCATCAAAGAACTTGCTTCGTTCGGTGTTACTGTCACGCCCATTGCTTGCGATGCTTCAGACGCTCACGCGTTGTCCGCTGCAATCAATGCCTATGAACTCAAGATGCCCAAGATCCGCGGAGTAATCCAAGGTGCTATGGTCCTCGCAGTAAGTTTGCAATCCATATCTGTCTTTCTGACCTCATCGTGTGCTAATATCCTTTTCTCCACANNGGACGCCGTGATTGAGCAAATGACTATCGGCAACTATAACAAAGCAGTCCGCCCCAAGATCCATGCAAGTTGGAATTTGCACAACATCTTCAATCACTCCGAGGTCGAATTCTTCGTCATGCTGTCTTCACTCGCCGGCGTAGCTGGAACAATCAGTCAAGCCAACTATGCCGCGGGCAACACATACCAAGACGCATTAGCAAGATACCGCGTCAACAACGGCTTGCACGGCGCAACCATCGACCTGGGCGTTATCAAGAACGTCGGGTATCTTGTTGAACACAAAGACCAATTGGAACGACTCCGCAAGCAAGGTTTCCACGTTCTGGATGAGGACGATGTGCTCGCTACCCTCGAGTCCGCAATCTCTTCTTCGCCTCAGAATCAGATGCTCTTGGGAGCCAACGGCACCAATCTCGACGACTCAAACGACGCACGCTTCTGGTCTATNCCCCGTCGCCCAAAGACCTCTGCCGCAGACTCTGCCGTCAAAAGCGTCTCCAGCGATCTCGGTGCAGCGATGATGGTAGCGACATCATTGTCCCAAGCCGTCGACATCGTAGCCTCGACGTTGATTCAAAAGCTCGCAGACATTTTTATGTTGGATGCAGCCGATATCGCGCCCTCAAGCTCAGTCGTCGATCTTGGTGTCGATTCGTTGGTTGCAGTCGAGTTGCGCAATCTTTTGGCCTTACGTGCTGGCGCTCAGGTGTCCATTTTTGATATCATGCAGAGTTCTTCGTTGATCGGATTGTCGGAGAAGGTCGTCTCGAAGAGCACTTTCGTGGATCAGAGCCTCTTGGCATAGTTGTTTAGGTTCATGTTCTCATCATTTGCTATTCCGAGGAATTCTATAAATAGGCGCTTTCGGGGGATATCGTGGCGTACATATCGTTTCCGTACCCTGTTTCGTTATATTCTCCTCTACGTACATCGCTATATCACTGGAATTGTCAGTGTGGCAACTTCTGAACTTTTTGGTCCTCGTGATGTTGCAGACAGCCTCGTTGTACCTACCGAGTGCTTCCGTCGAAGGCACAGTATCAGCATCTCACCGTATCGCAGAGGATCTGTGGTTCCGATTAATTCATGGTTGCTTGCTAGCTATCTGAGTACCTCGTCATGACCATTGATCGAGATTAGAGGATACGATATCATGTCAATGGTGCAAGGAAGGGCAATCTCTCGCTATGATACTTCGTCATGTGGAAAAAGTCGGAATAGAACGACTGGACCAAAATCTCATGGCTTCTACTCTGGAGTGTTGAACATTGGTATTGAGATTTCCGTCTAGCACTGTCAACGCCAATATAGGTCCAAAGAAGATAGCTCATTGTTGGAATCTGAGCCAACAACGAATCGCAAATTGTATCGAGATCTAACCTTACGATGGTAAACTTACAATACCAGAATAGATGGGAATTAGGATACACTGGACTGTCGAATCGTAATCTATCTAGATACCATAGAACACCAAGATCTTCCTTCTTTTTCGTAGAATACTGCAATGAGTACCTTTCGTGGCACACGCGATGCAGTTCAAGATCTGGTGTCTGAGCTCCAAACTCACGCGAATCATCTTACCGCCGGACTCATCATTAACCTGGCAGGAAAAGGATCAGGCTGCAACTTGTAGCATCATGCTTTCGCCATCCCAGTGGAGACGCCAGAATCGCTTGACTCGGCCATAAACGCCGAAGTATGCGAGTCGTTGTACTTGGGACTGAAAACCATCCCAGGATGACCAGCGTTGAGAACAAACGTGGCCAAGGTGATCATNNACTGTGCAGAAAAAGCAAGTTAGCAATCGTGCAACACGGCCGTTATGTGTCTTGACTTCACTCACACGCTCTCAAGACCAATAAACAGGCCCTCGTCATGGAGAGCCGCTCCCTGGTATCCGTCACTCAACTCATAGATGCGATACACGCAACGAATAAAGATCAAGACGGTTGCAAGTGACACCATGCCAAAGACCCATTTGAAGCGGCCATTGAAGCCACCCATTGATACCTTGCCCAGCTTGGCGTCTGCGCGATAGCGGAAAGCGTATTGCACTCCAAGTCCAATGAAGACGAGCAATGTAACGACTTGGAAGGACAAGCCAGCCAGACCAATGTTGACGCCTGCTTGCGAGGAGCCATTGGACTGGGAAGACATGGCACCGCCAACTGATTGCAGCACCAAGGCGACAATGTCGCAAGGAACAAAGATTTGGTAGTAAAGCGCGGGCTTGAACGCTGCACTGCCGACAGACAGCTTCTGAATGCTGTGAAGTCAGGTCAGCAAACGAATTGACGAGTTGCGATAGTAGACAAGATCAGGACAACGAGATGGATGAATGAGCCGCGCTGCATACCTCCTGTACAGTGTAACATAGATTGCGGCGGTCATGAAAACCGGTGCGATGGTGATGCAGACNNTGGTATGCAAGGTCAGTAGAGTGATCAAGACAGTTTCCATAGAGCCAGCCGAACCAATCTGGATGATAAATCCATTGAAGCCCCAAGGATCTTGCCACATCAAGATACGGCNCCCGTACCCAATCATTTCACAGATGCATCCAAGCGCAATCAGGATCGCAAATGTCCACTGCTTGTAAGATGCGCCTTGGAAGATATGGATAACAAGACTCAGACCAAAGAGTGCGACAAAGACGCTGTTGGCTGCCAACGACGGGCGATATTGGAAGATGCTCTGCTTGATTGAGCAAGTCGCAAACGTACAAACGTCCCATTGTTTGGACGACATGATAGAGGTCAGCCGAGGATGGCTGTGTGAATACAAAAGATGCAAGACCAGTTTCAACAGGCATTGCAGAGTTGTTGTAGTACTTTCAAACTGTCTGACGCAACTGTTGTACTCGATCCTTCTCTCTGCAGGCAATCGCGTGGGTCCAAGGATCGGAGGAACATGCATTTCCATTTCCAGCACTCATCTGCGAGGCTGCTGAGTCGGAAGAATTGGAAAACAGCGACCGTCCAATGGGTATGAGCCAACAACGCGCAGGCGGGCTAATAGATACTCCGACGACTTCATTGTTGTTTCACATACGGCCATCGCCAGATTTTCTTGGGTGATGAGCAGCCCACGACTGCTGCGCCATGCATTGACGTATCATACTCATCCTCTTGGGACAAAGATGAGAATGATCGCAAAATGCGTGCATGATGATCACCGACTCCGACGGGCTTGAGGAAAATGCCTGGCGAAGGAGCAGGCTCCAAAGACCGGCGAAACTTCGGCCTTCATGAAATTCAATTACGCACAAGCCCACCGAAGGAGCCTTGGTCACTCACTCTGTGTAGGAGGACATCTTTCAACGCCTTTGATGGTGGATTGAGGGCACTGAGAAACGGGAGAGACAAGGAACTATGACAGACGTAACAACTAATTAACAATCTTAGCCTTCTGCCAGCTGGCTTCCACTGCTTTGGCCACATCTTCTGACAAGGGGCCAGCCTCCACAAAATCCAAAACCTCCGCCAACTGCTGTGCGTCCGCAGCTCCCAAAATGAGTCTGTCTCCGAGCTCGGGCTTGATCACGCTGTGATGATGGGCCCAACGAATGGCGCATTCACGAGCAGTCAACCCATGCTTGGCGGCCGCTTGCTCGATCATCTCGAGAGCGTCGAAGATAGGATCATGCCAGTATCTGTGGCGCAAGTGCATGCCAATGAAGTGACTGGGGTCGAAACGACCGCCTTTGGGGTGCTCTGAGTCGGGGAAGCCTCTTCTGTATCGACCGCCTAGGATGCCGCTACCGAGGGGCTGAGCAGCTTCGAAAGACATGCCGTAATGGCGGATACAAGGAATGATCTCGGCCTCTACACCGCGCACAAAGGGATTGTAAATGCCTTGATAAACAGTAGGTTTGACCCATTTGTTGACTGAACAGAGCTCCTGGATTCTAGCAACAAGCCAAGCTGGGTGTCTAATCAGACCCCAGCGAGTGAAGCGACCTTCCTTGTAGAGCTTGTCTAGTGTGGCAAGGGTCTCTTCGAGAGGAATGTTGCGATCTGGGTCATAGAGAAAGAACGTTTCGACTTTTTCGGCTTTCAGAGCAGCCAGACTTCTCTCCAGGCCGAGATTGAGATCGTGTTCATTGAGGTTGTACGGTTCGTATCTGGGATCAAGGGGAGTTGTGCGAGTAGGGAAGATTTTCGTCGAAACTGTCAGATCCGGGTGTTTCTTCTCAGCGGCCGCCAGAAGCTCTTCTGCGGTGCCATATCCGTATATGCGAGCAGTGTCGATGTGCTTGTGACCGCGCAAGCAGAAAGTGTCGAGGAGAGGCATCACTTTCTCCAAAGTATCGAAAGGTGCCACGACACCCGGTGCTTCGTAATTACCCCATGGACTGGTGCCCAAGCTGACAGTCAGAGGAGAAGTCATTGTTGAAGGTAAATGCAAAGTTGGATCTGACGTTGACTTGAACAATTCAGGAAGTGCTTTTGGAGATGCAGCTCTGCGATTATCTCAAGGCCTATTGACTGCAAGAAGAAAATACAAGGCCTTCTTATTGTAAAAAGTTCTATGTCTATCGTGTTTGTCATGTAGTGGTGTTGGGCGAGGAGCCTGGCCGCGTTTCCCCGGCTGGACTTTCTGTTTGTCCGCTGGTCGACGCGCAAACACCACCATTATCTTGCACTCTTTCTTCGCCACCTGCCAGCAAGCTATACCGGTCCCTCTGGATTGAGATTTCACTTGAGATGTACACTGGATCCGAGACAGCTGATTCTTGGAATATCCAACATGAGTGTGCATGACACAGAATTTCCTATGTTCACCCGTTGGCGGATTTCCAACATCGATCAAGCCAATCAAAACTCCGAGACATAGGACAGTCGCAAAGTTTCTCATGTAAGTCCGACATACCAGAACAGAATACACATTGGTAAACCAAGAGCTTTACGCAAAGTGGTTATAATGGTTGCCGTTGCACACACTTCCAATGACTACGCAGACACACGCCACTGCACAACTTCAAACCATTTCGACAGTCAATCGCTAGCACCACCAAAGAACGCTCAGAATCATGCAAGGGGTTGTTATCTGGTCCGCTCTGCTGAGTGCGCTCACAGGGGTCTCTGCCGCGCCTCTTCAAGAACTCAACACCTCCTCCAACAACACCGCAGTCGCTTCTGGCCAGGTTGCATTCAAGTTTCCGCTAGCGAACGGCTTTCCCAACATCAAGATTCCTAGTCCTGAGCTGCGCACCATTGAGGAAGCTGCTGTTGGAATATTGCCTAATACACCTCTGGCCAAACACCTCGCACCAGCGGATGTCACCAGTTTCCAGCTGATTGCATTTGCCGAGCTGTTCCAAGTTGCTTACTACACATCTTTGTACAACAACATCACTCGGAGTGTTTCCGGATATGCAGTCCCTGGTCAGATAGAGCCATTCCTTCTTTCCGTCTTGGAGAAGACCATCGCTCAAGAAGAGCTTCACGCTCTCAGCGCAAACGCCGTTCTCAACGCTGCTGGTTACGACTCCGTTCAGCCTTGTCAATACGTTTTCCCATTCGACAACTTCTTCGCTGCCATCGACTTTGCCACTATCTTCAGCGACGTCGTCATTGGTACCTACCAGAACTTCCAGACCACCCTTGCTGTCAACGGAGACAGTGGTTATATTGCTCTGATGGCGTCTATCGCAGGTTCAAGTAAGTTCTTGTTACTTCAGCGCTAGTTAGACTGATGTCTGACCTTGTATTCAAATCAACAGCCNGCCGAGCGCAATGGTTACTTCCGTTCGCTCCTGGGAGCAAACCCCGCCGAACTACCCTTTCTGTCCATCTCCACCGGCCCCTGGGCCTACGCTGCTCTGACTCATCACGTCGTCGTCAAGGACTCATGCCCAAATGCCGACGCCATCAAGGTTCCCAGCTTTGGAGACCTCTTCCTCACCAATTCATCTCCTAATGTGTCGTTGACCACCACTGAGCTTGCATTCGCCTTTGTCAACAACGGCAAGAAACCCACTGACCTCCGTCTGGTGTACACAAATGCTCAGAACATTCCGATTGTCAAGAAACTTGAGAACGTTAAGACGACTGGAAACTTTGTCTCTTTCACTGTACCTTTCTCGTACAGCGATACCATCATGAGCGGAATGACCATGTGCTGGGTCACTTCTAAGAATGGCGACTTTTCGTCTGCCAATGGGGTCACTGCTGCTAGCTTGTTTGGTCCTGCTATCTTGAATATCAACTAGCCCAGGGTCTGCTAATCGACTTCCGAAGCGGAGGTCAATCAGCTTAGCCATCCGATTCGATGGCATCTGCATCGGCGGTGGAGGCGACAAGGTCTTGGACCAGGCACGGAATGTCGGGCTTGTGGTAGAGTTGTGATATCACACAGTTGGTAACGAGGCGGAGAGTTTGCTTCTATGGAGATTATAGAGTAGTTATGCTACGTGCCCAATGGATAATTTCTTCTCTCAGCAAGCAGGATTACTTTTGTTATACAAGATGCTCAAAGCAGCTTTGATTGAGCAGTATAGGCGTCGAAGTAATTCTCCAGAAAAAGACTAAATTAGAATAATTGGAATAGGAGCCTGACGATCTTGACCATGGTATTGTTTCTAGAAGCTGACCATGAACCATCAAGCTTTCTATAAGCCCAGAGACAAAGACACGTATCTGCGGTTCAAGACAATGCCGTGGGTGCAAGAGCGACACACACAATGTGAGGAGAAAAAGGTTGCAGAGTACAACAGAGTGATGATCCAAGTTACGGCATGGTGTTAGTCATGAATTTCTAAACTTTCATGTTCAAAGCCATCTGCTCAAAAGCATATAACGTCTCATTGGGCGCCAAATCATCAGAGTCCAAGTCCATGAAACCTTCCGGCACCAAAGCTCGAGGAATGACTGCAAGCGATCGACCNNTGAGCCAACTAACGTTAGTGACATCAGATAAACCCAGTTTGCGAAACTGACCATGGATTGTGGGGTCGCTAGAGATCCTGAGTACAGCTTTCACCGAGTCGTCGATACTTGCAAATTGCATTCCTGCTGCAATCAACTTGGATTTGAAGGGCTCTGGGATAATGCCGGTGTCCACGAANNTCTGTGAACAGTGATCAGCTTGTAATACGGCTATGAACATACGCATGCATGCGACTTACGCAGGCGCGACAACATTGACGCGGATACCATCTTTCCAGACTGTCCTACGCATACACTTCATGATCATGCGGACGGCGGCCTTGGAAGCCGGGTATTGGATTGCTTTCGGCCAGTCGATGAAACCTGCCATACTGCTTTTCAAGATAAGACAGCGGTCTTTGACGCCATCACGCTTTTGGAAACGTCTGAAGTAGTGGGTCGCAAGTTTTGTGGTGTATAGAAGGCCCTTGAGGTTTACGTCGGTGGTAGTCAAATGCGGTTCCGAGGGTATCTGATCTGGATNCTGCGTGGACATTAGCAGTGCTTCGCTTCTGCAGGTAACTTGACACTTACCGTCTTCTACCATCATCGGATCACCAGCTCCGCCAAGCCCTGCGTTGGCAATCACGATATCGATTGATCTACTTGGAGAAGACGTGATTGCGTTCTCGAATAGATCTAGCTGCTCCGTCCATTCTCGAACGTCGCATTGGACGGCAATAGCCTCTCCGTCAAGTTCAGCAACGAGCGCATCGGCAGCTTCGATATCGATGTCACCGAGCGTAACAAAAGNCGCTTGAAAAGTCAGTGAGTTATTCGTAGTCTTTGATCCGCTGATGACTTACCCTGCACTAGCGAAGGCTTTGGCGTAGGCTTTACCCAAACCTCTTGCGGCNNTGTGATCAGGTTAGTGAAAATGTATACTAAAGAGGAAGTGTAGCATGCCGCCCGTGATCACGACTGATTTCCCTGCTAGATTGCTCAAATCAAACTCCACAGTAGTATCCACTTTATGGCCTGCCTCATACGCGGAGACCTCGATTTCCGAAATTTCTGAATGCATGTTGGAGGGTATAGCGTGAGCTGCGACTTGTTTCCTACTGTGGCGATTGTCAGTATCTTTAACTCTCAGTGATAATCCGATACTCAGGCTGCTTTCAAATCGAATTCGGAGTATCTATGTCAGGATCGCTATATCGCAGATGGCAGCAGATTTCAATGTATCTTTTCGGACTAACACAGTCGGACTTCTTTTCGAAGTCCGACGTAAATCGAGCAGGCTTGTAGGCCATCTCATACTTTGAACTCCTCTTTGAAGTAGACCACAAGTAGCTTATACGGGGCTTGGGGTAACCTTAGAAGAAATCGCCAAGTATGCTGTCCTTGTCAGACCAATTCAGTATGAGTTCGCGATTGTACCCTCAACTATACAGATTTGCTACCAGTGATCTCGATAAACTCCCTTTCAATAGCTGACCAAACTTTTTGCAACGTGCCACCCTCTCTGTACGTCAACAAGATCTGGCGTGCTGGTTGCTTCAACCCCTCGCCATCAAGGAAGAGCGAATAGACCCCACTTTTACCGTCCACGCTCGTGACAGGTGTAATATCGCCAGTCAGAGGTACTCCCAAAGGTTCTGCAGTCGCCGACATGGCAGAATATCTTTCACTTGTGGCCACAAAGACGTGGCGGTCTCCAGCATCTTCCGAAGGCATCTGAACCAAAGGCAAGAGGAACCTTGAGGCCGCTTTAGCCAGTCCGAACCCAAAACCCTTTGTTCCTCTCAGGATCCCGCCTTTGACAGGTCCAGGGAAAGTATGGACAAAGGTAATTCCAGGAGCAGCAGCGGCATGATGCTCCAAGGCCAAGGTGGTGACGGAAGATGCATGACCTTTGTTCTCCATCAAGCCCAGATTCCATCCTTGGAAGTCGTTCATATTGATGTTGCCTTCCATCGATCCTAGAAAGACACTCACTACACGCCTTAGATGAGGCGCCTTTGCGATCGCTGGCAGAAAATTGCTGATAAATCTGTTGCGGCTGTAGATGAGCAGAGCCGCTGCATAGTGCAGACCTTCAGCTGNTTTCTGTATATACATCAGTCCTGGTCAAAACAATTTGCTGAAGAGGTTCGACGTACTAAGCCCAGCCTGCAACGTGCCGATGGTGAGGAACAAGAGGTTGATGTGACTCTCATGAGTCAACACCTCGCGACAAACGTCGTCCACATTCTTTAGCAGACTCAATTCTCTCGAGATAGGGAGATAAGTTCCAGTTGGATTGATGGCTCTGCATTCGGCGATGATTCGAGTTGCAGCTTCCTTGGACCGGCCTATAAGGTAGATGCGTGGACGAACAGCATGTCTTACAAATCGCTTGACTGTCGCTTCTCCAACACCGTTTGTTCCTCCCACAAAGACGGCAACAAGTTCAGGTGCAAGAGATTGTGCGATCTGAGCATTCGAGGCTCGGACCTGTTCGATGGTAACCATTGTGATGTGGTCTGGTTAATGGTGCGTACGTAGGTAAAGGCGAAGAGGACTCGGGCTGTGGGTGACTGTCGTGAGCGGGACTGGTGTTGCGGTGGATCATGTATATCATTCGGAAGCATCTTTCTAAGCCTTGGAGCACAACCTTGCGGGACTGATACTGACATTAAGGGAGTTATTGATGGTCCGCATCTGGAGCTCCTGGAGTTGGATTCTCAAGGGGCTCGGCTTGATTCCCAGTGGAGGCCGGCTCAAGCAGATGCTGCTGATGTACGGCATGAATCGGTGGCTGATTCTCAGCGCGGAGTATATGATACTCCGAAGATCCCACCCGCTTTGACCACTTTGAGATCTCGCAGTGAAGCACGAATTTAAATCCTGGAGGATATTTAGATACCAAGAGAGATCAGGCATACAATTCGAGTTGTGTGTTTGTATCGTCAGCGCTTGCTTTAAGGATTTGTGGTTGTCTTGGGACGCAGATAAGCAACACTCCCCACATGATAAAAACAGATTTCTCCACAAACCCATACAATATTTACAGTTTGTGAGGTTGATTGTTGATTCCTGAGCCTCAAATATATGCCGATAACGATGTACATTTCGTCCAATAGAGAAAATGATCGATGAAGTTTCTCAAGTTGCTAAAATGGTTGGAATGTCCGAACTCACCATGCCTCACATGTTCCGGAGTATTTCAATTCGCCATGACTTTGATGGTAGGTGCAATATCCTCTATTCGCAAGTTTTAGGCTCGCAACACCTCCAAGGATAAATACCAAGGCGTTAGTACTATGATGGAGAAGCTGCCTCAAGAAAGCATCGATACTACCAAGTCTTCCTTCGCATCTTCCGAAAACTTCTGAAGCTTGATATCCATGCGTTCCTCTAACTCACCTGAGCTGGCCATTGTCGGTGGCGGCATTGTCGGATTGATCTGTGCACTTGGTCTGATCGACCGCGGCATCAAGGTCATCGTCTACGAACAAGCCGATGGCTTGCGTGAGAATGGTGCAGGCCTGGCATTCACAAGGAACGCAGTCGAGTGCCTCAAGCTTGTCAGCACCCTAGCCAGCGAAGCTCTCCGATCTGTGCAGACGCCAAATGGAGACACGACGAATCCGAACGATCATCTGCAATGGGTCGATGGTTTTAATCAGCATGATCCAAACAACCCATCCTACGAGCCAGTCCTTTTCAGACTTTTTGTCGGGGCGAACGGATTTGAGGGTTGTCATAGAGCACACCTCCTTGAGGCTCTATGGAAGAGATTGCCCGAGGGAACAGTTGTGTTTGGNAAAAAGTTGCAAGCCATCCATGATGACTTAGAGAAAGACAAAGTTCTGCTTCACTTCGTGGACGGAACAGCTGCGAAGGCCGATGGTGGTAAGTGACTTCCCCAACAACCAATTTCATCTCGATATGTGACTGATCAGTCTNNAGTCATTGGATGCGACGGAATCAAATCTCGCACAAGAGCACTCCTAATTGGTCTCAACCACCCAGCAGCTAAACCACAGTATACTCACAAGCTGTCCTATAGAGCCTTGATACCGATGGACAAAGCCATCGCTGCCCTCGGAGCTAACAAAGCATTGAACCAATGCATGCATATCGGCCCCAGCAGACATCTTCTTCATTTTCCCGTCGCAGATCAGAAACTTCTCAACGTTGTGGCTTTCGACTCGGATGCAGATTCATGGACTCAAGAGGATGGCCGACTGATCGCACCAGCCACGAGGCAGGAGGTGGTCGAGGCGTTCAAAGACTGGAATGAACCTGTGCGGACCATTACCGAGATGTTCCCAGAAGTCAGTGAGAAGTGGGCTGTCTTTGACAGCTACGAGCATCCGGTTCCTTTCTACTCGAAAGGTCGCGTCTGCCTGGCANNGGGGGACTCTGCGCACGCGGCCGCACCTCATCACGGGGCTGGTGCAGGAGCCGGTGTTGAAGATATCCTCTGTTTGATCACGGCTATTGACAAGGCTATCACTCTGGCGAATTCCAAGACAGCTCTGACGACGGCTTTCTCCATGTATGACGGGATTCGTTATGATCGCACGCAATGGCTGGTGCAGAGTAGCCACGAAGTCTGCGAGATGTATGAGTTAGATCATCCTCTGACAAAGGGTGATATGAACAAATGCAGAGACGAGGTGGAAGAAAGATCGCATAGGATCTGGTATTTTGACTATCAAAACATGCTCGACCAGACACTACTGGGTATGGAGAAGATGCTAGGGCAGTTCCAGCCCTCGGTCCGTCTATAGCTTTTCCCTCCTCTACTATCGTCATCAACACATCAAGAATATATGCAATGCAACGAAAACCACAGATGATTGTGTTTTTCTCCCAGAATTCATTCTGAGAGGGGCACCTTGTCGGTCTTGACTTGAATAGCAGCGGCAGCACTCTCATCTTGCTGGAAGTCACTCTGTGTGGAGCTTGGCGAGACTTGAGACTTGACCGGTTCTCAACGCTGTCTATCCGCCAGTCAGGAAAGTGTATCTCGGAGTTTCAATCTCCTGATATACCTCGGATGTACTCGTCTGAGATACTCCGAGAATGTCATTAAAGTCTGACGACACGCGATGGAGAGTATTATCATCAAGGTCTATCACGCTTGCGATCATCTTCTACGCTACAGAGTCAGCTCACTGCGATGCCAAACTATCGGCAGCTGACAAACTATTTTCCGCAGAGGCACAACTTCATGAGCATATCATCTGGTTGTGACATCTTGTACGTTTCACTCATCGTCATCTCGCCATTTAGCTTCACTCTGAGACGCAGTAAATCATGAGTTGTAAGCCAGAGTCCTTGCGACAAGAGTCTGCCATTCAAGTCATCGACATCTCTCCATGGTTGGATCCTCGAGCCACATCGCCAGAGCGTAAGGCAGTGATCGAAGCGTTACAGTTTTCCTGCACGACACACGGGTTCTTCTCGCTCATCGGACATGGCATCCCATTGAAAATGCAAGAGCAGGTGCTAGACTGCGCAAAGACCTTCTTCGCCATGTCTATGGAAAACAAGATGGAAGTTTCGATGAAGAGATGTATGGGTATGTCGAACAGAGGATACGAAGTTCTGCAGGGCCAAGCCTTGCAACCTGGCGCTTTACCTGATTTGAAAGAGGTTTGTACAAAAGTTTGTTGAGTCACTGGTTCGCATGACTGATGGATACATAGNGGATACTTTGTGAGTATCAGCATGCTCGAACAAATTTCGCGTTGATGACTGATGAATCTTGAGATTGGCGCTGAAGTTCCAGCTGATGATCCACGAGCAGGTGAATTCTTGCATGGACCAAATTTATGGCCTTCTTCTCTGGACAGATCCGACTTTCAGACACCACTGATGGAGTATCTGGCTCGTCTAACGGGAGTCGCAGAACTTCTACTTGAGATGCTGAGACAGGCACTTCCACATCCTCCAACAGAGGATATATTCGAAGAATTTCGCGTCAAGCCATCGACGAACCTGCGATTGCTTCACTATCCACCACAAAAGTCGCTCGATGAGAGACAACTGGGTGCCGGTGCGCACACGGATTTTGGAGGTACTGCTGTTAACAACTCTGAGGATGTTTCCAGACTGATATGATCCNNAGGCATAACCCTTCTGCTTCAGCAGCCCGGTGCTCCTGGGCTAGAAGTCTGGCATCCGCAGACCTCATGCTGGATTCCTGTTCCCGCCGTTGAAGATAATCTTGTAGTCAACATCGGCGATCTGTTGAACCTCTGTAAGCTCATCAANTGGATTGCACGTACAGCCAAAGGTTGTTAGACTGACCATCGCAAAGGGACCAATGGTCACTATCGTAGTGCTGTTCACCGTGTCATCAACCGTGAGCCGACAGATCGCTACAGTGCTCCTTTCTTCTACAATGGGAACACGGCTTGCACCTTTTCACCTTTGCCTATCGGATCCGAGCAAGTTGATACATCTGTACAGACTGTAGAAGGCCACATCCTGGCAAAATTGAGGGCAACTAGAGAAAAGATAGTAAACACGGACATCAGACAAGGAGTACCATCAGTAGCGATGCACTAATTAGTCTTGCCAGGGGTCCGGAACGAAATTATTTTACGATGGAAAATTGAGTTTCGCATCGCAAACCCCATGCTTGCCCACGGGGTCGGCGACAGTTGCCACCCGTCTCAATCATCGAGGATAACATCAAGAGTTGTGGAAGAAAGCTTTTCTCGTCTAACAAAACCGGTCGAATGTCTTTGAAACCGAGTCTTCCATCCTGTATCGATGTGATTATCCGTCAAATCCAATGCTTCGACGTCGTTCTAGGACTTTTCTTGTGCTTGGTCAACTGTCGCCGCACAATGCAGGCCCGCCTGCCAAAGACTGTTACAATACCGCGATCGACCGCTTCTCTATACCGAGGCACCACCAATATATAAGCTGATAAAAGGCATGAATGTGCTCTGCATGCAAGTCTGACCATTGGGAGGATCGGTCCGCTTTACACCTTGCGTCAAGGTCTGGTGCGCGATGAAGAGGCATCTGCCCGTCACAGAATCTGCCGATCATTAGGGTCATGATGCGGTCAAGGATGCTGTACCCAACTACGTATACTCCTCAGGATTTCCATGATAAAGATTTTATGCTTGTTACCAAACTCGCTATTCACCTGAACGATCTCAGATATGAGAAACTTCACAACACCAAGTTCAACGGACTGAGAGCAAGAATTAGGCTTTTGTTCATTACCAACGACTACAGAACCAGTTTAAAACAATCATCAACCTTTTCGACTGGTATGTTCGATCAAGCCTTCATGTTCTCCATCTCCAGTACAGTAGAGTCGCTCTGGAAGTGGTATAGCTTGGGCTCAGGAAGATCCTTCTGGCGCAAGATCGTGGTCTTGAACCAGTACGGCAAGACCTTGAACAGTTGATAGCTCATATGAGTGCGGGTGGGGACGGCGAAGACGTAGTCCAGCTCTTCGAGAGAACGCTGCTTGGTCTCGGGCAGCCAGAGGAAGATCATGGCGCAAGCAAGTGCATTCATGCCGGCGTAGAAACCAAAAGCTCCAGTAGTGCCGAAAGCGCGAAGCTGGCGAGGGAAAGTGAGAGAGACGACGGTGGCCCAGAAGTTGTTTGTGGCGACGGCCCAAGACATACCGACCTCACGGTGCGACAGAGGGAAGACCTCGGCAGAGTAGGTGAATGGGACGGGACCCTCACCAGGAGAGTAGAAGGCGTCGAACAAGTAGATGAAGAGGGCAATGAGTCCCAGATGAGCAGCAGAAGATGTTGGAATCAGGAAGCAGAGACCAGCTGCCAACAGCGTCCAACACATGTTGGGGAAAGTGAAGAGAAGAAGTGCGCGACGACCATAGGTATCGATCGTCCATACAGCTGGCCAGGCAAAGATAAAGTTGATGATGCCAAAGCCCCAGGAGGCGAGAAGGGCACCAGTGACAGTCGCTCCGGCTTGCGCAAAGATACTGGACGAGTAGAAGGCGATGATGTTGATGCCGCACATCTGTTGGCCAATCATGACGACACCAGAAGCTTGAACAGCACGACGCAGACGGGGAATGGTAAAGAGTTCGACGAAGCGAGTAAAGAACCCGGCATTGGCAGGAAGGCCAGATTGTTCAATAAGCATGACTTCCTGCTCCATCTGCGCATAGATGTAGATTAGTTCTCTTGCGGCGAGGATAGGCTTGCCACGGAAGCGGAGCAGCGACTGATAGGCCTTGCCGTACTTCTTCTTGGACATGAGCCATCTGGGTGACTCGGGAACGAACCAAATACCGAGGACGAGAGGAACAGCAGGGATAAATGCCGATCCGAGTTGCAGACGCCATGCGATATCGCCAACATCCTTGACAGCAAGGTTGGCAGATGTTCCGAGAAGGATACCGAATGCTGTCCAGATCTGCCATGACATGACCAAACCACCTCTAATCTTAGTGGGGGCAATCTCGGCGGAGAAGACTGGCACAGTGACCTCCTTCAAACCCATACCAATACCAAGCAGAATACGGCAGACGACAAGCTGTTGCCAATTTTGAGTGACCGCCATGCCGATAGGAGAGAGAAGAGAGAAGATGGCAGCAATGAAAACGACACCGCGACGACCAAGCCAATGGTTGAGAGGGTCGGATATCCAGCCAGCGAAGAGGAAGATGGCGAGATAGGGACAGGAGTTGATGAAACCGACAAGCCATTGATTTCTTGAGCAGTTGCCAGCGGCTTCGCAAACCGCGCCACTTTCAGGAATACCGAATGCTTGGGGGAAGGACAAGTTTGCTCCGTTGGATCCAGTCTGGTCCCATCCCTGAATGGCAGCTATTCTGAAATCAGTGGATGATCAAAATCTAGAAGAGCCCTCGTACATACCGGCAATTGAGTTGAGAATGATGGTAACATAAAGAATCTTTGGCTGGCGCCATTTGTGAGTAATTTCCTCTCGAAAGATCTCCTTCTCTTCATTCGTGAAGTCATCCATATTCGCAACCTCGGCAGGGTTCTGAGCAGCCAGAGCACCTTTCTTGAGAAGAGGCAAGATGTCGTTGAGGTCATGGTCGGCTGCGAACTTCTCTGCGGATCTCATTAGGGTATCGCGAGGCACACCGACGAGAGGGTTGCGAANTTCTTCAAGAGGTTAGTTATGTTACTGTCAAGTGGGACGGCTCTTGACATACTCTCCAGTGACATTATCGGTAAGCTCTGCGACTCTGGCTTGACGCTTCTCATCAGCGACATTGAAGCGGTCGTGGTGGGGATCAGAACTGATGTCTTCGTGGTGAGCCATGATGGCGAAGGCGTTCGAGGAAGAGATGATGCGTCCAATCTGCAAACTGGCGAGGATGAAGGACGATTTATAGCACGCGACCTCTTCTCACAGCCTCAGCAACCAGCGAGCAGAACATGGTCCCTACCTCTGAATTTTACAAGGGGCCTCGCGGGACATCCTGTGTGTCGTGTAACTACTCCAATACAACCTCGGTGACTTCAACTTCTTCATATCGCTCCATGCAAGGTAAGAATGCCCAGCACACTCCAATATTCGGCAAGTTACAGTCGGCCCTACTTTTCGGCCGAAAGTTTCGGTTTCGGCATGATATAATACACTTCACATCGTGGAGAGGCCCCAGAAAAACTCGTATTGCGTTCGGGGAGGCCGACTATAATCAGGCGGGGAAACAGTACGCCACCTCGCCGGCGCCATTGCAAGACTGGTTCGCCGCCCGATGACTCGTGTTCCCATGCTATTGCTTGAGTTCGTACGTGCTCGGTCTGCGTGAAGAATGCAGGTCTGCCAGAGATTGGGACGTTGCTCAATGTCGGCATTGGAACTTCAAACCAGGATGACACCATTGATCCAATGCTTCTGGAAGACGTCCCGAACGCCATGTGTGGTGAGCTTTAGCTTTGATCTTTCCTTCGTGAACGCTTTTGAGACTCTGGCCGGCGGTTGCCGGGATGGAGTATACAAAGTTTACCAGCATTTGCAGTTTCTAGTGACGGCAGGAGCGCGGTATGTGCGCTACTTGCAACGAGTCCCTCGCGATCGCACACCGTGGGAGTCGACAAACCTTCGCGTCGATGCGACATTGCTCGACATGGGGTTTGCGGCGCGCATGCTGGTTGTGGAAAGACACAGAGACTGGTAAGCTGTGTTGACTCCGGAAAGAAGTGCTTGTGTCGATACAGGACGAGACCGACATCACTGTGCGTAGACATGTGCGAAGCGACCATTCGTTCAAGCTTTCGACTCGTGTTTCCGAAGCACCGACCTCCTCCATTGATCAACCAACCTTCATTGCAACGGTCATCTCCATGGGGAATAACTCTACCGTATCAGCACGCGGGGTTGGCAGCCAGCGACGAACTCTACATGTCGAGCTTTGTTTCCTGAGAGAGAGAGGCCGGGAAGTCGCGCATGCTGAGGCAACTTTGTGGCCGATCGCGCTTTCCTCGGTTGTTCTGGAGAAACCTGGGGCGGGGAACTCGACCACGCCGCCTCGGCTGCCCACCACCTTGAGCCTCGAGGGCTTCGTTCGAGTCTGCAATCACAATCTTCTGCCTCTCGACGTCATGACCGTGTCTACACTCATCAAGCTCCCATCTTATTGCGGCATCAATCGCGGTCCATCGTTGCTTCCGTATCTTGTATGCCCACGAGCGCGCCCAGGATGTTTGACCGATGTCGTGCAGTCGGTCGGCCCCGAAAACCAAGTCGCTCATCCTACATGCGGATAATGTTTACCCGGTCATCGGCCTTTGCTTCCGAAATTGTGCATACACGACCCTCGTCTTCCGGTTCGGCATCCCGTACTCGGCGCGGTCTTCTCTGCGGCTGTCTGACCATTGAACTCTCCACGCGATGATATGACAACAACAGACAAGTCGTCGATGTGAACAGAAAAGCCTCTCGCGAGTCGATCAAAGATCAGTCTGTCTCTGCGTTCTCGTCAGGATGCTGTGAGCCTGTGACAAGAGAATTGACTTCCATCTCTTCGTCGCGTTGTTTCCAGAGGGAAAACCAGCGTTTTCAGCCACAGAGCCAATTTTCCAGGCGTTCTTGGCCTTGTGATCAACTCGAGCCAACCTCGAAGGCAGCCGTTCAGCAGCAGAACAACGTTCCTCTTCCCTTGTATGAGACAAGAGCAAATAATCACTTGCGATGGTTATCATGTACTGTCATCACAGTATGCTCTCCTGAAGGAGATGCGCCGTCGCGTGAGGCCTCAGCACATGTCATCGCGTGGAATCGAATGAAAACTCGTGGCGTGCCGTCCTCCCGATCACTTCCTGATGTGGACGAACCGAACTCCGTCCCAACACTTGGCTCGACTAGCGACTCCACTAATGCTCCACTGATCAATTGCCGGGGTACGCTGAATCCCACGGGGTGTAGGGTACTGGTGGGGGTCAGGCGGGCACTCGTATCTTTATTAATTCCTCACGCCCTTCTGTTTCCTCCCTTCTCTCCGATTCCTTTCTTCTCCGCACAGCGACCGAGACACCAACAGTTGCGACGATGTTCAAACGATACGCCAAGGATTTACCTGAAGAGGTTCTCAACTGGCGTCTTGGCTATGCCGTGCTTGGTATGCTTGGACTTGCTTGACTGCGCCTTCCAAGTCTTCTGGCTAACGCTTATTCAGTTTTCGGTTTGCTGGGAACTGCCCGTGGCCTCGACGAGGGTCTCATCGGAACGACTGCCTCCCAAAAGTCCTTTAGTACACAGTTCGGATTGAAGAACCCTCATTTGACTGCCAATGAGCAAGCCAACCTCCTCTCCAACATCACCTCCATGGTCCAGCTTGGATCAATCTTCGGTGCTCTCTTCGCCTTCCCCATCACCGACCGCATTGGCAGAATCTGGGCTGTCCGAGAACTATGCCTCGTCTGGGTCGCTGGTATCTCCATCTTCCTTGGTGCTGCCGCCCATGGCAATCTGTCAATGGTCTACGCTGGTAGATTCATCGCTGGACTGGGCATCGGACAGACCACAGTCGTCGCCCCGACATACCTCGCAGAAGTGGCTCCCAAGTCAATTCGTGGACTTTGTGTCGGTATCTTCTCTGGTTCAGTCTACCTGGGTATCATGCTCGGATACTTTGCTTCATACGGCACTTCATTGCACATCAGCAACCACGACTCCCTCCAATGGGTCATCCCCAACACACTCCACCTCTACTTTGCTGCGATCATCTTCACCCTCAGCTTCTTCGCCATTGAAAGTCCCCGCTGGCTCGTCAAGACCAAGCAACAGGCAAAGGCTGTTGAGAACCTCTGCAAGATCCGTGGGCTCGGACAGGAGCACGAGCTCGTGCAAGGAGAGATCATCGACATCAACATGCAACTCGAGCGTGAGCAGGAAGCCACAATGGGTGCCTCAAAGGTCGGACTCCTTCGTGAACTGTTTGTCATGCCTTCAAACAGATTCCGCATCTTCTTGGCCATCGGCGCTCAACTGCTTGGTCAGTGGAGTGGTGCTGGATCAATCACCGTCTACGCTCCTCAATACTTTGCTCTGATGGGTACAACTGGCACCACAGAGAAGCTTCTTGCTACCGGTATCTTTGGTCTTGTCAAGTTCATCAGTGCCATCATCTGTGCCTTCTTCCTCGTCGACTTCATCGGTCGCAAGCGTTCTCTGAGCATCGGCATCACCATCCAGTTCATCGCTATGTTGTACATGGCACTCTTCCTGTCTATTGACAATACCATCGGAGACAAGGGCAACGTACAGACCTCCAGTCAAAAGCATGCCGCCAAGGGCGCTATTGTCATGATCTACTTCTCTGGATTTGGTTGGGCAATGGGTAAGTTCCTGCGTCCACTTCTTTCCGTACCATCACTAACAACGTTTCCCNNAGGTTGGAACTCGATCCAATATCTCATCAACGCTGAAATCTTCCCTCTCCGTCTGCGTGCTATCGGTGGTTCGATCGCCATGGCATTCCACTTTGTCAACCAGTATGGTAACTCAAAAGCTGTACCCGAGATGTTTGTTGGTATGACCACCGCCGGCACCATGTACTTCTTCTCTGCCATCACGCTGTTGGGTCTCGTCTGGGTCTGGTTCTTCCTGCCTGAGACCAGTGGCCGTTCCTTGGAGAGTCTGGACGCTGTCTTTGAGCTGCCTTGGTACAGAGTCGGAAGATACGGCAGCAAGGTTGCTGTTTCACCTACGCTGTTTGAGAACGAGAAGGATGGTATGGCAGAAAAGAACCAGCAGGTCGAGTACCTGGAGACATCTCGCCAGGGGCATAGTTCACGAGTATCTACGATTCATGTTAGCGACAAGGAGTACAACCATATGATCATCTTTCCACAGCATCCAGGTCGAAATTGTTTCCCAGCTTGAACGACTTTTGACTGTGGTTCTTCGTGTAAATGCAATTGCTTAGAAGAATGCGAAAAAGTCCATCATCAACGCCTTGAACTTGTGATCATCCCTAGGCTTTTCTCACGAGTGGGCTCGAATTTCACTGCGGTTGTGTTCTGTGTATGAAAAGGTGGACTGAACTTGATGAGATGAGTTCTGCAGCTCTTGCTGAGTCAGCAACCAGGGCGGCCCGCTCACGTTTCCATCTTCAGCTTTGCACCTTCCCTTTCTTTTCTGCGAGAACGTTGCTCTAGGTTTGACATCAACATGACGGCTTACGACTAGCTTGCACACCCTTGGCGCCGCCATGCTTTCGCACGTGTGTCCACGATCTCGAACGTGGTCCCTCTCTTTCCGGGGCGTCCATCGCTTAACTCTGGACACTCAACTTGAAACATACTATCCCATTTATCAGCCGATGATGGCGCGGCCCGTCTAGCCGTTCCCTGGAGGATCGAGCAGTAGCTGCGTACCACCATGATTGAGATGGTGAGAATCGTTGTTGTATATCTATGTTGCAAAGGATCACCTGGACCAAAAGCCAGTGGTTGTCGTTGTCGAGCGAGAACAAGGAATCATTACGGCAACAACAAGTAGTTGGAGGGTCTTACCACGCGTCTCTCGTGGATCCATGACATGGGTTGCATGCATCTGTCACATCGGACAAGCCTTTTTGGCCGAGTTAAAGTCATACAAGCCTTAGCGATGGAGGTTTCGATGCAAGCCATGACAGTTCCGGCATCTGGAGCAACAACAGACTCACGGATAAACGATATACGGCGAAGGTCGTCGATCTCCCTCTTTGCTTGTGGAGTACTTGAGTTTAACCATGGTTCGTGAAGAGGTACGTTCCTGAGCTGCTTCCTGATATCTGCAGATGTGATGGCGTAACAGGGGTAAGAACAAGGCTTGATGAGGGCAATATGGATTGCATCGCCAGGATCGCGTTGATGCAATGACGGCCCGTCTAGTGTGGCTTTCCAGAAGGTTGTAGGTAACGAGGGCGCGTATAAGTGTCCCGAGAAGCTATATAAGCACCAGGCAAGCACGCTCTTCCTCCTTTTTCCCATCCGCAAAACCAACCTCAAAACCGAGACATCGATCTTCATTCCATCATTATGCTTCTCAAGACCCTTGTTCTTACTGTTGCCGCCTTTGGCTCCTCCGCCCAAGCAGCTCAAGCAGCATACGCCCAATGTGGAGGCCAAGGCTTCACTGGCGGAACCACTTGCGTTGCCGGCTACACCTGCGTGGCCAGCAATGCCTACTACTCTCAATGCCTGCCAGCCTCCAACTCCGTCAAACCCGTTTCTTCGTCCAAGACTTCCGTCGCACCTGTTTCGAGCTCGGTAGCTGCTGGCGGTGGTAGCGGAGGCAGTGGCAGTGGTACAACCTACAAGGCTTCCTTCACCCAATACGGCAGCGGTGACACTTTCGGCAGTGGGAACTGCAACACCGACACCACTGCTTGTGGCTTCTACACCAGCGTAAGTCTTACCTCTACATTATACCTTCCTATCTTCAGAACACAATCGCTGACTGTCCGCCACAGNCCAGGCTACTCAGCCGCACTCTCCCAGAACGCCTTTGGCGTCGGCCCCGCNGCCGGCGCAGGACCCGCGTGCGGAACCTGCTGGAAACTAACCGCCCAAACCGACAGCAGCGGCAATAAGCTCTCCAACGCCGGCAACAGCATTGTCGTCCAAGTGACTAACCTGTGCCCTGCCGACGGCAACCCTCTGTGCAGTCAGAACGGACTCACTGGAACAAACCAGTATGGCGCCAATGTCAACTTTGACTTGTGCATCAACAGCGGTGCCAACACTGCGCTGTTTGGCAATTCGGGTGTTGGGTTGGCTATTGGTACTGCGGTGCAGGTTTCTTGCAGTCAGTACAGTGGTACTGTTGTTCATTGAGCGGAGCAGGGGAGATGAGATGATGATTCCTTCTTGGAGCACAGTCTTTACCGATGTTCTTTGATTTGATCGCCATGGAATCCATGAGCTAGAGTGCCGGTCACTCGTTTCATCGCTGTACAGTTCAAGTATCCTGCGGATGTTGCCATCCGCGCACAATGACACTTCCTTATGGTCAGGGATCCTATGTGCCTGGCTGATACTCATCAAGATGTATCACGCTTAGAAGCCTATACTGAAAGAACAGACTTTGATGTGCCAAAATCAAGTGGGACAAACCAGGGCACATTCAATCTCGATAGGAAGCGCGAAGCGAGGTACTAGAGTACATGTCATCTGTCAAGCCATGGTGTGAGTGGATCCCTGGTCCCTATGGTTCAAACGTCGTTGCGCATGCATGAAGAAAAAAGCTCTACGTACAACCCGAACCCGGCCATGATGCCTCAGCGGTACAGAGTTCTGCTACCTTACCAATCGCTATCTCTGCTGCAGCTATATGCCTACATCACACAAGCGACGTTCTGCGTGAGCAAGTTGCACGCGCAAATTCTACCCAGATGTGGTGTGGTTGGAAAAGGAATTATGTATTACGTCCCAAGACTCTGGATATCACTACGCTATGGGAAACTGAGCAAGAACGACTTCGCACACACCTCAAGCACTGCAAGGAATCAAGCAGCAATCATAGTAGCAGCCTTGCTCATAAAGTAATCCTTGCCCTTGACAAATGCAACCATGAAGCTGAACGGCACAAAGCTGCCTATCTGTCCGGTGCCAGTCTTGCTTCCGATGGGCACAAAGACCATCAACTTATCGCTAGCATCATACGTCTTGAGTTGTCCAGAGGAAGTAACCGCATTCTTGATGTTGTTGGCCACGACGGGGATTTGATCGTTGATCTTGAGATAGTAGCGCTGCTTGTACATTGTCGCATCACCGAGCGCATAGACAGAGTTGTCGGTGATAGAGGAAACACGCATGTTCCTGTCGACTTTGATCCAGCCGTCCTGGTCCAGCGAGTCGCGAGGCATGAAGGAGGTGTTTGCAATGTTGCCTGCCGCCGAGATGACCAGAGTAGCGCTAAGAGTCTTGCCATTGTCGAGGTGCACGGAAAACTTTCCATCCTCTTGCTTTGTGTCGGTGACCCGGGCTGAGTAGACCATTTCCACACCCAAATTTGCGAGACTGGCGTGTGCGGATTTGGCGGCTGAGGCTTTGAGGTTGGGCAGCACCTGTGCGTGCGAGGAGATTAGGGTGACTTTTGTTTTGGGGTAGGCTTGGGCGATTTCGCCGGCGCTTTCGACGCCTACGGGGCCGGCGCCGACGATGATGATGCTGTCGGCGGCTGCGACTCGCTTTTGTGCCGCTTCAACCTTTTGTTTGATGTCTGCTCCGGTTGTCTTAAAAGGGATGGCCTCCTCGCCAACAGTTCCTGGCGTCGTCGAGCCCGACGCAACGACCAGGTAATCGTACGAAACGTCTTTTCCGTCCTTCACGCGCACGACTTTTGCGGCAGTGTCTACAGAGTCGGCGTAGCCTTGGACAAAGGTGAATCTGGCGGCAGGATACTGCTTGAACTTGTCCATGATAGGGATAAGGTACTGGTCGACTTTGGCTTCCTTTGGCTTGGCGATGATGCGCGGCGAGGCAATGTTGTAGTAAAAGACATCCGAGGGGTCGATGAGGGTGACTTTCGAGTTGGGTACCTGCTTGAGGACCTGGTGTGCGACTTTGGTTCCTGCGTACGAGCCGCCGATGATGGCAACGTGCGCCATGGTGAGCGTGATGAGAGGCGTGGTTGAGTGAGTGGTTTCGGTGGTGGGGAGATTCTGCTCGTCGGTGCAAGGACAGGTGTGCAAGTCGAGAAAGGTGAGAGACTTGTAGAGGAAAGCGACTGCAGTGTGGTATAGAAAAAGCGAAGACCTACCTGGGAAGACCTATCTATTTATTCATGCAGCACGATGGAAAAAAAGTCCGTAGGCTGAAACTCTCTCTGTCGCGACAACAATCGCTCGGCATACAGATTGGCGCCCGGCTTACCAGTCCAATGGCGCTCTCTCGGAGCGGCTTACAGTCGATTATCCGATCATGGTCAGCTCGATGACCCTTGACACAACTTACAAGGTGAAGGAACCAGTAAACAGAGCCATACAGCAGAAACACGTTGCCAAGTGTGTTCGAAAGGAAAGAGGATTTGATGAGACTCGACTGTTTTCGGAGAGAACGCGCCGCGTCGGCTTCCCCTTCGCGCCGAGGATTGGTAATCATCCATGCTCTCTATCGACTTTACTCATAATCATCTCGATTTTTCGAACTCGATACAATAATTACTGCCAATCCTGTGCGGAATACTACCGACGAAGCATTGAATACCTCGCAGCCTCAAGCATACGTCGCGTAAAACTTGACGCTCTTGCCCTGTCTCTCATACACGGGCGCGTTCTTGCCCTGCAGCCCACGCCACGAGTACTGTCCGTTGCCCTGCTGGTACAACTTGAATCCACATCCACTTGTCGTCTGATACTCCAAATGGCACCAAGGCGAATAGTCAGCGCCTGAGATGGACAAACCCAACAATTCGCCTTCGGTGACTGTGGCATTGGTCGTCACGGGCACGGTGACGGTGTCGAAAGTGTAGGTCGTCTGATTGGCATTGAAGGCCGCAGATCCCAAAGCGGTCCACTTGTACTCTGGTGTGAAGAGGTCGTTGAGCGAGGAGAGCTTGAAGACGGTGAGGGAAAGAGGTACAGTCTGGGAGCCACGGGCCACGTTCAGGGAGACACTCTTGAGTGTGCCGCTCTTTGCTGCCGTCCAGGTTTGGTATAGGATGAAAGAGTCAGAGTCACAGACTGGACTGTACACGGCAAGTGCGGGTGTCGCATCTGCGGCTTTTGTGGCATTGCCTGCTGCAAGCGTGCCATTGCCTTTGGTAAAGGTGACGGGGAAACTCGCAGTAGACGAGCAGTCGAGATTCTTTGCGCTGCCATCGGCATTGAACGTCAAAGGCTGGAAAATGTGGCCACCGAATCCTGTGCGAGGGCCTCCGGGGACACTGGTCGAGTGCCAGACATTGGTTACTGCGCCATTCGCAGGGTTTATCAAAGGAAGCACACCTTCAACCTGACCATTGCAGGAATATCCCTCCAAGATCTGACGAGTCCATGGTCCTTGGATCGAGTTTGAGCGATACAGCAACGCAATGGATCCATTGCAGTACCCACACGTATTGGAAGCGGCAACATAGTAGCTGTCTCCATGCTTGAAGATATCCGGCGACTCTGCCTCGTCGTCGATCAAGTCGCCTGCACTCGAGCTCACTGGATAACTAACCCTAGTCGTGTTCATGAAGTCGGCAGTCAATTTACTGACATGCAAATTCTGGAAGATGGGAGGCCACACATTTCCAGCATTGGGGCTCTTGAAGTTCAGCGCCGAAAAGACGATATAGCCAACCCCATCAATGATTTCAACGGTAAAGTCGGCCGGTTGCAAGCCATCGAAAGCAGGATCGATAAGTGCTCTCGCCGTAGAGAAGACAAAAGGTCCAGTCGGCGAACTCGACGTCGCAACAACATATCCGGGATCTCCAGCATTGGCCCAGAGAACATAGGCCTTGGTGTTGGCATTGTACACGATGTGAGGACGTCCACAGCCGCCAGAAGCAGCACAAGGGCTATTTTTACCTGCAGGGTCGAAGAGGAAACCTTCATACTNGCCTATGCAATACACGACATGATCAGCAACTCCTCTCAAGTGCTATACTCAGGTGGCATACCAGTTTACGAGATCGACAGAAGAGTACGATTTGATTCCATACGCGATTCCAGTCTCCGAGAACGAGTTGCCGTAAAGATAGTATTTGCCGTTGAAATTGTTGACTTTGGAGCCATAGGCATCGATTTGTCTGCCATCTGTATCGAATAGGAATCTTCTGTTGTTGTCAAAAGAGACAGAGGCTGAGACGGCTTTGGTGGTTGCGGCGGCACTGCAGAGAGAGACCAATGCAGTCAATGTTGGGATGAGAGATGTGAGTTTCATTGTTGCGATTGGCAATTGTGTATGAGAGAGAGAAGCGGCATGGTTGGGAGACGGCTTCTATATATGCCAACACGATCAACCATACTTCTAGCTTTTGTCATAGAGTGTAGCAATTTAAGATGCTTCTGGACCATCTCATTCAAGCCCCTCACACCGGTATATTGAGACACGTGGAGCGGCAGTCTGTTTCCTGCTCATACCGGTCGTAGTTCATCATCCCCACAGCATAGCTTGCCCTCTTGATTGACACAAGCGTGCATGAAACCGGAAGGAGGAGAGCATCCCACAATTTCACATCGATGTCCCCGCAAACCATCCCCACATCTCGGCCGAGCAATGCCTAATTCCCCACAAACACCAAACCCCGACAGTCATGTGGTGAGCCGAGCCCTAAGTCAAACGTTAGGGCATAGTATAAGGCTGGTCCAGATGAGTGCACACAAGCGAGACAACCAGCAACATGGCATGAGAATATAGAGTTTGAATTTATTCGGGCTGCCGAAGTCAGGACAGACTTCTACCGCCAACGCAAGAAAAGAATAGTGAGGAAACAAGAGAGGTATACCTGCCAGGGAAAGAGAAAGAACACCATACGCCAGCGCCATGCTGTGACAAACCCTCAGGAAACGCTATACCCACCCATCAGGCGGCAATACATGCCAAAGACCTCCTCCTATCGTGTCCTACTTCAGTAGGTTAGCGAACACCAGCAACTTTTCCACCTCGAGAGCGCCACTTCTGTTAGAGACGGCGACGACTTCCACTTCGACCCTGTTGACGCCAGCATTCAGGGCTGTGTCGTAAACTTGCTTTCTTTCAGCGCTTCCCCCAACCACAAAGTCGCGCGTAGTGCCCATCAGACGAACTCCGTTGACAGTGACGAACAACTTGTACTGTCGTTGCATCAGGAGACGCTGCGAGACGGTGGGGATGATGCTGACGTAGTAGTGGGCACCAGGAATGGACATGGTGAGGGACTGCTGGGTGTACTGCTTGGATGCAGGGATATCGATGCGGAACGGTTTGGGTTGGCCGAGTTGGGGATGTGTCGTGATGGCAAGACTCGGCAAAAGAGCTTCAGAGACAGGCTTCGAGCGGGCGTATTTGTCGCTGAAGGTGGGCGGCGGCGGCACGTATTGCGGGACGTGAGGAACGTAAGGCAACATGGACGGATGCGGACTGCCGCTAATGCCGCGGACAGAGGGTGGGGGAGNCATCGAGTTGGCTGTGCCTGGTCTTGGACTCTGTTTGGCATCTGGAGCAATGCTTTGCGGGCGGACTGCTGCGAGCGAGGGAGAAGCAGCGACGGTCTTCTCCATCTTGACCGCTGTCGCTGCTGCGACGGGGCTTGATGCTGTGGCACCTGGTGTCTTTGCCGTCGTCGGTACCTGCGAATTTGATCGTGACGGTGCAGCGCTGCTTCCGGGTCTCGCATGTACAGCGGCAGGTGTCCCATTGGCAACTGGTTCACCCCTCTTGTCGTCGGCGTGAGTGCCTCTTGGGGCTGGCGAGCCTCGTGCACCAAGATGTAGTACGGGCTTTGGTCTCGGAGCGCTGAGCTTGATCTTTGGTTGTGTGGGCTCGTCGACTCGAGTCTTTGCAGTGGCCAAACGTTCCTTGAAGAGATCCTCGAGCTCGACTGACAAGTTGAAGATGTCGCTTCCGTCCTCATTGTAATCCCTTGCATTGCGCCAGATGTATGAGACCTCCTCTTCAAAAGCATCCCACGTCTTGAAGTCGGTCTGCGACGTCCCTGGTCCACGACCATGTTGTCCTCGTACTCTCTTACGTACGGCGGTGAGCGACATGGGCTTCTTGATGATGTTGTAGTAGTCGGTCAAGGTTCGAGGCGGTAGCGTGACGAAGGGCTGGAAGATTTCGATCCTGTCGTCATGTTAGCAGGGTCCGTCGGAGGCATGTCCATGCGACTTGCCNNCTTGGTCTATGTAGCTGATCAGGCCGTTGATGATGTGCTCTTGGGCTTGTTGGAATGTCTTGCCAGTAAAGTCTGCCGGGTCCGAGTCATCTGCGACGACAGCAGGGCTCGAGGCGGCGGGCGGAGCAGCAGAGGACTTGCGGTCGCGGCTGGCCTTGAGTGAGATTGTGATCTTCTTGGGCTGCTCGCTGGGTTCGCGCGTCGGAGGTGCGGACGAAGCAGTGGCATCGTCGTCGTGGCCAGGGATCGGGGTGGGGATGGCGACATAGTTGGGGTCCCTGTAGGCGGGGTTGTGCTTGGTCATGAAGTTGGACAGAGCCTTGCGAATGCGCTCGGCGTCTTGGTAGACGGTCGACTTGTCGTCGTTGTACTGCTTTGCGTTGGCGACCATGCGCTTGATGTCGCTCTCGACGGTGCTGAGGGTGGGGTATTCATGGCGCTCGAGCTTGTCCTNGCAGAGCTGTGTCAGATGGTGCGGATGCCGAGTGTGGCAGAGAGGGCGTCGAACCTGGACGGTCTGGATGGCGATGGGGAGTTTGATGGTGCGGTAGTAGTCGGGCAGCTCTCNTCTGCGGTGTCGCGTGTCAGCCCATGTCGTGGACTCAAGGAAATTAAGTGGGCATACCTTGCTGGGCAGGTCGATGAACAGGTCGGCGATCAAGCGGCCACTGCGACGGGGTTAGACTCGGCCAGGGCGCAGGTGCTGGATGGTCTTGCGGGCTGCTCACGTCTTGTCTTTGGCCGATTTGAGGTGGTCGATGAACTGAAGGCCGATGGTGCTTGTCGTCTGCGGAGTCTCGTGTTCCTGGAGGAGTGAGTTGTTGGTCTGGATGGCCTTGATGGTCTTGATGGTCCTGCGGAAAGTCCAAGCGTTCGCGTTGTCGACGGTCGCAGGCAGTGGTAGCGGCCGGGCAGCATGACGGTGCTTGTGCTTGTGCTTGGGGAAGTGCAGAAGCTCCGCCGCAAGTCCGCAAACCACGCCTTGAACTCTCACTCGTCCTATCATCAAAGTGCACTCACCAGCTTGGTCTTTTGGCGCTTGCTTGCGCTGCCCTCGACTTTGGGCGATGCGGCATAGGTCGCTTTGCGCTTGCGGTTGCGGTCCATGATTTTGGTATCTCTGTTGTCGCGTAATCTCCAGCTGCACTGCACGATGCTTGCCTATTCGCTGAGATGATGGTTGCGCTGGTCGGTCGTGCCTGCCGATTTGCTCTCTCTTGCACTTGCGCGTCGCGCGTTCTAAGGGCGCTCTGCCACCAGTCAAGCCGGTGGTCTGCACGGGCCACCTGACACGTGATTGCTTGAGGAATCTATTGTCCAAAGCTCTACAATACTGTCTCCCTTGCTCTGCTGTTGTTCTGATTGTCTGGTTGTTGACAGTTTCGCTGTTTCGATAGCTATGATCCTTCAACGCTGGCACGTCTTGAGTTGGGGATGCTTGCGAACCGGCCCTGTCAGGAAGCTTCATCCTCGACTCGGAACATCCATCTCTTCGCTGTCAACCACCATCATCTCTAACATTGCAGATTATCCAAGTCACAGACAGCTTCTTCAGAAGAAACATGTATCAATGTAATCCATCAATTCTCGAGCAAAAGTCTTAGGAATATCTCTTGGGTATGTAGGCAATGCCTAACAAGTAGCAGCCGCTGCTCTCCTCTCCTGTAACCCCAAACGCCATGCCGAACAGAAAACACACATCAGACGCTGAAAGCCATTGCCAACTCTTTACCTGCTCTCCTTCCCCTTGTCGAAACTTCCGGTCGACGTAATCTTTTGTGCCTCCTCGTCGGCCTTCATCTCACGCACCTTGGCCAGGACGACTTCGCGGAAGATGGCTCCCTTGGCGAGCTTGCTCAGACTGCGCTTGTGTGTCACTCCCTTGTCTTCCGGTACTTTGAGTCCGGCTTCCAGGGGCTTCTGGTCCTGATGTGCCAATACCTCACCTGCCGCCTGCTTTGCGCCGGCGGGCACGTCTCCGGACTGTGGGACCTCCTCCTCTTCGTCTTCTTGCATCTTGAGTGCTTCGATACGGTTGGCGAGCTTGACCAATTCGATGCCGCGCTTCAGGCGGGCCTTGGCCATGTATGCCTTGATCTCGGGCAGCAAGTTGTGGTCGGTTGCGCCCTTGCCGGCGATCCATGCATTCTTGAGTGCTTNGCTGTCGCATGTGTTAGCTTTGTCTCACAGACAAACAGGTCCTTCCAGACGTACTGCACTCGTGGCTCTGTTCTCGGGCTTGGGCACCAGCAGAGTCATGATGAAGTCCTTAGCCTCCTTGCTGACGTCCTTCCAGTAGCGTTCATGGAAGACAACTCTTCCGTGCTTGGTCTCCTCGATCAAGTCAGTCAGGTTCTCGCTGCGGAATGGCGAGTAACCGCAGAGAAGAGTATAGGTAATGACTCCCAAGGACCACATGTCGACAGGCTTGCTATGTCCCTTCTTGAGCATGACTTCTGGTGCTGCATAGCCGAAGGAGCCGGCCATGGTCTTGAGCACGCCGTCGGGGCTGTCGAGATGTTTGGCAATGCCAAAGTCGGCGAGGACCAGAGTCGAGTCGTCGGCCTTGGTGAGGTATAGGAGGTTCTCGGGCTTGAGATCTGTACGACATGGTCAGCATGGAGAAGAGAGCCGGAGCCGTGTGGTGCACTGACCGCGATGGACGACGTCGTTCTGGTGGAGGTAGTCGACGGCTTCCAAGACCTGTCTTATGGTTGCCGAAGCGTCCTTTTCGGTGAAGCGGCCCTTTTCGCAGATGCGGTCGAACAGCTCTCCGCCAGTTGCAAGCTGCGTCACGATGTAGTACTTGTCNNCTGTGTTCCTCAGTCAGTCTCTGCTGTCGAGTGTCCCATCTCTTGTGTATCTCACTCTCGACTCGAACCAATCAAAGAACTTGACAATGTGAGGGTGTTGAAGGCGCTGAAGCATCTGCAGTTCGTCGTAGACCATCTGGTCGTTGCCTTTGACGTTCTTCTTCAGGATGATCTTGACGGCGCATTTTCCTTGGGGCGACTCTGCTTCTCTGACGATGCCGTAGGTGCCAGCTCCGAGCGTCTTGCCAAACTTGTACTTGGCTCTGTGGTTGCGAAATCAGTGAGGGGTGCTGCAGGGAGTGTGTCGTTGGACGAACTTCTTGTCGTAGCTGTCGGGCTGGCCGTGGAGTTTGTTGAGCATGCTGGTGACTATACCGGCGGCTGGATTAGTGGAATGCTTGGAGCGGGTATAGGGAGAAGGTGATGGACGTCAGGCTAAAGGATTGAGGTGGTGTGCAAAACGGAGATAGTAGAGCAACAGCTCCCACGATGCAGGTTGCATGGTCAGGCATGGCAGGGAAAGAGCGATGGGTAGAACTTACAACTCATGGTTGCGTTCCGTCAAGCGCCGGTGTTGCGCTACGTTTGGAGAGGGAAGATGAGCGACGAGGGCGAGAATGTACACAATGTGTGTCGCAGCGGTATATAAACAGGGGACACGATGAAAACTCGACAGTCGGGTAGGGGGAAAGAAGTCAAGAAGCAATCAACATGTCGCTGATCCCGTAAGTGCAGTCTTACTGCGTTCGGCGGGCTGGACCCGGCGTGGCAGTGCGTGGGGCAGACGGACGCAAGCTCGGAGGCTGGAAGAGGAGTCCTCAAGGCTGTGCTGAGTTTCAGCTCAAGTTGAAACTGAAAAGCCGCGCCCGATCAATTTATCGGCTTGCTATTTTTGAGTCTTTTTGTATGGTATGCGCATTGCAATTTACGAAATCTCGTTGTCAATAATATCAGGCTCGTGTTGATCTTGGTCTTAGAGGGTTGCTTCTGAAAACATGTGAAGCTCGGCCTCCAGCTTCTGTGGAACGTCAGGGTCTTCTGTCGTTGTGCTTCTCTTGAGACATGTCAATCCAAGCACGACACATTGCAATGTACGTCGATTGGTAGGACTCTAGATCCTGTCGCTGTATCAGCCTTGATCTTCTCTTGACTATCGGCGCATTGATTGCGCAACAACGTCGTGACTCGAGCTGTCGCGTGGTTCGACATGTTCGAGAGCTTGCCCATCTCACACACCCGAAATGGGTGTACCTCCAGCGCTTACGACGACCAACACAGCTCACAGTCGAGTGAACTTGAAGTAGGTAGGATCAGGCACACGACCCACGAGCCTTGATCGGACGCGTCCCCGAAGGTTTGATGCTGCATATTCCAAGTTCCAAGGAAGTTGCGATGGACGTCATACAGGTACAAGAGCGGCCCAGCTCTGACGTTTGCCGCTGACCAACAAACACATCGTCTCTATTTATATGGCTGTAGACAAAGGCCCCCGAGTCCGCAAAACCTCGATATCCTCATCCAACTCTTTCATCCTGACCTGCCAACACTGGTTCAACGCCGCCCTCAATCGTCTGCCTTTCAGAAGACGCTTCTCTCCCACACAGTCTCTCCGTGCTCGTCCATCAGCACACTCCCTTCGTGCCCCTTCATCACCGCAGACCCCAGAGCGAGCTCCCACCCCACCTCCTCGTCCAGCACCCTTCGTCCAGGAACGAGTCACGTTTTCCATCCAAGCATTTGCTCCCCAAGGCAACAACTCAACAAGGTCGTCAAAGTCGGCAGCCATTGCAGAACCCGAAGTCTCACTCCGAGCACGCTCCAACTCAGGATTGCACCTCCTCAACAGCCGTAGAGCGCTCAACAACAGCGACTAGGAAGTCAAGCGTCGTCAAATCGCTCAAGCAGAACAGCTCCGGTACGAACAGCAAGAAGCAGAACTTGAAGAGCTCCGTGCAAGAATCGAGACCACACAACAACATGGCCGCCAGCACATATCTGTCAGTCCTCGCCGCGGTCGTCGCCTTGATGGTCGGCGCGGTGTACCTGTTCGGCGTCCCTCCACAGTGGAAGCGCGCAATGGAAGACAAGGCTCTCGAGACAATGGGCGAGAACAAGGCCTCGTACTTGGTCAAGAGTATGTACATTCTACTCTGTTATTGCTGCATACATGTTGCTAACATTGCTCTTCTCTTGCANGACCAAATCAACAGCCTTCCCGCGTCCGATCAGAAGGAGGTGAGCGAGCTCAAGTCAGGAGTCGGCAATCTCGTCGGAGGGGTAATGCAGAACCCGATCGGCAAAGAGGCAGGAGAAGTGGGAGACACTCTTACTAGTCCCTTGACTGGTCGTTGAACATGACCTCCTTTTGACACTTTTACCTATGTAACCTAACGAACAATGACCTATGATTTATATAGCGTGAGAACCTGAGATATTCTCTTGTCGCACAGCCCGAATTATGCCATGTGTACATGTGTTTGTTGCTGGTGATACGACGTAATTGTTTTGATTCCCGCTTTCACATGCATGGACCCCGAGCATGGCGGACGCGGGCAAAGGCAGTTTCTCTCCAGCCTTGGAACAAGCCTCAGCACGAGAGTCCTACATCTTGCATCGCAACCACTTCCGCTCCTTGACCTTACGCCTTCTCCTCCTAAACAAACCATCGACGAGATCTATACCCAGTCTGCCACATCACTCTGAGGACCGTTGCGCCAACCACCAAGCTCCACCGCAAGACTCCCGCTTTTGGGCTTTGCTCCGCAACCACGATACTTTTGTCGCCTATCATCTTATCAAACGGTGTCAGCAAAATGATGAGCAGTAAGAGACTCCAGAAGGTATTTCCGTCCGATGCGCTGGAATTTGATGATATTCTGACGCCTCCGTAGGAGCTCCTCAAAATTCAAGGACAACTAGCTCCCGGCATCACGCTGGTATCAGCAGACAACCTCAAGACATGGCTCATGGACATGCAAGTCATGGACGCCAACCCCCTCTACCAAGGTGAAACCTACCGCCTCAAATTCGAGTTCAGCTCAAACTATCCGATAGGTATTCATGCCATCCAAGGATTTAAGGCCACGAACTGACCACTTCCTGCAGAGCCGCCAGAGGTCGTCTTCATCCGCCATCCAGATCGCCCTATCCCCATGCATCCTCACATCTATACCAACGGAATCATCTGTCTCGATCTACTCGCGTCTCAAGGATGGTCGCCGGTGCAAAATGTCGAGAGTGTCTGTCTGAGCATCCAAAGCATGTTGACCGGCAACTCCAAGAACGAGCGTCCTCCTGGTGATGCCGAGTTCGTCAGGACCAACCGTCTCCGCCCTCGCGACGTCGCTTTCCACTTCCACGACAACGAGGTTTGATCTGGTCGGAAATTTCAGGCTTTGATCTTTGTTGATTGTCTCGACCTTCGATCTGGTCTGGTATTTTGCCTTTGGTATTCCTGCATGGGCCGGCGTTTCTGTTACATCTCTCGCGCGATGGGTCCGCAAGCAGGGCGTCTTGGGTCTTGATGTGTTGTCGAATTTTGGTCTTCTCTCTGGTATCGCAACACCCAATCTCCTACTATTTTTCCAATGTTTCACCGTGTCACTCTCGTCATTGTGTGTCTATATCTTGTCGCAAATCATCGGCACGGACACCTGTTTGTTGATGTTGCCTTCACTGTTCTGTCTAGCACAAAAGCAACGTTGGGAATGGTATCGCGGCTTCATCATGATCCTCCTTTCAAAGGTCGTCATGATCATCAAGCCCTGAGCTGATGTTGCTGCTATTCGGCGAATATTTTCCTGGAAGACATTGATGGTTTGATACCCGATGGCATATTCTATTCACGGCTGAAAGAGACGACAAAGACATGAGAAGTTGCATAGCCTTGTGTGAACTGTCTCCTGGTCATCCCGATTCGAATCCCACTCCAGCATTCTTGTCGCACGCACATCTCGTGCACCTGTCAGGAGCCACCACACTTGTAGCATCTTCTAAGTGTACCGGGAGAAGAGAGACCACACTTTTGCAAAACAGGCATTCAAGACGTCGACCGTCGCATCTAACATGAGCGTTTCGTGAGCACGAGCGTGAAGGACCAGGGTCGTCCCCCAAACATTCGAAGAAGTGGAGTAACGAAACTCCGGATGGGCATCGCTACCATCAAGGTCATAGATATTTTTACTGCACATGCCTACAACTACCGTGGCTTGACAGAATCATGTATGCTTCTACTTGTCGATGATTTCTACTTCGAGGTCGTCGCGCTTCTCATACAAAGCCCAAGTTTTGTTCGCGATGTTCTCGGCATTACACTCAGGATTCTCGTCAGCAACGACGCCTCCAACAACGACAAGACCACAATATACACCCTCATCCTTGAACTTCTTGTGCATACTGTGCACCAAATTGTGCTGCCCAGCTTTGCACACCGAAAGCGAGAACACCTCTGGTAGAGGATCCTTGTAGATGGAGCCTGAGGTGCAGAGGAATGCTGGCTTAAGGTTGCCCTTTACTTGCAGCAGTTTTGGGATCGCCCACTGGGCAATGGCATAGCAGCCTGTGACTTTGATGCGGAGGTCTAGCTCAAGCTCTTCCATGGGCCATTCCACCAGGGTACTAGGGCCAACGCGAGCGGCGTTGAAGAGGACTACTTCGAGAGGTGTGTTGCCGAGAGCTTTGTCAACTGCATCAAGCGCCGCGGGAATCTCGCTCGTCTTGGACAGATCAATGGCCAGTGTCGAGATATTTGCAGAGGGAGTGGCCGAGCGAATGAATTCCGCATCTTCTTCGAGGCGCGACGGGTCGCGTGAGAGCAGGATGATGCGCTTGAAAGCGTGCACAGAGAAGGTGCGTGCGACGTGGCTGCCAATCCCGGGTCCGCTACCCACCACCACCAAAGCGCCGCGCGTACTGCTCATTCTTGATAGCGAAGATGTCTCTGTCGTTTGTACTTCTTGTATGGATGTTTTGGTAAATATCGCAGTCCTTTGCGGTCAGCAGGAAGAAGCGGCATTGACGTTACCTCATACGTCACCACGAGCTCTCTGCCGCAGTACTCCGATGAACCTTATCCCTCTGCCCTTGCGTATCTCACGTCCACGTTCTTGCGTTACAGGCTGACACTTCACTGTGATTCTTCCACGTCTGTGGCTGTCACACACCTATCTGCTGCATCGCCTTCTTCTGGCGTAGCAAGATGCAAGAACAGAATGATCAAGCCTTGACAAGCATTCACCAAGCTTCTACAAGACTGCAGGCTAATCTCCACATTGTTCCCTTCAATTCTCATCCCTCTGCACCACATCAAACCTGCCTCCAATCATCAAAACCACAAATTCTCAAACTCATGTCTCAAAGAATGTCCGAACCACTGCCAGTTTACACCCAGGACCCTCTGCCCGAATCCGAGGTCCCAGCAGCTGAACCACCACAATACTTACGCCGCACCGCCTCTCAAGAAGCCGCAAACCTCAAAGCACTCAAAGCCTGGGCAGAGAAACGCGATATGATGAACGGAGGCGGCTACATGGAGACCTTCCACGTCGGCGGCAAGACAGTAACTAACGGCCATGTCGTCGAAGAAGCCACCACAACTGCTTCCCACGAATTTCCTTCTGCAGCACAGGAGAAGCAAGCACTTGCTCACCACCACGATGATGCGGATGAAGCTTGCTCTTCTCGTCGCGACAGTGAAAACGACAGTCGTCCAGGCGTGGGAAAACGGCTCTCGGGCTTTTTGAAGAGGTTTAGTCCGGCAGAGCGGTCGATGCAGAAAGCTATGGCGATGAGTGCTGAAGGGGAAGCTGCCGAGATGAAAAAGTATCCCATGTCTGAGGGTACGTACGGCTGGGAAAACTACGATCCGAACAAGAAACGGTAGATTGCTGATGTCTGATTCTCTCTTTTCATGGCGTTCTTTCTGAAGGTATATGGGTTGATTGGGCTTCTACAACGACTGGTATAATCACAAAGTTGGAGTATCCAGATAGAGATTGGCACATGAGGTTCGCAAGGTAGTCGACGCATTCCTTTGCTACTCTTTTGTGTCCCAGTCTGCCATGATGCCTTGTGACTATGACCGACAATTTAGGTATGCAAATCAAATTATCAGGCAGTGAGATCTTACACTTCAAGGTATCTTTGGTGGCTGGCACTCTGTACACGAGTACCAGCCGCGCTTGGTGCCACAGCTCACGCGATCATGACTTGAGCTCTTCGAGTAAGTGACGTGTGAAGCATCAGGCGCTGAGATCTTGAGTTGCTGACCAGACGAGAATCATCAGCTGCTCGTCAAGTTGGTAGTCGCCGTGCCATCTACAGTTCAATCAGTTCTTTTATAAATCCATTGTAGTAAAGTGTATCTGGTACGTAGTAGTAGGGTTGATCATACTGCCATGTAGCTTTTGTAACTCTATGATATGCTGTCTATATCTAGCTTCTGTCTATCATAGATCAATGGATCTAGAAGAGCACATTAGGAGAAAGAAAGATAAATGAGTAGATGATACATTTCCTAATAGACTACTATAAGAAAAAAAGTACTGAATTGGTGATAAGAGGCACAAAGAGATGATAAGAAAACGACAAGACGCCTATTTAATGACTGATGATGCTGACTCGTTCAGATGGCAGCAGCAACACCAACATAGCAAGGAAACCAAGGCCGGCACCAACATTCGCGGCAGCGCCAGTGTAGACAGCCATAGAGGTGGTAGCAGAAACCGCAGCGCTGGTGGCGGAGCCAGCCATTGAGGAAGCCATCATCATGGAAGAGCTACCAGTGGCAGCAGCAGCCGACGAAGTGGCCATCTTGGTGGCAGCGCTGGAAGAAGCGACAACAGCCGAAGAGACAGCAGAAGCGGCTGAGGAGACAGGAGCAGCGGAAGAGCCACTGGCAGCTTGAGAGCTCCAGTGCCGCTGGGGCAGAGAGAGCCTGCGGCAGCGGCGACCTTGCTGCGTCCTTGGCACTGCAGCTCGACGTCACGCAGGAAGCAACGCCAGACTGGTAGGCAGTGTTGGAGCACAGGCAAGCGGAGTCGGTAGGTGAGCAGCCGGTGGCAGAGATACCGCTAAGGATACATGTTTGCTGGTGAGGTTGTCAGTAAACCAGAGTTGATGAAGAGTGACAATACTACATACACCACAGCTGGGCAAGCTGGAAAGGACCGAAGCGGCGTCAGATTGAGCGAGGACGGGTGCCACAAAGGCAATGGCAGCAGCGAAGATGGCAACAGTTCTCATCTTGGAAAGTATGAACTAGTGATATGCTTTTGGAAGATGTCGAAAAGTGATAGTCTCGGATCAGAGAGTTTGGAGTTCTTTCGTGAGCGAGTGGCTTTATGGTGGTAAGATGATGGAAAGAAACGAGGACTGACATGGGAGAGCGGAAGCTATTTGAGCTTTTCGACATCCGTTCCATATCAAATGAAGTAGCACCTCACATACAGACATTTGACCGAGGCTCGCTCGCCCCTGAAGGCAAGATCTGGAAGGTTCGGACGGTTAGGCACCATCCAGAGTCGATGACCAGGTTTTCAGTGTTGATAGATGCATCCAGTGTGGCATCTCCCATGGTTTACCTTTTCTTCCCCTCAGTTGACCAATTGGCAAGCCACTCCAAGCGGCACGACAAGTGAAAAGGAGCACAAATCATACAGATGGTGAAGACAACAGCCAATCAAGCGGGAATTGGAAAAAGTTTCCCCGCAGTGGCAGACCTTCTCTGACTTACAGTTCATTAAACCATGTATAGACTGCTGTCAACGGCAAGAAAGTGTTGCGCCTACCATGTGACCCTAGAAGATGATGTTGATATTGGCGGAGAAGGATCGTGCCGAGGCAGGCTCAAACTCGAGCAAGCCTATGGAACAGGAGCTTGGCGATTCGGCAGCCTCGGCTTGACCGACTAGACTCGAACTCGCCATCACACGAACACACGGATGTAGCGATTTGTAACATAAGGCATCATCTACTTCTCCATCGGTGTTCGAGCAACTCGTGATGTTCGTTTGGTGATCCGGTGTGTGGCTTCGAATCTGGAGTCAGAGTCGACTGAGCGATCAACGGGATCTGGGTACTACGCGCGCAAGACACCAGTGGGGCCAAGACGGAGTAGCACATTGCGATACGGGAGGGAAAAAGTTGTTGACACCGAGGATGTAGGATAAGGAAACGGTATGTGGTCGAGGGTGTCGTCGGGAGTGGGCTTGACGACCAAGAAAGCAGTGATAAGGAAGGTAGCAACGAAGAGGACGGCATCAAAGTAGAGAATGGCAAGTAACAGTAGGGTTTTCAGATAAAACATAAGTAATCTTATTATATCGATAAAAGAAAGTAGGATATCATAGCTTATAAATACCAGTCCTTAGATAGATGACTATCACGGACTATCATGCAGAAGTGCAAAGATAATACATGGATATTCTGTGCCTACCCCTCTAAAGCTTAAGCAGACAAAGTAGAGGCTTAGCTATATAGCGGATCTTCTTGGTGCTATCGTACAACAAAGCACAGTGTTACACACCAGCATCGTCCTGTTCGACACTGTTCGCGTCTACATAAGTATTCCAAGCGTCGCAATTGTCTTGAAAAGAGGTCTCATCCATTAGAGCGACAATGTCGTCATATCTCTCGACGACTTGAAGGTCAAAACCCTCGTCTGTGTGCCAGCCAATATGACAATGACAGAGCCAAGCGCCCTTTGAGTTGGCCGGTATCAGCATTTACGAACTGTATTTGCAAAACTTGGGGGACAGTGTATCACTCACAGGATTGTCCGTCTTAAATGCCAGAACAAGGTAGCCAGAGTCGGGCAAAATGGCGACATCGCGGCGAGGAGGATTCGACAAGTTAAGATCGCTAGAGCTGTAATCACCAGAACCCTGTGCGAGAATCATAAAATCATGACCGTGCTGTGAAGGATGTTCAGCTAGGGCGTGACGTTCCTCAAGAGTAAGGTGGACTAACGAGATGGATGGGATGGGAGACGGTCATCTCAGTCTCGATGATGAGATAGGCCCATTCATCAGCTTCAGATAGGGTAATGATGTTCGATGTGTTAGACCAGTCGCTCTCATTGTTGTAAATCTGGAGTAAGGTAGGACTAATGACAATTGATTAGTCTAAGGACGATTGGTGACTTGTTTTGTGTGACCGCCGACTTACTTGGCCCATTCAACCATCATCGAGACGCTGTTCAGTTTCCATCGGAACAGACTGTTATCTACAAAGTTGCACTGTTAGCCGTTGTCGACTTAAGAGTGCTCATGTCTACTGACCGTTAAAGCCCACTGTTGCGACAGTTTCGTTAGACCAGTAGCTAGAGTCTGCGTCCTTTGCAAGGTATGGTACCAAGTCAGTCAAGTCTTCGTCGACGCATTCGTCAGTGTAGCTGTAAGCTGAGGTAGTCGGTGTGGAGCTCGAGGAACCATAGTGGATGATGGCCTTGATATTGTCAGAGCTGTCATTGTCGGAGCAGGCGGCCTGGGGAATCGCTCTGAGCCAAAAGTCGTCGGCTGTGTCCTCCTGATCCATCTTCACGACGATATCGTAGCGCTGACCTTTTTTGGCAATGGTCAGTAAGTGTATAGCCGGCAAACAATGCTGGGTCTCACCCATCGAGATATCGAGGACAGTTGTCTCGTAAGGCACAATTGGCACCAGGTCATTTGCGATGACCTATAATACAATCAACTGCCTGTCCATAGGGCCACAGAAGTCTATACTTACGGTCATAGTGTGGTTATCGATCATGAACTTGAAATGTGTATCTGAGTCGAGTCAGTGCGATCTTCGCCGGCACTGATGTCAGCACACTGACCAATTGCCGCATTGACAAGGCGCATTCTGTAAGAGGTCCCATTTACCACCGAGAGCTCGAGTCTTGAACCGGTCTGGGAGTCCGAGTCGTCATCGCCATATACATTCGTACCATTGATGAGGCCGTTGTCGAGTGTCGGTGGACCGCTGGATTGAGCTGATGCGTACAAGACATCGGCAGTCTTATAAAAGTCAGCTTACTTCTGAACGAGGTGCAATAGGGGTCGTTGTCTTGCCTTATGCGACCAGTCATTCAAAAACAGATGACCTATCGACTCAGTAAATTCCCAAATGTCATGGAAAAGTGCAAGGGTTCTAACCAAGATCTACATCGTAGTCAGCTGTAGCCGGACCGTTGATGAGTATGCCTCCGAATAATCCCTCCCAGGCCTGAAGTCCGAAGTGAGAATGGTACCAAGATGACTGGATAACGAATCAGAAAAGGCCTGTTCATGTTGTAGCGAGCGTATCTCTTACACCGTACTGCGTCGCTCTCCATGTGTAGAGAATCTCTGAGCCAGGTGCAGTGGGACATTGAGTGATCGATACCACGCCATCTTGTGGATTGGTGTAGTTTTGGCGGATTCCGTGGAAATGTACACTGGTGCCGTTATTGCTTGCTTCGAGGTTGTTGATCACCTCCAGCAGCGCGTTAGCGCCATATGGTCCGCCCACATCGACAGCGTACTAACATGAACTTTGACAGTGTCCCCCCAGTCGGCATAGATGGTCGGTCCTGGAACACTGCCGTTGACGGCCATGACCATACGAGAGTAGCCATCAGGCGCTGCAGTGGTCTGGTTGATCTCGAACCAGTACTCTCTCGTGACACCAGTCTCTGGGACGACTTCATAATAGTCAGTAGAAAGGTCATAGTCGCACCAGATACTACGGTCTGCAGCAGTGTTGCCAGAACAAGAGTCAGAGAGCACAGGGTGAGCAATCAGAAGAGTGCCCAAAAAACGAGTGAAGGGCAGTCCCCAGTCTCATCGTGGTTTGAAGTAAGGGTAAAGAGCGTAGGTTGATGGGGGACTCAATGGAAACAGAACGGAATGAACGAACAAGAATGATCGGCTTGGGAGAGTAAAGTGAGGGATGATGTCCCTTGTACTAGTTATCAGTGGCATTACATGTGGAAAGCGACTGCACTTGAGCGATGGAACCGTGTACTCAGATCGACACGGCGTGCCACAAAGCTCATACAAGGGATGCCTTACGAAGCAGTCTAAAATGCACGGCTGTGTCTCACAGAGCTTGAGCCAGCGGAAGAACAACCATGGCCCCTATCTCGCACCATAGATGTGAGTTCCTTCTGACATCCAGGAGCCTGATTCACAGATGTCGTTGCTGCGTAGCATCTCGAAGATTCGTAGTGCTTTTCGCGAGTCTAGCTGTGACCTTGCCGTAAGTGCGGAGGTAAAATCGATTTGCACCAGAGCCACTCCGTGCGGTGATCTAGCAGTATCTGGCCAGTTTGCATGAGCGTGAGACAATTTTGCAATCTCGATTGTTGAATCAAGGTCTCGCAGAAGCTTTTGCATTTGCTTCTCTGTAGCAAGCCTCAATGCGGATAGAAAGCCGACCAGGGTCCACAGTCATGTCTCCTGATCTTATAGGTATCATATACGTCGTGGGATAGCGCAGCATAAATTGGGGGCACTTTAAGTTGACGTGGCTGTTTTCAACAGAAGCTTGGCGCAGATCGTCCCTCAGAAATTATTCCCGCAGTGTCGCAATGAGTACTTGCAGCATGCAAATCGATTTCTGGATGTTCCTGATGTGTCCTCCTCCGTTATGAGACCATGAGTCGTTCTGCCGGCCTGATATCCCAACAGCTAAGCCCGTCGGGACTTGTGATGAACTGGGCGACGTGGGCTGAACCATATAGACTATGCTTACGCGCCGATTCCATAAGACGCCAATTCAATTCTCGCACTACATGGCCATCCACGCAATCTTCCTTACCTTTTTTACTGGTTGCGCAGTTGCCGCAGCTCAGGCTGGCAGCTTTGGCCTATACGTATATGGTCCAGATGGCGCCGGTAGCCCAATCATGTTCAAAGATGGTATGCGACCACAGATTCACTTGTGATTAGATCAGTCGTCTGACGCACTACTTTTGACACAGGTGTTGCCGTGATTGTTCCCCGAACCAGCAGTCAATCAATCTATTATGATGATATGCAATGTTTGTACCTCGCCTAGCTGCTCGGCCGCTCCATGCTGAAATCCTGGATAGTCATCTACCAGGCCGAAGATTATAAACTGGTCGCAACACCAGTCAACTCAACTCTAGACTCTGCTCAGAACTCGACCTTCGGTTTCGACACGATCTCAGGCACCGTCGGTATCAACACAACCGAGAACAGCGACTTCACCAACTCCAGATGGGTTTTTACGGCAGCACGCTCATGCTTGAAAACTCCGATGCCGAACTGCTCACATTGTTTCGGTCCCTCGACAGAAACACCACAGAGCTGGGCATCGCCTGGAACTCGAGCGTCGGTAGCCCCTTGTCAATACGCAAAGTCGCTCCTAGCAACCAGTAGAGCAGATTTTAAAGCCGGGTCATTTATAGCCCATTTACATTAACACGGTAGCACTTACAATAGCTACGCAATGTAAACACTTAGCGACCTATGTTACCATTTGCTTCTTATATCAAAGAACGTAAGCCCTTTTAGACCAGATGGAGAGATGTTTATCAGGTTTACTTCAAAATGTTACACCATTTTGTATGGTTTTGTCTAACTTATAATCGCTTTCTACTTCACGGCTGCGTTGGCGAAAGTGTTCAAATAGCCGGAGGGTATAGGAGCAGAACTGGCGACGGATGAGATGGTGGCATCTGCCGCGAGAGTGCTGGAACTGTCGACCTTGACATCATAGAAGTTGAGAATGGTAGCCTGAGGAGCACATGCAACGCGGACTTGAATATCACGCTTCAAAAGGGTATCCGTGGTAATCGTGACCGCTACTTGGTTGCGCGCGCCAGCAGCGTTGATGACAACAGCTGTGGCTGCAGGCTATGTACAGTCAGTCAGCCAACAATTTATCGAACCTGTGCGAGAATTGATACCACATACGAAAACGCCAAGAGGATTCTCAGTCTGCTGAGCAGATACAGCTTGAATCGCAGTCTCACTGGCAAAGTAGATGATGTCTGAGTTGGAACCTGGGGTGACAGTGTAGACGGGAACTTCGACATTCCTTAGGAAGTCAACAGGAACAGTATCGGCAAAGAGGCCACGTCGTACGTGGTACCCTCGGTTGTGATAGCATCCTGGGCGAGAGCCAGACCCAAGAGTACTGACGCAAGTCTTAACAAAGAAAGCATTCTGCTGACCATTGAACAACATGTATGGATTGCTCAGAGCCAGTCCAGGTCGAGGATTGTGCTGATTCCCTCCGAAGAAGCCATATGATCATAATATCTTTCGAGTGGCACGACACTTAATTGAGTCTACGCGGCTACTCACCGTGTCTTTCAGCTCGCACACATCACTTATGAGGTATGTTCGGCAGTTAAACCCCTCGCGAGACAAGTCAATGGCTTGAGCGAAGAGCTAGGCAGTGTCTACGGCGTAGAGCAAGATGGGCGTGGGGCCATAAACAACCAGATTTAGCTATGTAAGGGCAATTTAGTCCATCTTAGAGTCGGCGCAAAGACTAATGCTTAGCTTAGTCGATACACATACGAGACTACGTAGGCCTAGGCTTAAAGACGCTTTAATTTGATTTAAATGTAGAAAGAGGACGGACTCGGAGCCTTTCGGGTAAATGACGAGTTTATGCTAAGATGTTAGGCTACTATTATAGCTAACTATCTTATAGGATAAGAAGAGTAAGTTATAGCTCTAGGATTATTAGGCTAAACCTTATCTAAAGATATATTATTAGGGGTTTTATACCTTATTAAGATTATTTATATAGGCTATAACCTTCTATTTCTTATTTCTATATTCTTAGAATAATCTTTTCTAACATTTAAGAATATATAGGGCCTAATCTTAGTATTAAGGTCTTAGAAAGTAATTAATAAATGCTTAATATAACTAGAATTTACTACTTTAGAAGTAAAGTATTACGGTTTAATACTATAACTATATTACGACCCTATCCTAGGCCGGCCGGCCGTTACATAACGGCCGCTAAGGCTAGCTAGGAGTCTTTCTAGCTAGCTTCCTACTATCTCTTTATCTCCTTATCTACGTCTTATTATATAGCTTAGACCCGTATCTACGTCTTACCTATTATATCCGACTCTACCCCTTAACATTACGTAGACCTTATATACTTACGTAGCGCGCCTATCGCGCTACCCTCTTTATTATATCTTTACGCCCTACGCCTCTAATCCTTCCGGATAGTTTTAAAATCTTTATCTAATATATCTACTACTACTTAGAAGCCTAGTATAAGTTCTATAACGATATATACTAGTTTACCGACGCTTAAAAATCTAAAAACATTACCGACTACTAGAAAAACGCTATTCTAACCTATAAACTTATTAAGGGGTAGAGTCGGTATTAAACCGTAATAGAACTTAAATAAACCCTATAGAAAATTAGGGTTTAGGGTTATAACTTCGACCCGAAACCTTTACTTTATAAAAGCCGAGACCTTTGTTCTAACAAGCTTAAAACCGGCTAAAATTAATATAGCCGAGTTCTTAAACATGATTTTACTTACTTATAAAAATCATATATTTATAAGTAAGAATAAGAAAGTTGCTTTATAGTAATAATTACGCCTAAGACGCACTTTATAATAGATTTAAAAGCTTTTCTATACTAGACCCTAGTAACCGACTATATATACATTAATAAAGCCTAATAGCATAAAAGCCTATTAACGTGCTATTAGTTTATAACATCTCTATATAGTAAGACTAAGATAGCATTTTTAGTCTTTTACTTTTTAATCTATCTTATTAATAGATTTCGATCGTCTACTCTAGGTTAATAATAAACATAAGATCCTAATATGTATACTATGCTAGTATGTAATAATACCTTTATAGCTAATAACATATCTACGGTCGTACTACTTACGTCTTACTATAGAACAACGCCTCGACTATATTACTAAAGTTAATAGCTACTTAACTCTAGCAAATGTTTATAAAGCTATTATATACCCTATACTAATAGATTCTCTAGTCCTATACCTTCCGGTTTATTTTAATAGGCTTAAGTGCAATGTACTAAACTATAGAAACATTGCTTACGCTTATATATGTCGCGACCTACGCTAAATGCAAAAACACTATAAAGATAAACATAGATAGATAAATAAGCAAAAACGTAAAGAAGATACGCGTAGTAAAAGCCTCTATATAAGAAATAAGATCTAGACTACACACTATGCCTACTAACGTTTCTTTAAGGTTAATAGCTAGCAAAAGTACTTTAAAGTAGTATAGTAGGATAGAGTACTAGACTTAAAGCTATAAGCATCTTAAAAGTAGGACTTTTTATAGGCTATAGAGGACGATATCTAGTAAGTATAGTAGGACGCTACTAATAACGCTAATTAAGTATATAGCTTTTATAGTTACGTCTCTACCGTAGTTCCGTAGTTAAGAGAGATAGGCATTACTAAACATATATAACATCTCTAGAAGGATAAAATTTAGATAGGAATTACTATTTTACTACTAGAAGATAAAAGTGGTCTTTATACGATTATTAACGCTATATAATCGCTACTATAAGACGCGTATAGGCTATGTTTTAATAGGCCTAACTATATATTAACTTACTAATACTAAGTTGTCCTTAGCCGCTTCTAACGGTTATAAGTCGATCTATAAGGTAAGACTAGGCCGTTTAATCTATATAAAGGGCTAAAGAGCCTTAAGACATACTTTAGAATAGCATATTAATTTATGTTGTTCTTTACTAGAGTTGTTACTTCTAATAAGTACTACTTTAGTATAGTAGCTAAAGATAGTAATAATATATAAAGACTAGAAGATATTATTAAGGCAATAGACTAGTAGTTAGTAGTCTAGTAAGACATATGCTAGCTTACTTAGTAGAGTTAAATAGATTCTATCGAAGGAAATAAATGTACTAGCGATAATGCTAATAGGATAAAGCTAAAGGATCGACTTTTAAAGCTATAGATGCTTATTATCTACCATACGATAGGCACCCGCCGATATAAGTCGCCGTTATTAAGCTTTTATGCTATGCTAAGTATTAAACTATCGACATAAAGCTAGATAGAACCTAGTAACTTTAATAGTAGCCTCTTAGCTATAATATAGGTTATATAACTACTAGTCTTCTATAATAGTGTCTTAAAAGAGTAGTAAGGATATAGAAAGACGCTTAAGCTTATAAAAGTC